ACCGGTACGGCGGATGCTACACGAGGAGAATAAGAAGTCACGAGGAGGTCCGTTGGAAATCCGGAGCATTGACTTTTCGACCAGCTCTGTGATTTGAAGGGTCCGACAATGCCGAAGCACAAGCATTTGCTGAGTGCCAAGAAGCATACAGGGAAGAAGAAGCAGCCCGAGGTCCGCAAATTGCCAGAACGCTCGACCAAATCTGTGTTGGCTTTTGATTATTGATGCTAGCTGCAGGTCATTGAAACTGCCAACGAATTTCTTGCAGGTACGAGTAAGAAAAATCACACCCGAAGATGTAACCTTGAGCCGATCTCAACCTAATTCCCGGGCAGTTGGTGTCGATTTTGAAGAAGCTGGAGAGAAATGGCGGGCTGGAGATGCTGCCAAGTCTTTGAGGTTCTTCGTCCGTGCAATTGATACCTACGATGCCGGACTTCGGAATTTCCCCCTGTCTTTTGACCTATCATATAACAAGTGAGATGCAGACCTCTTCAAGCTGTCGGTGTCACTGAAGGTCATCAGGGCTCGGCTGCAGTACGAAGTTGCTCAGCAACCTCGATTACTCGAGTACTTACCCACTCCACTAATTGAACTCTTGCAAACAACTCTCGACTCTCATAGGCGAGCACTGACAATCGACCAAGATAATGCTGATCTTCTCTTGTATGCATTCGCCGGATATCAAAGTTGACAGGGGCTGACATCATTAGCAGCAATACGGCTCAGGTACTGACAAGTCTTGCTGAAGCCATTAGTGAAGGCAAGAAACCGACAGGATCTCGAGGCGATGCACTTCGTCTATTTCAAGAATCCTTAGAGCTCTTTCAACGGTGTCTCAACATCCAAGAATTCAAGCTTACTCAAGATCAAAAGAGTGACGCACAAGAAGCACAATTGCCTAGTGCTGACAGTGCTAGTGTAGATAACATTAGTAGTGCTGCCTCCAATGCGTCGGAGGAAGAAGTCTGGGCCTCCGTGGAAGAGCCGGTCACGAAAGACGCACTATGCGATACTACTATAGCACAACTAGATACCCTGACAGCGATTTGTAGTCTGGGTCCTTCTCACGCCGACCTTGCATGGGTGGAAGAAAATTACCGCACCACGCTGAAAGATAAGGTATCGTCGTATGTCGATGGTTCAAGTCGTCACCACGAAGCTGCGCTTGCACAAGCAAGGTTTACTTGCGCACTATCTGACGCAGCCTTTCGAGGTGGACGACTTGATCTGCCTACCTATGAGACGGAACTGAACGCTGCATTCACCAGTCTGGATCTCGACCTTTCGAATGATCCTCCGAGTCTTTGCGACAAAGCAGACGCAGAACTGGCGTTCATCGCGAGTGTTCAAGCCGCTGTTCAACAAGCACAGTCCACTGAGCTGGCCCAAATAAGCAGCATATGCTGGAAGCACATAACCAAAGCGCTCGACAGCCTCACCGATGCTTCGAAGCTCCCTGATGCCCAGAATCTTCCACGCATCCACATTCGACGAGGAGATTGCGAACTACTGCGGATGCAATTGGGTGACGCGCCTCTGTATTATGATCTCGCTGTCAAGAGTGCTCCGACACTGCTCAAGAACGCGGAAGTATATTTCCGTGGTGCAGCAAATCTAGGAAAGAGGGACGCGGGTAACGAAGAAGAGCAGAACGAAGCAGAGGTCAAACAGTCGATTATGGCAGGACTGGCGGGTGATACAGAAAAGATTTCGTTGTTGGTAAAGGCTCGAAGACATCTTGTAGAGTCGATTGTGGAGGAGATGAGAGATGACGGCTTGTTAGGCGAGAAAAGTTTGCAGAAAATAGGAAGCATGTTCGCATGAGGTGCTGGGTACGTATCAACAACCATCAACCCACACAATGGTAATTCAAGACTTGCTGCTTATTTCGACCGTTTCAGATTGGGGAATTGCCCCATGCCCAGTGACAGCATGACTCCAAACACCTTGCCCAGTACCTTTCAAGCCTTCCAAGTCGTTCTTTCATAACCGGCTTCCTCTCGCCCTCACTCCAATCTCACCATCCATTTCCATTGCCTCCTTTCTCATCTCGCTGCCCTCAACAACATCGCCCATGGCACCATTCGCACCGTCCAGATCTGCAATCACTGCTTCCAGACCGCTGACAAGTCGCTCTACTTCGTTTCTCTGTCTCTCTACTCCCTTCGCCACTTGTTCGTTTTCAACTTGTACAGCCTGTAGCTCGGTCTCTAGTTGCGATTGTGTAGACGCAAGATAAGGTGCCAGGTGCGCCAGGTAAAGGGATTGCGGCGGAAGCGTGTGCGGACTGCAATCCAATTATCGCTGCCAGTCAGCGCAAGCTCCCGCACTCGCTCTGCGCAAAGTCTCGTATTCTCAAGGAACGTCCAGAAACCCCCCCCCCAAACAAACAGGGAAGATAGACCAGAATATACTCACGGCTCATTCGGCAGCATTCCCTCCCCACCCCCCTCCCTTCTTGCTTTGGCAGTGCCCACCAACCTTTCCAGCTCATTCAATCCCCCCACTACATCCTTCTCGACCAAAATTTCCTCAAATTCCCGCTTCGCCTTATCCTCTACCTGTCCAACGATCTGTCTCCACACATTGTTCAAAACCGCTGGGGCGGATTTGGCGGACGTCGGGAAACAAGCGGCGAAGTTGGCGTAGGAACAGGTGTGTACCGTGTGCGTGAGCGCTGCGGTGAACATGTTGTTGAGAGCTGCGGCGCGGGGACCGGGGGTTTGGGCGGAGGGAGGGGGCGGGGCGGGGGAAGGGGAGCGGTTGTCCGTGGTGGTTGTCGCCATTCTATTGCGAGTGGTGTCAGAGCCGGATTGGAAGCCTGGTGATGACTGATGACCCCAATAGACGAGTTCCAAGTGAATCCGTGGATCAAGATCTTTCTCCAAAGTTGTGTTTACGCGCTTGCAGACGCGTGGTCGGATCACTAGCGCCGGTTCAAACGTGGGGAAGCCTCGAGTCGAAAAGCGTCCAGCGAGTAAAGTCCTTCAACATTTCATCAATGAACTACGTACTCCGTATCCGTACATTCTCTTCAATCATGGACTCTTGCGCTTCTCTCATTGCTATTCCATCATTTCTGTCTTGCATGTGGGCTTGCTTTCCGGGCTCGAGCGCAGTCTTTTTGGTACAATTGACGTTGCCAGAATCGCTGATCCTGGCTTTCATCTAATCATACATTGCGATGATGCTGATTTCACCCCTCCCATTCTCCTAAAAAATCCAGCCTTGGTCTCTTTTACTGTTTCTAGGAGAGAATGGTTCGAACAAAGAGGGCCCCATGAACGCCGTTTCCGGAGTCTATAGTAATGTATGTCTTTGTCTACAAAGACCGGTACTTCCTGTTTCTTCAGATGGGCAGAGTTTCCCAGATAGCCACAGCGTTAGCATTACCCTTCTCTCAGCACTGTAAAATCCTCCATCTCACAGCACTTTGTATGAGAAAGAGCAAGACTGCTCTGCAATGTCATCGCCTTGTCTCTTCTATCTTCGGAAACTTCCCTCCTCCAAAATCATTGGCCGGGAATTTGGCCCCTGCATGGTCCCTCGTCTTTCATATGCAGCTCAGAGCGTTCACGCTGCTAGGCTATTGACGTCGTCCAGCATAGCTTGTGGGCCTTCAATCAAGGCTCTCCTACTGTGCCATCATCGTTTATCATACATAGAATCCAGGACCATCAACATTCACCAGACCTCATCTCCAGCAGCCTCAAGCAACGTACTTGCCAGCCTGTATTCCAAAACAATGCTATATCATACAAATTCCAAAGCATCCAAAGCCGCTGGCCTCCGTAGCTGGGACACTTGGTCATCGCACGCCAGTCTTCGCCGAAAGCAGATCAAGCAGCACTTCGGCCTTGGGTATTTCTCCCGCATCCTTGATCAAGTACTTTTCTGCGGGCTGCTAAGCAATCGCGTGGTGTTGAGGTGGGTAAAGGCTCCAAAGGGGAAGCTCGACTGGCCTAGCAAGACCACCTTAATCTCAGATGCTAAACGAGGGCCTTGTTACTTGATAGAGGTCACGAAACCCCTTGCCAATGGACCTTGGACACAAGCAATCATTCAAGAGCGAATGAATGCCGTGCTGTATGGAATGACACAGGCCTTTGTTTTAATGCATCGTCACAACTGCGTTTCCTTTCAACGGTTGGTTGGCCGAGATGTGAGTGGAGGACAATCCGGATATGGATCTATGTTCCGAAAGTTATTGCGAGGACTGGAGGAAGAGGCTAATCGCACACTCAAAGGGCTGCCAAACTCTTGGCAGTTGAGAAGTCCCCGCAGGTGACAACTATGTCCTTGCAGGGTCTTCGATACAGGAGTAAGGATTTGGTTAAACTGATGGGGATGATCAATCTAAGCTTCGAACAAGGAGCGGTGGACAGACTCTAAGCGGGGTTTGGGCCCTTCACAAAGCAAAACCAACGATGACAATCGATGTCATGATTCCTGATGTTGAACGGGGCCAAACCCTTGTGAGTGAGGATCATACTACCAAGACTACTATCTCAAATATTATCGTACTGCAGGAGCCCAACCCAAGCACTCCATCACGCAGGTCGTCAGGACATGGAAAAGGAAGATAAGTGATGATATAAATGGAGCCAAGCAGCCTCTCAGCTCCTAAATCGATTCAAGCACGGGGATATCTCCCATCAAAGTGAACGACTTTAAATGAAGACAACTTCGGAAAGCGTCGATAGTGTTCATATACGTTGCAGCCTGGGTTCCAATGGTACGGGTGAAGGGGACCCGATGAGGCTGAAGGATTCTTGATGCCTGCGTAGGCAGAAGCTGAAGAGTTTGGTGCAGCACCTGGGTACAGAGTTACCCGTCAGCATGCTGTCAGTTTGTTCTGGAGCGTTCTCCAACGGTCGCAAACAGCCTCGCTTCTTGACCGCCTTTTCGCTTTGACCTTAGGAGAAGCTGCGCTCCCACCTTTTCTTCTTGATACACATCAATCCTCTCGCCAGATTCTACACAGCAGAGCACGGAAGATGTCTTCGACCCCTTCTATTAAAGCGCTGCTCTCCATCGCCGTCCAACTGGCGGAAAGTCTATCGGAACGAATACCAAATTTGGGGTCTCTGCAACGCGACTGCAAACAAACTGCCATGAACCTACGCACCTGGCGCACAAATCTCCCGTCCGAGATGGAATTTCTCCTCAAGCCGACAGGTGATAAGGGCCTGTACATGGCCATATTATCGCCGCTGTCCGAAATTCTCTGCATTCTGTGTATGTCGCTCCACACTTTGCCGCACAGCCACTAATATAATCCAGGCCAACTCATCTGGACGACCCACGAGCTAGGCAAACCTCCATCACTCGACACCGTCTCCCGCACCTACGAAGCGGAGCAGAAGATCAAGAGTGCATCGCCGTCAATCAAGAAATTCATGGACGACCTTGGTACGTAGATTTAGGAGTAAATGCTTCCTGTTTGGTAGCAAATTCGAGCCACAAATCACAATCTAGATTTCGGGAGCAGAAGGCTCCTTCCCTCCTCCAGAACTGCGTCGTTCCTTCCGTAAAAAGCCATGTTTCGGCAGCGAAAGGATCTTTCCGCTCTCCCAATGTGTCTCTTTTCTCCCTCTACTACCCAAAGAGAACTACACTAACTCCGAAATTTGCATAGGCGTATGGCAAAAGCCGAAAAAGGGTCACGCGCCGCTCGCCGTCCTTTTCGATCAGACGTCACGGAGTGACAAAGTCTTCACTTTCACGGAAAAGGCGGTGAATGGACACATGGGTGCATGTTCCAACGGGCTGATGGGACTGACCACGAGGATCGATAGAGCAAGGAAACGGCACGTGGGGCTTAGGTTGCTGGCTGGGAAAGCGCCCTGAATGATTTGGTATGAAGAGACACGGTAGGACGAGGTGGTAGTCAATAATAACAGAAAGGAACCCCCCGCCTTCTTCTCCACCTTCCCCGTTGCAGGCACCACGAAGTTCTCTTCATACGTCTGAACTTTCGAGTTCCAACCCAAACGGGTAGTGCCATCCACATGCATCCTTCCGGCCATGACTTCTCCGCCTAGTATCCTACCACACAGGTGGCGAACCATACATGCATTTCTATCGAGCATCCATAGTTCAAAACAAAAAAAACGGTCGGACGTTCAAAGCACCCATACAGCACCCACGCATTCCCCTTGACAGGCACCGTCACGGCGCAACCACGCTCCAATCACTTTATCAAAAAAGGCTCACGCTACAACGCACGTTCTTACGGACCCGTTTCTCATTCGCACGTACATCCCCACGGGATCTGTGATGGTTTCGGGGAGTTGATGCACGAGTGGGGAGAGACGAACTTGATGGATAGGGCTAGGGCTCGTCTGGCGCTCCGGCTTCTTGTTCGATGTGGCAGAGGCGATGGTCAGTTCTGTAAGGCCGATAGGAGATGGGACACTTGGGCGGATCGACGTGGGGTTAATTGCAGGAGTTGGAGGCCGAAGGTGCTTCCGGAGCTGGCATTTTCAAGTGTCTTTATTTGCTATTTGATCTTTCGCTCAGATGTTCATGGCACATGATGCGAAGGGATGACTGCGAGGTCCCCAGGACTTCCCTGGCATCCAAGTCCCCTAACGCCGCCGCAATGCATGCTTCGCTCCTCTCTTCAGGTTTCTCTTGGCCTGCCCCTCACTTGGCTGTTTTGGCCTTCTTTTTCTTGGGCTCCGCCGCTCTCTCATCCTCGCTGCCTTTCCCACCATCCGCATCCGCCATCTCCTCATCACTCCCACTGCTCTCGTGTGCCGAGTCATACTCTTCGGCCACATCGGAATCCGAATCAGATTGGAAGTCTTCGTCGAGGCTCTCGTCGTCTTCGTCCGCTGAGCCACGGTCGGCGCGGGCAGCGACGACTTCTTCCTCGGAGGAATTGATATCAGCCTCGTTGAGAGCGGCTTGAATGAGAGCAGAGGACTAGGAGCGATTAGCATGGAAACTTTAAGGACTGAGACAGGATGCATAACTTACATCGTCGAGCATCTCGTTACGGATTTTGAGATTTTTGGCTGCGAAAAAATCTTCTAGAGGCTTTTGCTCTTCTCTGTGTACTGCATTAGCAAAAGCATAGGGGTTTTCGCTTGGATCACATACCGATTGATATTACTAAACTGGTGCTCCCCACCGGCGTTCTTTGTAGTGATGGTGATGTCAAAAGTCCTACTTGCGGATATGGCGCCACCAACTCGTGACATGACAATCACCGAAATTGTATCGAAGGATATGTATGTTGCTGGCTTTGGGACAAACATAAAGCTTTTGTCGAGGCAGAATAGGTGCCCTTCGTTTGCCTTGATGCTGCATTTAACCCCAGATTGTTGATGGTGGCTCGAGAAGTCTTTCGACGGTGTGACAACTCGTTTCCCAGTCAGACCACGGAACACCTGAGCAACGACCATATGCTGTGGTTGTTCGTAACGGGGCATCAATTTGTCCTTGTACTTCCCCTCCAGCATTTCCCTGTCTCCTGTTAGCTATTCATCCCGCAGACGGAAAGTTAAACCTCGTACTCGGTCATGTTCAGCTCAATGATAACTTCCTCCTCCCGCTTGAATTGCATTACAAGGAAAGGATATCTCGTTTGGCCCTGCCTCAGAGGCGGATCCAGTCCGATAGTGATCAAGGTGTGTAAGTCGTCCGGCTTTGGGAGGAGCATGAATTTTTTGATGTGCTCGTATTGGATTTTGTAGTCATAGGTCTTTCCACGTAACCGGAACGAGTTTTCGTACATATCGATGTCAAAACGTCCTCTGCGACCATGTTAGTCTACTAAAGCCATAAAAACAATCTCCTGTCAGTACCCACCTTGGTGTCAGATGTAGTACATCCAGGAACGTTGCGAACGTGTCTCCAGCAACCTCCCCAATCTCCGCCTTGTCCATTAGAGTATCGTAGAACAGACTGGCAGCGTTCTGCTCTTCGACCTCATCCCCATCGACGCTCTTCTCTTCACCATCCTCATCCTTCTCTTTCTTCGTGACGGTTCCGGGAATGTAGAACCGCATCTCCACCAACTGGTCTTTTGCCGCACCAGCTTTACGGCCCCTGCTTCGTGCTCCTCCAAGGTGCCCGTTTGTGCCCGTCTCGTTGCCCCCTGCTGGTAACGAGAACTCCACCGCCACCTCATTCTTTCCCGCGAGATTGGTGTTGGAGATTTCAGAGTACGGGATCTCAAAGGCCGGACGGTTCTGGACGTTGAACGCAAGCTCAGCTTTGCCAAATTCGCCTTTGCCCCAATTCCATCCACGTAGTGCATGCTCTTTAGTTTCTAGATTGATGCCGTAGAACAGCTTGAATGCCTTAGCGACGCGGTCGAAGTCCTGTAACACAATGAGCCAAATTCTTGCTGTGAACCCAGGGGCGACCTCACTTCTTGCTCAAAGCCATCGAGCTGTACGACGCCAGAGGTTCGGGACATGATCTTGAGCTCATATCCTCTAGCTGCACGACTCCACTGTGCTGTCCCCAAGTTGTTCGTGTCTAGGGTAAATGTGTCACCCCCACCTGAGGGCTTCCACCCCAGCCCAGCTTCGGCCAGGCGGCATTTGCCCGGCTGCTTTGAAAGATCCAGGTATATTCTCTCGAAGGCCTCCATAGTTGAGATGTGTTCTGATAATTTGAATCTGAAGAGTGGGGCTCAGACGTGGGAACAAGTATCAGGCGTGGGCAGGAAGAAGATAGAGGAGCTTCAAGGTGAGTAGGGTTTGGTAGAAAGATGATTGAGGATGAGCTTCAGAAGCGGAGAGAGATTGTGAGGGGCAGTTGTCTGAAGTGAGGGGTAAGTGGTGTTGAAGAAGAGTTGGTATGTGGATGATAAATCCAATAATCGCGTGTGGGAGACGTTGTCGGCGCATATACTTCGTATACGAGTAGTCGTGTACTGAGAATTCGAAGCGATCTAACGGTATTTACCGGTAATCTTGAAAATGATTCAATCGTTGCTTCGAGCGATGCGTGAGGACTAGGAGGATAGTGCCGCCTACCTTGATGTACAGCTCCTACCATAGAGTGCTTCGTAAATCTAAAATTTCTTTATAAGTCAGACACTGCCACTACCTGTATCTCTAATTTATAGTAGCTCCTACGCGTGCAGCCCTAAGTAAATAGTCTATTTCGCGTAGAGTATCGCTTCAATCTTACTAGGTAGGCGTAGGTAGGTACATACAGTGCCCCAAATCGGCTTAGCCTTCGATGAGACGGGAGTTAATAAATCTTTACCTACCGTCGAGATGCAACATGAAAAATTGCGTCCTCCTTATTAGTAAACACAATTGACTCGCATAATACCCCCTAATCCATATTTCCCTCAACCCATGAACAGCAATGGCCATAAATCGCGGCTGAACGGACATTTCTCCTGACACTTTTATCCTACGCGTACAGCAACATGCAGAGCCTCAAGACTATGACATGGTCAAGGGCCGTATCACTACTTTGAGCAAGAATAGACTCGTCAAGAAGGCGTGAGAACGTTGTGATCGGAGCGATAAGTCAGAAAAGAAAAGCAAGAAGAGGAGGGTCTGGTGAATAACATCTCGAATCTCTGATATAGATGACTGTGATGGGTAAGAATCAAGTCGTACTACAGCTACAGCTACACTTGGACGGTCACAGCGAAAATCACAAGGTGACACACGAGCTCTGCAGTAGTCATCCCGATGACCGAGTATCTAGACAAGAAGACTTTCGGCCGCAACCCGGGTGTACGCAAGGCCTGTACGTCTAGTAGACTTGGGGCTGTACGCAGCATAGACTATGGCTGTACGTTTTATGGAGAGGCGCTCTACGCGTAGAAGCTGCCTACTGTGACTGGTGGATACTCCCGAACACGTCAAGATCTGTCATATAGAGGAAGATTCCTTTCTTTATAGATTGCGTTGTTACTTGTTACTTGTGATCTCCTTTCTTCAAAGATACGCATGACGGCCATGGTGACTACCGGGCTGCCCATGACAACATCGTGTAGGCCCGTCTTTAATATCTCCTCTCTGATGACGCCGTTCTTCGTTCGCCATTCCATAATTGACCCTGCAGCGCCCAGATCCGATTTTGACTTCTTTTTCACACCATCAAGTTGGTCGTAGGTGATCCCTCGGGGCAACGTAGCATTGACGGCGTGCCAGAAGACCACTTTGGTGTGACTCCACGGGATATCATGATCATCCTCGGCATGGATCAGAGTCAGCCGATATTTCTGTCCATTAGCTTCACTGGCCCGTATATATTCTGCAATACGGTGCTTGCTCAACCATTTGTCCTGTATGAAGGTGCTGAGGTAGTTGAACAACAGCGGAAACCTTGTCAGCGGTGACAGAATGGGGATGAAGCCTGCAATACGATACGTTGCCACGAGCGTCGCCATGTCGACAAACGGTGCGACTAGGATGGAGCCTGCAAACATTACGGGGGGAGATTGCAAGGCAAAGTGCTTGGAAACAGCAAGGCTCACAGCAGTGCCTAGAGATTGGCTAAAGATGAGGATCCGGGACGGTGGAATGCCGGCTACATTTGTCGCCCAGTCGACCACCGCGATAGCATCAAGGCAAAGTCCACGCTCGGATGGCGTGCCGCGACTGCGTCCAAAACCTCGATAGTCGAATGTCAAGACGTGAATCGTTTTGGGCTGCCCCGCCGACAGCGCGCGATAATTGGGGACTCTGTAGCCTGACCCGACAGTACCTCCGGCTCCGTGCATGTGAATGATCAATCGAGCATCATGGTCATCGCGCAGTAACTTGAAAGCAAGGCGGGATGTGATATCCGAGGCGAAGCCAGAGGGTTCCGCCACCAGAGCGGACTCGTGCTGACGATACAACTCGATGGGCAGAACATGCCAGGCGTACAGCGTTCCGCCAGTGGAAGACTGTATCGAAAACGGGGTGGTCTGGCTGCGTAGAAAGCCAAAAGTTTCAGGGACGTCGAGATCTTTGAACCAGGTCATCTGGATTTTATGGAGATAGACTACATGGGCTTGGAAGGAAGACGTGGTGAGAAGTCCTAGAAGACCAGCGTAAAGACCGACGAAAACTGCTGCCGATATCGAGGCATACTTGAACAAGAGATTGATCATGGTGCCCGTCATCACAATCTGCAGACCCGTATGTCTGTCCAAGCATACTATTCAGGACTGGAGGTTTGCAGTGATTACGAACAAGGAATGAGTTCGGCGGTGTACAGAAACAAAGATAAAGTACTAGCGCAGGCCTTGCTCAGCTTCTTTCGAAGTAATTAATCTGCACACAGACTACGTGATTGGCATAAAGGTCGGGTAGCCGCAGATAAATCAGCAACCACCACTCATTTGGTCATAAATCTATGTTGGTTTGGATTTTGTGAGTCAGGATGCATTCCGCTCACTTTGACTGTTTATGTCCACAACGATGATTTGGAAAGCAATCATTCAGACACTTAAATTCCCATACATGGGCATCAACCTACAAACCGAACGCCCAGTTACCAACCGCAAACCCTTAAGGCCTTCGGGGCCTGACGTCGAACCCAAATAAAACCCAATATCCTATCTACCTCCTACTGGGACCTTGATACGTCTCTTCGCCCATGCCGATATGGTGTCTTAGGGGTATCCCTTGGTTCCCTTGCCTTACGGGAGCCTTCCCATTGCCAGACAAGGTATTAAAGGCCGTGGTTCTCGGAGTAGTGGGGCTCTTCAGACCTCCCGCGGTCCCAGGCGTCCTTCGCGCCTCCATCATCTCCCACGGCGCTTGAGCCGACTCTTTATCCGAGGTTCTAGAGCCGTGGGCTGATCGGGATTGTCTGCTAGACCAGAGGGTGATTAAGGTGAGAATCATTTGGGTCGTGAATAGCGCGCTGAGGCAATTAGAACAAGTGGACTCGGACTGGCAGGGTCCTACTCACACCATAAGGATTGTCACGGCAAAGGCAGCCTTGGCCTGCTTGCAATATCCGATGAGATCTGAGCTGACAGGTGGCCCACACTTCCTGGTAATGTACCAAGGAGCCCCTGGTTGAGGATGCGCCGGATCGCTCATGTCAGGTCCTGCTTGGTTGTGGATGCTAATAGCAAAGAGGATGACGAGTGCAGCGTGGGCCAGGAGGGATACCAAAGGGTGGAAGACCGATGTGATGAACATGATCCCTTTGCAAAGGAGGATGAAGACGGAAAGGACGGAGATCACTACGTTGTAGTTGGTGGTGCTGGATCATGTTAGCCGGTAGGCTTCAGGTTTCATGGTTAGAGCATGCAAACAATTGTCTCCATGGCAAAGGCGCCTTGATGGGTCTGTAGTTTGCAATGGCGTATATGAGTTGATTGGGATTGCTATTCCATCCATGATCGGCTCCTTCTTGCCAAAACCGGGTGCGGTATAGATCTGGTTGGGCAATACCAAATAGCGCAAGCGCAGCGATGGTCAAGGGGATTTCGAAGACGAAGAGGCCGACGACGAGTTTTGGTGTGCGCCATTGCCGTGGGATGGAGGAGAGAAAGGATGGAACTCTCATGGTTGCGGAGGATGTTCACAGATGCCTCTAGAATAGCACCCCTGCTGTCGCCAGTCTCCGCTGGCTAAGGTCTCTATCACTGTCGCTGAAATGGCGTTATGGGAACAGAGATTGAGGAGGACAGGAGGTAATCGCCCGTGAGATGTTGAGCAGAACACCGTAGCCGCCGAGAGATCATAGTGCGAGTGCTGTGGCCAGTGAGAGGAGCAGAATGATATGCAGCTTACATGCAGGATCAGACCTAACTCCTAATCGTGGTCCCACTATTCGCTGGTAAAGTTGAACAGGGCGCCTAAAAACGGGCAATTAGTTTCGCCGGGGTTAAAAACTTGGCATATCCCATATCCCCACCATTCCTAAGAACCCCACTAGTCTACCTAGATACGTTGTAAACCACAGACTTTTCAACATCGGATGTGGCCAGCTCCAGTACACTCTCAACGATGCCGGATCACGCGCAGTGGCGAATGAAACAAAGTGTGGGTCAGAGTCAAATATCAAATACATGCATGGTCCCCAATCTTCAAGAACAGAAGCGAAAACAGCGGTTTTGTAAGAGCAGTAGGATTGACAATCGGAGACAACCGATGTATTGATCTCGCTGTAAGATGACAAATCCTAATATCAAGTTCGTGTTGACAAGATCAGTCATTCCTATCATATGGATAGATCTTCAGTTCGCCACGGTGCCCCACTCTACCAAACGCTCCTGGTGGCTCTGTAGACCACAGACCTCCACTCTCACAGGGATCCAGACATCTTTAGCATCACTTTAGCTTTTCTGAATCCGCATACCCAGCGAACAATCATTAAGCGTCCTCAACTCCCCATGTCACACGCAGTCCTTTTATCCGGCGATTACATCCATCTCCGTCGAGCTTCACCGGGATATGATGTCCAAAACACGCTGCTGTCCTGGGCCAGTAAAGATTCCTCCCCTAACCCGGATGATTACTAGCTTGTTCTCTTCCATGTTTGTCCATACAAAAAGGAAGCTGCTGGAGCGGATCTTGCCATAGGGATCATTTGAACCCAACGCTCCTTGACGATGGCCCTCCTCAAGCCAGGAGATTCACACTCGTGATAATTTGGATAACCCGTAGATATCGCTCTTAATTTTGCGCCGAAACGTGTGGTCATTAGTCCTTCACGAGTCATCGACTTCAGGGCACATAAGATGCTAATTCCGGACATTCGTAATCATCTGCGTCCTCGATCCTATCCCAAAACTCCCCTGCGGCGTGGTGATTGTTCGGACTGCCTCGCTGCTGCTTTTCGAGAAATTGCTCACGGGATTTCACAGAGTAATGATGGAGTGCCCACATATCATGTGTGATAGGGAACCTCTTGATCATGCACTCATCACCCGTCTCGCCAACCGACACAGTCCCGTAAGCAGTTCTCATGTTATGCACACTATTCACGCCGTCGAAGAGGGCTGTCTTTGCAAAACTCTTGACATGAGAATTCTCCTTATCAGCGTTTCTTCCATCTGGACCGTCGACCACGCAACGTCGGAAACCCTTACGAGTGTCGCTTTGCGGTCGTTTTTGCTGACCTCCAGAGTTATGAGTGATCCAATTGACAGACAGCGCGCCGACTGTCTCATTCTTCTCCCATTGGTGTAACCAGTCCACTAAGGTAGTTGCACGCCGCATCTCGAGGAATTCGTCGGCATCGAAGAAGCCCATCCACGTGTGGCGTTCGCCGAAGTTCTTGATGCAGTAATCTGCGTATATTGTGTGCTGGAAAGGCTGAGGGCGGTCAGGGACACGCGGAATGTATGTGAATGTAACAGCGGAGCGAGGGACGGCGAAGGGAGGAATGCCGAAATTAGGGGTGTAGGAGAGGGGAGGATCGCTGCCATCATCCATGACATAAAAGCGGCGGATACCATGGTGGTAGTAGTAGTGGGCTAAGAACTCATCAAGGTCACCAGGTTGGTCTTTGATGGCGAGACATAGCGAGACGTATTCTTCATCATCAGCCGGTGGCAGAGGAGGGAATGCAACTGTTAAGTTGTTGGGGATCGGTCCAGCGTCTTCGAGACCGGGTTCCGAGTCTGGCGATGAGACAGGGGCTTCCTTAAAGGGAATATTTGCGGGAGGTTTTGTAGACGTCAATAATGGCTTGTCAATTGGCCTTTCATCATCCCTCAACCAGGTCAAGGACAGAAATATGAAGGCCAGACATGCGCAGAAGCCAAGATATTTACAACCGCGTCTCGGGTTAGAGGTGATGAAATGAAGCCACGAATCATTGCTAAGTGATTGCGAATGGGCCATAGTCGAAGGGCTTCACCTCATGCTAAGAGAGCGATGAAGAGCGTAAGGATGTTAGGAAGGTGCTCATGCGAGAAAAGAGCATGGGGAGGTCGCATGATGAAAGATCCGACTGTCACGTTTGCAAGGGGCTACGACCGGCAAGTGTAAGGTAGGTAAGGTAGGTGTACCTTAAGGTAGGTACTAATGATCGACCAACCAATCTAAGCGCTAGTGATGACGCGGCCCGAGGCTCCATCGCCTACCGTACTACGGCAACCCATTTGGACCAGTGTAGGCCTTCCACATTATAATAAGGTATTGCTTTGAATTCTAAGGAGTATAAACTGTGGCGTATATCTCTATAGCGTATATTTTATATGATAAATGATAGTAGATAAGATAGTTATAGCTATTAACAAGCGTGATACTTATAATTAATAGTATACGCTAAGAGTAGAGACTGCTTAGTAATAAATATTTAGTGTAAATATCTACTCTAGCTCTAGCCTCGCTCTCGCGAAATAGTCTTATACGTTGTGATAGAATAATAGACGAATTATCGTTTTGCGAAAATTCAAAAATCAAAACTTGTTGGTTGACCCTCTGGTCCAAATGGGTTGCCGTACTTACAGACTTTCAAGGGGACCAAGGTAGAGTACGAGGGTACTCAACAAATCAATATAATTCACAAGTTTGGAATGCTTCTCTCGACCTCGGTCTCGGTCTCAACATCCTTCCCTCGATCCATCAAAAGTAGGATTCATGGACTTCACTAAGCTACAATTGCTTGAATCTGGTATTCGGACTACCTCGCTGCCCGTACGAAGTACGGAGTAGACACGGGTGGAATACGACCATGAATCAATGACTTGCCAGTATCATGCATTTGCAGGCATGACCGGCTCATTGCAAGCCACTTTGAAATCAAAGCCCCTTGTTGCCTGAAGTAGCAGGTATTGCCAATCGGATCTGCGAGGAAAACGCGCGGAGCTTACCTTTTAACGTGTAGGATTCGTAGCTTGATTGTTGGCCGATTGACTTGCCCATCGAGTAAGGTCTGGAACCCGCAATTCAGCTTTGTCGGATTGAATTCCAGCGTGACTGGGTTAGCTGTCATGTAGCAGTCCAATAGCCAATAAAGCTCCGCTCTGGGACTTTCAACAAGTGGATGCTATTCTATTGAGGCACCAGAGGGAACTGTACACCCGCCGGCAGTAGCAGACTTGGGCCGCAGTCGAATCTACAGCTCATACATCTCAGCACAGTGAATAGTAGAGGTAGCTGTGGAGTCTGTGAAGTACATTACTATACATCATTCGACAAGATTATCGATCGAGTAACCTAGAGTAGGCGAATGTATGAACGGCTTATCGATAGTGGGAGCTTGGTCTTGGCAAGGTTGAGGGGACCTCGGGACAACGGTTGCTAGGGTGCTAGGCAAGATATCTCTGGCCAACTTTTCTCTCAATTACAAGGCATCTCATGAACAGTGCTCAGGGTACTGGCGATCTAATGATTGCGAGCTCTCATCATCTCAGAAAGCCTTGGATTTGTACTTGACCGCCATTGACGCTCCTTCGAATTGCACTACTTCCTGGTCTTTGCATCCACAATCGAAATAAGAAGTAGAGCTGTCGCATGGGAGGTTCACAGAGGAAGGGGATCTAAATATCTCCATCACAATCTCCATACCAGTCAGGAGTTCACCGTGGCACCTTGTAGGGTACATTCGTCATGTCGCCGTCCCCAACGCTGGCCCCGGCGGGCAGCAGCTCTTACTCTTCAAATTCAATGACAGTAGGGGATGGAACATGGGACACTACAAAGAACACGTTCCTGCTACCGAACCTTGTGGGATTAAACTTCGCAACAATGCGGTACAACGGTATGCCACGTGCACATTCCAGTCCCACGTGAATAGGAATCTGACATTTCACAGGCATGGGAAATCGTTTCGCACAACAACCTCATTACCATGACCTTATCAGAGCCCACGGAATCATTGCGGCAATCACATTCCTCGCTATTGTCCCTGCTGCTATTCTGATAGTACGGTTCTACGGCCGAAACCCTAGATGGGCGTTGAGGTTCCATATATGGCTACAGATTTTGACACTCCTTCTAACGACGGTAATATTTGTTTTGGGATGGTTTGCCGTAGGACCCTCAAGAAGCTTGACGAATCCTCACCATGGAATTGGGTTGGCAATATACGTTTTGGTTCTCTTCCAATTCATTGGGGGTTGGTGGGTTCACCGTAGAGAGAAGATGAAGAGGAGATTATATGAGCCATTGAAGGTTATGGTACGTTTTGCAACAGTACAAATCTCTATATTCTCGACTTACAAAAGTAGTTCCACCACTGGATTGGTCGCTTGATCGCTCTTCTAGGGCTCGCACAGATACCTTTAGGACTTACGCTTTACGGGTCTCCTCTTGCACTGTTTGTACTATATGCATTAGCCGTCTTTGTGCTTCTTGGCACTTATTTCATCTTGACGCATCTGCGAGAAAGACGAGGTGGAAATGACTACGACAGTCGATACAGCTATGGTACAGGAAGCGTGGTAGAAGACCGACGACCTGGGCGAAATGAAGGGCGCACAGGAGGTCGGACAGGGAACCTAGTCAAAGGCGCAATAGCCGGCGTAGGCCTGTACGCACTCGCCGACCGATTCCGGCGTCGAAGATCAAAAAGCCGAATTGATCCTGTCGGCGCACCTGGCGTTGGTCGTGGTGGTGGCCCCGAAGTGGTTGGACATGGAAGGCATTCGAGCTCCTACGTTGAGGACGAAAAATACTCCGACTACAGCAGAGATCATGAGGGAGATGGTGTATGGGAAGACAGGTTATTAAGGATCGCCGCCCCAATTGGAGCAGCGGGATTGGTTGCGAGATATTTTGATCGGAGGTATCGGGATCGAGATAGTGATGTTGGAGAGTACGGTCCACCTCTCGGAGGAGCTACCGCAATCAATGAAGGTAGACATGGTGAAGGTCGACTACCTCCTGGCGGGCCGATCCCTCTCAATCAGCCCCTACCAGAGAATCGGCACCCTCTCAATCAACCTTTCCCTGACGGCCAGCATCCTCTCAATGAACCCTTTCCTCACGGACAACGACCTCCCAATCAACCTCTCCCTATCGGCCAACGATCTCCCAATCGCCGCCCAAGTGATTTGACCTACTCTAATTATGGAAGCGCCAGCGGCGAACCTCGAAGAGGACATGGCTTACGAGATGGCATTGCAACCCTTGGCGTGTTAGGTTTGGCACGGAGCATTTTCAACAGAAGACGAGAACGCAACCAAGATCAGCAGCTTGCGGAAGAACAAGAAGCTCGAGTCCACGGTGGACACCTTACAGGCGACGGCCGTCCTACTCGCCACCACCGACCTGGTTCATCAAGCATTAGCAGCGATACTACGTCATTGACTGGCATTAACCGTCCCAATCACGGTAGTGGAATTCCACCAACTCCAGCAGGTGCATACCCTGCAGGCGCTGCTGGGGCTGCCGTAGCTACCCACGAGCGCGATAGGAACCGCAACGAAGAGTTGCCTTTAGGTGGCATACCCCGTAATGGACAGGTCGCTATGCCACCAATACCACCCGATCCGCACGGTATTTTTCATGCTGATTCTTCTGGCTCCGAAGTATACATCGGCGAAGATGGTAGAAATCATTGGCGGCACAATGCCGGTCGTAACGCTGCTGCTGCAGGTATAGCAGGAGGAGCAACCGGTCTGGCTGCTGCAGAAGCTCCAGAAGCGTCGTCTAGTCGCCGAGATCGACGAGACCGTCGTCAGTCAGCCGGTGGAGGCACACCCGGCGTGGCCTCGCGGCCTGTCAGCGTCAAGGTTAAGATGCACGACCATGGCCGTCATGTTACCCTCCGACGACTGCCGGAGGCAGAAGCGGCCGCAGAGCGTGAAGCACGAGAAGCGCGACGACGTTCCCAAGAGCGATCTGGTAGGCGTAGAGGAGACAGCGCCAGCTCCCTCAGTGGTACGGACGGCAGTGCAGACCGTTTCAGACGGAACCAATTTCAGGAGCGACAGCAAGCTGAGGCCATGAGGATCGAATCCGAGAGACTGGCGGCAGCCAGGGCTCAAGCACAGAAGCAGAAGACCTCCATGAACGTGCCTGCACCTCCGCCAATACCTGAGAGCTCATCGAATCTACGGCCTCCCCGGGCGGCTAGCATAGGTAGCCCGGGAACATACGATGGCAACACCACCGAAGCCAGCGCAGACTATGCAAATAATCGGCGGAGAAGAAGAGCAGAGCGAGCACAGGCGAAGCAAGCGAGAGAAGCAAAGGGTGGGAAGACCGTTGAGTTTGAATAGTAGGGGTTTGCGAGAGATCTGGCGTGATTGAGGGAAGAATTATGTATTTGATAGCGAGGCGTTCTGCTTCTCATATTGGTCTAGAAGCTGTAAAAATAGTCAGCATAAGCATGGACACTGTTACAAAAATGGCACAAGATTTAATAGCCTTGCCTCCAAGAATTCTTCCACCATCGTTCATACAATGCCTCACCCACAAATACGCCCGCTTTGCATTAGACCGCTCTCCACGTCCTTCTGCCTTGCAACATGTTCACCATGTCGCCTCTCATCTACCTCCACTGCCTCTCCTAAAGCTCCTGTAACAGCCGCCCTCCCAGCCCGCTGGCTGTCAGATCTCAAGCAACGCATCGGGAAATGCATCATGTTTGGCCTCAACCAAGAGCAGATTGACGAAGTGGGGAATATAACAAGGATTGTGGCGAGAGATTGGCGGCAGTTGCTCGCGGGCTCCGAAGGGTTTCTTACGGGGAGGGGCAGGGCGGGATGTGAGGGAAGGGAGGTGGTTTGGGGGGAAATGGTGAGTGTCTTCTAGGCCCTCGGGTCACGAGAGGCGAGGAGAGTGATGGGTGGGATCTTGGCTGACTCGACGGGTGGGGTTTGGTTTAGGACGTAATGGTGAGTTGTAATTCTCATTTCTCGTCAAGAGGTACGGTGCGCTGTTTTTGTGCCTGCTACACACTGTGCTATGTATCGTGCTGCACTCATGCCAGGTCCAATTCTGATGTGCCTGTGTCTCCAAGTCTGAGTTTCTCTAAGACCATGCAAACTATCTTGTCCTTCTGATCTACGTTTCTCAATAAACCATGGAACTTAACGCCAGGGAAGGGTACGAAGACACGCTCGCAGTGACTCATGTTTCTCCCTGACACGATCTTCAGGGCCACGTGAACAACGTCACATACGTTCGATATGCTGAATCGGCTCGCATCAACTGGGCTCAGAATTTTGCCAATCACATAGATCCAAAGCACAAGAAGGAATGGTCTGAGCTTTGGACACCAAAGGGTGACGGACTAATACTACGAAGTATGAAGACGGATTACAAGTTTGTACATGAATACTCCAAAAGAACGACGTTACCGACGGTGGGTCCCTGACTCCTTAACAGCCCATGGCCTGGCCAGACCGGATATCAGTTTACCACAAACTTCGAGCAGCTCCCACAGCTACGACAGACTCTTTTATCCTGGATGTGCTGATACTCTCCGAGCGATATCAGCGCCCAGCGGCAAGATGTGTTGAGGACATTGTGGTCTATGACTACCGGCGCGGGGTCAAGTCGCCTTTGAGAAATTTTATGATGGAGAAACTCGGGGAGACATTCGAGCTACAGGAACAATCAAGGATACGGAATGAAAGGAGAGTAAGAGACCTGCTGCAGAGAGTCCAAAGGCTCGAAAAGCAAGTTTGGGACAGGCCGGATGCTGTGGAGGATATGGGAAGCGCTTGAAGCCTTGGTTGGTTCGGCTTGTCATTGAATCTCAAAGTGACTGTCAAAGGCTCTTACATTACGTTACTTCTATCCACGTTATTGACCTACACAAATAGAGAGACAAAGTATGGCATAAACAACTGAGTCTTCTTCGATGTATTATCTAATGTATACAAAACACGCACGACGATCCCTTCAACAGGAAGAAGAGTGCCATTTTTAGAAGCGGCGCATGCCTCGGGAAGTCGGGCGCTCGGGAACGCGCTTGAGACATCGAAGGTCAGCCAATGAAAAATTGCTGGTGCTGTAAAGTAAAGTAGTATCGAAGACAAAGTAAAGAAAGGTATGCATGCTTACTGCATAAGTGATGTGGAACACGAGGCTCACACAGAGCGCTGCCTCAGGCCCAATTGGGCCTCCTCGCCGGTGGCTTGCATGAGCCAACCCAGGTCAATGCTGCGCCTGCATCAACACTGATTGCGAGGGGTCTAGACGTACGCCTCCGTGATCTTCGTCATAGAATGCACCATGCAACATCAGCAACTAAATGGACTGTGACGTTGGAGTGTGCAAAAGGCACCTAAGCTTGTGCAGCCACGATGCACTTACATGATGTGCCGGGCTGTTTATGGTACTGTCTCGGGTCTTCCGTTTGTTTGTCTCAAGATTATCTAGATCTCCTTTTTCCCGAGGAAAAGGCTTGATGCATCTGGCGACCTACACCAAGCACCACTTCTCTGATTTTCTTGGTCGTTCATTTATGTATTGCATGATCCTTCAGATCCCTTGTCCTCTAAACAACAACGTCATCCCTCTTGCAATCCTTCTTGCCATCGCTCTTGCCATTGCCCTGTATTGATGAACGTCTTCTGATCATGGAGCACGGTTCCGAACAAACTGATGGCCTCCTTCGACAACCCAGCTCACATCTGTCGGACTACTCTCTCAACTCCAACTCTACACTAGTGACTTCTCCATCCTCGCCACCTTTTCATCGTCACGGTCATCCACGAGCGACCTCGGTCGCTGACGAAGATGCCTCAGACCATAGAGCCGGCGTACCACAGCAAGACGGCCATGGGCTGGGCATTTCGAGTCTCAACGAGCAGAAACGAGTGTCGATCACTGGGAAACCTGTTGAAAGCAAAAGCAGCTCGATAAATCCTGGATCCGCTGACCTGCTCTCACCAATGTCGGCATATCGACCAGGGGAGGATCGCCGTGACGATGAGCAAGATGAAAACCTCCACAGTGACTCCAACCTTTCATCGCACCAAGCGTTCACGGCAAGTTCAGATCACGAACCGCTCTATAACGCCTTTCCTCGCTCCGAAGGGGACTTCGAATGCAGACTGAAGAAACGTCCGGAGAGCCGCCGCGGCAGTTGGTTGGCAGTCTCGATTTTGATACTGTCAATTTACTCAACAGTGTTCTCGGGTTTGTGGCTCTCGATTGCGATCATAAGACCACGATATGGGCATACTGTCTCAAAAACCGGCGGATTGCCTTTTACAACTGCATCTACTCTGTTTGCGGCTTTCGCGAAAACGATTGAGTTGTCTTTCGTCACAGTGTTTGTCGCTTTCATTGGGCAAGCCCTGAGTAAAAGAGCGCTCTTTCAACCAAAAGGCGTCACGATTGCAGAGATGTCCATGAGATCATGGGTCATGCAGCCTGGGACGATGATCAGCCATTGGGGATCTGTACGGTACGCCGGTGCTACAAGATTAGGCGTTTTTGCTCTGCTAGTGGCTTTGATGGCAATGATCTATACGACAGCATCAGACGCTCTAGTGACACCAGTACTAAAGTTTGGCCAGACTGAAAATCGATTAATGTATGGCAAAGTCTCAACGTCATTTGCGAACAAATACTATATCGAGGACAAGTGCAATACGCCGATTCAACAGGCAACGGACCCTGAAGCTTACGGCGAAACTTGCATCCAAATAGAGCATGCGGGCCAAGCATTCCATAATTATATGCAATACTTGACAACTTGGGTGGATAACATCAGCTCGGGGAACACCTCGGCCAACATGAAAAACCGGCCAGATCCAGTGGGCATGGTACGTGTTCTCTTCACTGGCACCGACGCTTAGATCGCAAGAAGTGTTCTGGGAGCGAAGGCTCGTTTTCACACGCCAGAGCTATCTCATCATTTCAATTCATGCATTGAAACAGACGTGCTAACTCCAAGTCCTGCGTAGCTCTATGACAATACGACTCTGAAAGGAAGCTGGACACATCTACAGGACATGAGTCTTCTTTCGGAGCGTTACGGGAGAATCGTAAACAATGTCACTATGGTAATGCCGCATGCTGGCGTTGTCGCAGCGGCGATGGATCCACTCAATGGCATTCTACAGCCATCGGACCTCAACGTAAGTTGAAACCCGAGGAGGAAGTCCCTTCTCTGATCTGATTTGTTACAAGGGGCTCGGCACGTATTCCGTTCAGGCTTCGGTTCCATCGCCTGTTGTCAATGTTCTTTGCGCAGATGTATCAAGCGAAGATATGGCTCCAATGGTTTTTACTGAGTGGCCATCAGCACACCTCAATGGTAGCAGCCCGAACGTGACTAGTTGGACTACTGATTATAACCTCACGACTCCCAGCTCGCTGGTTCACACAGCTGTGGACGATCTTTTTGAGTTCGACGACATCCAGACTCATCCGATCTTCTCCAATTTTCCGAAATTAAACAACACTGTCCTCAATGTCTCAAGTGTCTATGGTCACGAATCAATTTATCTGCTCGCTACTTCTGCAACCGGCACATATACAATGTGCTCGATGCGTGTGGCACAGTCACCAGATTGCTTCACGGAATACAATGCCAGCATGAGTGGAGGATCCTTAACTTCGCACTGTGGCGATCTCCCCCTTGCATACAGTAAATCGGAACCAAAAGCTCCCAACGGCTTCTGGGAGAAAGACTGGGTCAATGTCGCCTCGGAATGGGGCTTCGGGTTGAGCTTAAATGCTGGTATCACCGACGGAAACGGTGCCATCTCTCGGCTCCTCACCCAGCTCATACCCACGACGAGCGCGCTCGACCCCGATCTTCCATCGATCTCTGAAGCGCTCGCCGTGCTAGCGGGCTGTACGCTTATTCTCTCTTCCCAAGGTGCACCTTTCATCCACTACTGGAACTACACGGCACCGGATAATATCCTGACGGGTCCGCAGTATCAAGCTTTCAACGCCACGCTCAAGACACAAGAGTACCAATCTGGCGGAGATCAAACCTGGCAGGGTATGTTCTATATTGTGCTTGTCGTCGTCTTTGTCGCCAACGTCTTCTGCTTGGTATATTTCGTTATCAGCGGCAGTCATATCACGGATTTCATGGAACCGCAGAATATGTTCCCTCTATCCGTCAATTCGCCACCTAGCGCGGTGGTCGACGGTAGCTGTGGAGGTAGCCTAGAGAAAGAGCAGTTCAGGGCAATTTGGCGTATCATGCACGACAGTGAGCGGGAGCACTTATACATTGAAAGCAGAAATGGTGTGCCAAAGCACGCGCACAAACGGAGCTATTCGCGGCAGACAGATTTCGAAATGAAGAGTCCGATAGAGAGTATGTACAGCGAGCTTGGTCGGAAGAGGACAAGTCGGCTATAAACAGTAGCGGTGGGAAGGAGGAAGACCCGCGATTATCCGAAGAGCCTCACGCTCGACCACAATATACTTTAGAATTGTCGATGATTTGGCGTACTCAATGCGCTGCGGCAGGTGTGTCTTCTCGAAACTTCCATAGATAGTGAAACGAGGAAAAGAGCAGAAGAGGTCTGCTGTCCACAAGACGCCTCCTTAAGACTGCACCTACACATCCATTACCATTTTTCCTGGGCCACTCGTTCTGACAGCCTGCCTGTACACTGCCGGAGATGAGCTGCACAGTGCATACTCCGCCTCGCAATATTGATGAAGATAACACGTATCCTGATTCCTGAGGGTTATAAGTTTAATGGTCTCAATGTACGGTAATACTGATGGGCTCCTCGAATGGATGATAATCATCAAGCAGATTGTGAGCTGGCAGGAAATAAAACTGCCATCGTAATAGTCCGTGCTTCCCGAAACTCAAAATTTAGACCTCCGTACAAGTAAGCGACACAAAGCTTTGCCGATTGAACCTCACAACAACCATAACAATACCAACAGCTGGCCTACGCCAATCTTGTTCCTCAAACTGCGCGGATATTATACCTGTTCGTACAGCTGATGAGGGACCTCAGTGCATCTGACTGAGCTGGAGGAAGAGCCTCTTCATGCCACGAGCAGGAAACAAAGCACGAGGTTTAAATCAGCACAACACCCGCCATGAGAACGGCGTCGTCGCCCCGGGCAAGAGAATAGCAAAGCAGAAGTCGAATGGTCATCTCAATGGGAGCGCCGATGGGACCTCTCATTCAAAGCCTCTGCCGACTTCACCCTCTTCTGCTGCTCGCACGACAACGCGGCTGCCTGACACAAGGACGAACGATGAGTCCTCAAATACACAAGGTGGTTATCAACACGCGGAAGAGAAGGGGCCAATAGAGAGTTTGCCCGAGGCTTCAGAGAGACTGTCAAGTGAAATGAATTATACCAACGGCTCCGTCGAGCACGCACATCGCAAGATCGATGTGAATGCCGCAAAGAATCCTATGGTCCACGATCATAGCATATGGCACCTCGCTCTCACAATTCTTAGATCTTGTCCCCTTGGTGACACCCTTGCGATCCTCATCTTCCTTCTCTCGCTGCCTCCAACAATGTTGACTGTCACCAATGCTCTGTTTGCCGTGCTGACCTTCATCACTCCCACTGGCTCGTCATCTTTACCAACCAGCTTCGGCGATATCTTCCAAGGGTCAGGAGGCACTCCTTCGTTGGCCACAATCATTGTGACGGATGTTTTCGGCTTGTTTCTATGGTTGGTCATATGGGCACCAATGCAAACGCTTTGCATCGAATTGGCACAAGCCGTGGTAGCGACACAGTTAGGGGGCGGCAACGCCAGTAAGAAGAAGGGCTCGGATCGGACTCTGCTCTGCATGGGCATAGTAACAGCTAGTCACATGGCCCGTCATCAATGGATACCAAAACGACTATTCGGCTACGACTGGTCCGCAATCCTATCTTCCATACCCTATGTATCGAAAAGTCCCACGTTGTTCTCTACGAATGATTTCATACCAACACGTTCGCCAGCTGGCTGGTTTCGTATTCTGATTGCGCTTCACGTATTAATTCAAGGGTTGGTCCACATTGCCAGGAGATGGATCCAGAAGCGAGAATACTCTCAGCCAGTCTCTGCCAACAACAAAATGGACCCGGAGGCAAGAGCGGGCTCCCCAGTCCGTCCCACCGTCATAGCCTCTGCCGAGCCAAGTACTCAGGGTGTTTCCGTTGCTCCTGATTCCGTGGCGAAAATTCCATCGGCGAGCACAAAAGAAGCACGAGACAAAATCTCAAGCGGCAAAAAGAAGCGAAAGCAGGGCACCTATGTCCGAAGTCAGCAACCTCTGTGGGCCGCATTCGCTCACACTAAGATTACAATATTGCGCGAGTACGAGCAGTCACATACCCATTCAGAAGTCTCAGGGGCCAATGCTATCGATACAAGAAACCTTGGGAGTGCTCCATTTGTTTCCGAGGACGGTTGTGTTTGGATCTCGGATGTGCTGCCCACCAGCTTTCGCTTCAACGCAAGCTCCTTCACAATGCCGAGGTCGGGTGTTCCTGGTCCCGAAAAACTAATTATCAACTCCAGTGCTGGCATTGATCGTTCGAAACCCCTCTATGTGCGCATTAATGACACTGATTGGACATCGACGACATTCGAGGCGACTGCAACGGACGAGAGCGCAGATGGGCAGTGGACTGGCGAAGTCTTCGGACTTTCGCCGTCTTCCAGCTACAAGTGCAGCTTCGTCCAGAGCGAGGATGGTGTGGTAGTCCATTCTGTAATAGTCACCACACCACCCTCGCTCCCTGCCGAGAACGGTACTGCCAGGCCATTTGTATCTTGGCAATTTCAATTGGCTAAACTATTGCCAGATTCTTACGTATCGTCAGCCCTCCCTGCCCATCGACCACACCGCCCATCGTCGCCTACAAGTCCCACGACGACCTTGAAGAACTCAATTGCAGCGTTCGAGTCGAGTCTTAGCGAAGCTCAAGCTCGCCAGAAAAGGAGTAAAAAGGATAATAAGACAGCGTCTGCGTCCCTCAAGAAAGATATCGAAGTTTTCAGTGCTAAAATTTCCAAACTCGGAGGCGAGGACAAGGCTCATCTGAATCGTCACTTGCAGTGGAACCAGCATACCCGGCAAGCGGATGAAGCAGTCGCGTCCCTCTCATGGGAAATTGAATCAATGGGCTGCCTTCCGGAAGATGAGATCAGAGTATCCAAAGAAAGGAAAGCCGGCTGGGACGAGGCAAGGACGCATCAAACGGCTACGAGAGACGACCTCTTCCGTTGCAAAGAATCTGCGCATCAAGTGAAGTCTTCTATCCATGCTGAAGCTACTTCGACACAGCAGAAAAAGGAGCGCTTGGTTGCACGAAAGTCCAAACTCAATGATCAACACGACAGACTTGAGTCAGCTACCAGCCAGGGTCTCGACGAAAGGCAGCGCAAGAACTCTGAGCAAGCTGCAAAAGATGTGGAGCGCCTTCAGATCGAGCACAGGTCCGTCGATCAAATGGCGCACTGCCGACAAACCATACAGGATAGTCGACATGTGACTCAGCAAATCTGGCACCAAGCCCAAACAGTTGAAAGCGCATTTCATGAGCAGCAAATGATGAGCACTCCGGACGAAGAACGTCCAATTACTCCCGAAGGTGACCTTCCTGGTACCGTACCTCATCATAGCGGTGCACCAGCGTTCCGCTTCCCAGCCTTTGGCTCTCCAGATCCACCCAACGGCATCCGCAGCCATTCGGGCTCTTTCCGACACAGCGACAATCGACCGCGCTCAACTTCCATGCTTTCCGGCAACAGTGTTTATGCTGACTTTGAAGACCAAGATCCAGCACCACCGATGCCGCCCAGAGCCGTAGAAGTGATTAGAGAGAGGGGTAGGAAACAGAGTGGAGGCAGTGGCAGTGGTAGTTCTGGTAGTCAGCGTGATCCAGCGAGTCCGATCGTGGGTAGTGCTGCACTGCTGAGTCCGGGCAAGAGAAGTCCAGTATGGAATCATTGAGTATGATGCAAGCTGCGCTACCGCTCTCGTCGTAGGCATTTCCAGAAGTCAAGCAAGCAGTCTATCTTCATATATCCTGTGTGATCTACGTGAATCAATTCTATGGAATACTAACTGGAAATCAGGGATCGGATGCTGTTCTGATGCCGTCTTAGACTAGGATGGTTGGTAAGAACCTCGAAAATCTCCATTGCCCATGTGGAAGCCTTGAGTATAGCTCCTCCTTTAATATCATGTCCTCCGTTATCGAGTGACATGCTTTTCATAATATAACATGCAGAACTTAGCATAACTTCAAGAACAGATCGTCTTTCCACTAATCAATTTTTGCCTTCGACCAAGATCATCTCACCAAACGACTTTGATGTATCCTAATTCTCGCTTCGCTCCTGCCCCAAAAGTTTGCAAGTAATTACTCTGAGTATTTATCTCTCGCAATGAATCTTTACAGGGCACTCCGGATCTAAATTCTTCTCTCATCGTGACAACTTAAGGTCAGACCCCAAACCTAGGAGCGACTGACTTCTTGCTCTTTCATGTCAGTGAAAAAGAACGAGTATGTCTCCACTCCTCCAGAAGCGTCGGCCACCGCAACCGCCTGACCCTCCCACGTCATCAGACCAGCGTATTCCGAATCGATCACCTCAGAGCTGGTTTCGACCAGCGAACAACCCATCTCGATCTCCATCCAATCTAGCAAGAACTCAGCATCCTCATCGCGCCCTCGGCTTCTCATCGATTAGAGAGCTTGCTAGATCCTCCTCACGCCAGACACTTCACACGCTTCCAACAGCTACGTACCAGCAGCCATACTCTCACGGTTGCTCTCCGCCAAAAGATGGAGAAGTGAGGCACCCGATTGCAGCTAAAGACCCGGGGTTTCCCTTACCGTCAGGTTCCGGGTTGCAAGACTCTCGCGGTTCCAGTGTCGAGTCACTTCCCATTGATAAGAGCGGCATCTCAAACGATTCTACTTACGCAACAACACCGTCGCCGGCAAAGCACCCCGCGTTTCAACTACTCGAATCAGGCTCTCCTGTACAGCGGAAGAGTATGGGCAACAAAGCCTCGACGGTGCTCAGGAAACCTATTCCACCCGAGGGTAAGCAGAGCTCAGCGACAATCACCACGGACCCAGATAAATCTCCTGGACCATCACGCAAGCAGGCGTCTACTGGAGCACAACAGCCGGCGACCTTCCCAGCACGCGGATCTTCCATCATAGTCAATGTGCCGCGGCGGCGCTCCTCCTTGACCGTCCTTCATCTCGACAGCTCCCACTTCGAGACACCTGACCCTCAGCATCGAAATTTGCAACATAGAGCGAGTACACTTACGGAGCCGCGCCGTCGACCAAGCATTCTTTCAGAGACAAGACGCCCCATCACCACCATCGTGACATCTTCCAGTGACACAACGCCCACGATCGAGGTACAAAAACGTGAGACGCTATCACCAGCCTTCCTCTCTCCACCATTGCTTTCTCCCCCACTCTCCACCTCTCAGCTCTCATCAGCTTCATCGCAAGCGCCTTCCTTTAACTCTCGAAATTCGGTGATACCAGCCTTTATCCACCTGCCAAAAACATATCCGGACGGTCCGATTCCGGTGCCTGCGCCGCCACTGACAATCACCCATCACAGATGCTACCAATCACACAGACGTATATTGTTGTCGAGGAACAAAGTCAATCCGGTCCCGTGCATGACGTGTGGAGAGACGGAGGGCGAATCGAGGTGGAAATGCATATGGTGCGCGCTGAGAATCTGTGGGGTGTGCATGGCGGAATTCGATGCGAAGCATAGAAATTTGGATAAGTTCCTCGCTTGTCTTGAGAAGACTAAGGAGGGCAGCGAAGAGAGCGGGGGCAAGGATGAGGTCCAAGGGTTGGATGGTAGAGGAGAAGAACGAACCGAGATTAAGAAAGAGAACGTGCCGAGCAACAGGGAATCGCAGAGGCTAAGCACTGCAGCAAAGGTTAAGCTCCGAATGGCGTCGAAATGAGGCGGTAGGGATCTTTTAGGCTGGCGGGTCAGTTTGATGGCAAGGGTGTTGCTATGTATAAGTACGTGACTGCACGCTCCTTCTTTGCATGAGCATTTTGCGGCATGGCTTCGGTTGGACTTCATCTGTTATGTTAAAGATTGCACATGTGCTATTATAGCCCTAGATTATACTCCGTATCTCTGGCTCGTAGAATATCGTCTCGATCGTTTCGCACTTTAGCAGCCTCATTTCTCCCCATCATTCTTGTCCTCTCCACCCATCAGCCCCCCAACCCACTCTCTATACCGGAACACCTCTCCTCTTCCACCACCGCCGCCGGAGCCTTTCATCTCCTTCCCAAAAGCCTTTCGCCCCACAAACCCACCTAATACCTCCTCTATCTCCCTAGCATTGACTCCCCTCTCGCCCGGATCAGGCGCAGTGTGCAACAACGCATCTTTCAGCTCCCCTACATCTATCTCTCCACTGTCATGATCATCAAATGCAGCCAACGCATTTATCAGTTCTGTCTGCGAGGATAATGGCGCGAGGAGAGACGACAGCGTTGAGAGAAATGTGGGAAGAGGCAGCGTTTGTGGCGCCCCAGGCGGGAAGAATTGCGAAGTTGCGGTTGTGGATGCGTCTTGGCCTGTCCTATGTATCAGCGGGCTGCATCCCATGTTGTGAATGTAGGTCTGTCGGGAGTCGCGCACCAAGGTTCGTAAGCATGTCCACCACATCGTCCCTATTGACCAACCCATCATTGTCCCGATCCAAAATCTGAAACCCCTCGCGCATCTCGCGCACTTGGGAAGCGGGCAGTTTGGACAACGCGTCACCGTTTACCATCGGCCTTCCTATAGCGTATGATTGATTCGCGGCTATCATGGTAGCGGTGCTAGAGCTGCGGGTAGGAGAAATCGGGGGTTCTCTCGTTGTCAGAGAGGGAGTGGGACCGCGCGGCGTCCAGCTGCCGGAGGCGGAGGGTGGCGTGGCGGCATTTTGTAGTTTGAAAGGGGACGTGAGTGGAGTTTGTGGGGTCTTGGTTGGGGAGGGTGTGGGTGTCGTCGCGAGGTTCGCTGGGGAAGGTGGGGAAGGAGATTCCGGGCGGCGGAAAGGTGAAGCGGGGGATTCCGGGCGTTTGAAAGGGGAAGTTCGTGGGGAGCCGTATGAGAGGGGGGAGGGTTTGTAGGCTGGTGGTAGGGACTGGGGGGTTGTTTGTCAGTGTCGATTTGGGTGCAATGGGGGTTTTGAGCATGGATTGGGGAAGTGGAGAGGTCACCATTTTGATCTCGGCGCAACAATATATGTCTCTCTGATAGTTGGTGCGGAGCCGAAGTTGCCAGGGTGTCTTCAAATCGTGTCAATTGAGGAATCTCGTCAATCGGTATGGACTTTTGTAGGGGCCCGAAATTGGCAAAAAGTAAACAGAGCTTCGATTTACTGCCAAACCCGCGCCAAGGGTTCAGCCGCAATCTATAGATTAGGGTGTAGAAACCCTGAGCTGCAAGGGTCGTTGAAGATCACAGAACCCCTCGATTCGAACCATGTCACTCTAGACGGGAAGTTGTGGCACGAACTAATAGTGGTGGTGTCTCCTTAATATCTATTTCATAATCTGTTGATACGACCGTGATGAGTACTAGTACACATGCTGCAATTGGGTATCGTTATTCGGTGTTTGTGAGTCGAATGCATACAAGTATGCGCCTTCCCGTCAGACCGCCAGACTTTGTGCTGATCAAAATATAAGTAATGGCGAAGTGAATACCTCTTTTCCATGCTTCTCTTCTTGTATACACCCTTTGAGATACCGTCCTGCCAGCGAATTGACCGAAAATGACCTCTGTCCTATCCTATCGACCTTCTACAAGCGGCACCACTGGTAGTGCAAACACGGTTCTTAATCGCCAGACTTCTCTGTCATCCTTTCCGTCTACTCGAACACCGTCCAATCCTTCCATACGCAATGGTACGAGCACAATACCCCGTCTGCCCCACCGGGAGTCGGTCAGCAGCTCGCAGACTTCATCGACCCCTTCCTCGACCAAGCAGACCCCCAAACGCAATGGTGTGACACGGCCGGCAAGAAAATTGAGATCGCAGTACCCTGCAGATACGACAGAGAAGCATGTCGAGTATATCCTTGTTGCATCTTTCCACGTTGACCGGGGGCCTATCATGGAACATCAATATCCAGGAGCAATCAGCGGTGACGAAAATATGCTTGCGGAGCTCATGTTACCGGACCAAGTACACAATAGAAAGGAGGATTGGACGATCTTTTTTCTGCATAAAGACACAAGTGAAGAGGAGGAAGCGACAGAAGGCGACGGTGCAGAGAAGGAAGCAGCTACGGAGGATGATGCAGAAGGTGCTGATGGTGAACAAAGCATCACTGATGTTGACAGCGATGCGAACACAGCAGAGGCTGGTGGGGAAGAAGAGGAAGAAGATGCAGAAGGAGGAGAAGGACCGCCGTTGATCTATGTACTCAATTTAGTAAACACCAAACATGACGCATCAGCGAAAAGGTGTGTCCGTACCCTGTCCGAACCAAGGACATGCTGTTCTAACCCACACTTTTGGCAGAGGTGCAGTAGTAAAAGCAATGGCGATTTGTACGCGGCATCCGTTTCTTCACATTTACAAGGTACAGAAACCCTTCAATTACCTCCTGGCAATCGAGGAGATCTCGTGCAGAAGCTGACCGAGATTGAAGCCACTTTTGTTATTAGCCCTCGAGGAGTATTTCAAATCGCCTTTCCCGGAGACTTTAGAACATCTATACAACGCAGTTAATTCCATGGATTTATCCCTAATGCCACGACTATCTATGCTTGAACGACATATTCTGCTAGCGAGCGACACCAAAGATTTATTCGTTGAAAAGTTTGATCACATGATACAACAACGTCTTGCGGAGGAGGCAAAACACGATGCAATATCGTCGCCAGACTCACCATCAAAACCCTCACCATCAAAATCCTTGCCATCGAAATCCTCCCCGGATCTTGTTGGTCACCGACCGCGATACATTGTCCCCCGGGATACACACGAATTCGAGTCCAAGGTTGTGTACAATCAAATCCCCGTCCCAATCAAAGTACCCACTGGCATTTCACCGGAAACTGTCGGCGACTTCTCTCTCATAAGGCTGATCCAGACCTTCTCAGCGCCCCATACTTCTACACCTCAGCCTTTCGCCCTACACCCTCATTTGACTCCTAGCGGCGCCTATACCCATCCAATCATTGTCCTTGTTAACGCATTACTTACCCAGAAGCGTGTCATCTTTTTAGGTCACAACAGACCTTCTGGTGAAGTTGCTGAAGCGGTCCTCGCTGCGTGTGCATTGGCATCTGGAGGCGTCTTGCGAGGCTTCACACGGCATGCATTCCCCTACACGGACCTCACCAAAATAGACGATCTACTCAACGTGCCTGGATTCATCGCTGGTGTCACAAATCCAACCTTTGCCAATCATCCGGAATGGTGGGATCTTCTTTGTGATGTTCCCACGGGTCGAATGAAGATTAGCAGCCGAATAGAAAATGCCGGCATAACAGACGGCTTGGTCTATTTCCAGCAGCAAAATCCCCTTTACGCTCCAAACGCCAACGGAGTAGGTTCAACCGCCTCTGCTCTGGCCTCGAATGGTGATCCGACCGGCGACACTGCTTTTATTGAGGACACGGTCCGCAGCATTAGCTCTCGTCATGGTGAATCAGCCATCCGATCAAAATGGAGAGACTACATCATCAAGTTTACTCGGATTGCTGCTGCCTTCGAGGAATCAGTGTACGGTGCGTCTGCATTATACATCGGAGCCTCGGAAGCTGATGCTGGCGCTCACGGTGTCCGCGGCCATGGATACGTCTGGCCTGATGATGGGACAAAAGCCCGCGAGCTAGGCGCTAATGTCTGGCGGATCGAAGGCTGGCGAAACACTCGTAGCTACTATGTTTTCATTCAAGATCTTGCTGCGATGTGGGAACGTAGACCAATCCGGTCGCTGGATCTTGCTCATCAGCACGACCGTCTTCGAAGTCTGAAGCTTAGCCATGATGAAAGCGCTGCTATCTACCTTGCGCTTTCAGCCTCGGTGAAGACGTACGATGAAGTGTGCCAGCTGTTGTGCGTAACGCCGGAGAGCAATGCGGGTCTGTTCTACATCAGCCTAGGTCTCTTCCATCCTGGTGCCAGGGTCAGGGTAGCAACTGTCGAGCTGCTGGAGCGGATGATGGGACATGAAGTTGGACGACACTTCTGGGCTCAGCTAGGCCGGTTCGCCAAGCTGGCTTTCTTCAGGGCGAAGAGGGAGATTATGAAAAGCAGTGAGTCAGGAAATAGTCCTGTGGAGAACATGGCGGGCCTGGGATTGGATGCTAGGGTGAGAGCTGGTAGGGGAAGAGCGAGCTGATTGTTCATAGCCTTTTTCGATTGATGATAATGATTTGTTGTGACTTGCTTTGCCGTGGACCAGGTTTTACGCAGTCTAAATACCCTAAGAGCGGATGGTAGTAACTACTGAGAGCTATGTTGATGAGGTGTCCCCGTGATATTGCCCGTGCAAAGCAGATTCAATCATGCTTCTACCGCATGCCTCACAGCTATGACAACACAATTCCCTGCTAACATATGCAGTCACCTCTTAAGATCTACATCCTTTCTCCAGGGAACAAGGAGGAACGTCTGTATAGCTGGATGAAGTGGTCCGCCATGTTGTCCTTCCAGTCAGATGGATCAGGGTGGCATTTAGAAGCTCGAGAGATTCGGTCAGCAGCAAGATAGCCTTTACAAATCCAATCTTCTCTTCAACCCTCGGCCTTCTCTTCGTCCACACCCACCACGTCCCCAACCTTCCGGTAACCGCCTTCGGCATAAACCAACCCTATACCCTCTCCGCCCTCGTAGCCCCCAGACTCCACAACCTTCGCCACGACGACCACGTGGTCTCCCACCTCCACGCACTTCTCTCCCAAAAGCCTGCATCGCATCCACCACGTTCCGCCCATGCCCTCCTTCAAGCGACCGTCACTCTCGATCAAACCATGCCAAACGCTCTCTCCATACGGATCTCCCCGCGCGACTTTACGCTTCACGAAGGCATCGGCGACCCGGGCATCTTTGAGGCCGCTGGCGGTGAATTCGCAGGAGGCTTTGATGGCGAAGTAAGTACTCGAGGGAAGTCTGATGTTGAAGGAGACGTAAGGTTTGGGAGTCAGCGTGACGGTATTGAACGAGGAGACGAGAAGGCCCGCGGTCTTGGGCGGCTGGTCCGCGTCCTTTCCCTGAACCTCTGGTGCCGCTCCGTCACGCTGGTTGCCCAATGCGGCAGATGCATCGTCTTGGGATTGTTGGGGTGGCCAACGGGATATGATTATGGTGAGAGGATTCGGAGTGGAGCGCATCAGGTGTCGTATATGAGCCGGGACTGCGGTCGAACGGGTCATTAGTATCCGACAGGGTGCTCGAAACGGTGGAGCATACAGTTGCGCCGAGCTGCATAGCTTGGTTTCCGGTAATCATAGTCGGTCTTTTCGGGGGGAGCATCGTTTTCCTCCGGATCTTGCTCCTTCAGGTGCCTGGAGGCGCTGAAGCTTCTGCCGTACGAGGCAGACGGTGGTGGTCGGCGAAGAAGACGGAGAGCGGCGGAGGAGAAGCCATGGCGCGTGGTCATGGAGGGAGTGCTTGAAGGATGGACGTTGTGTGAAAAGTCATGCCATGGTAACGAGAGCTCGAGAGCTTTGAGAAGACACAATCGAAGTATCCCCGCAGGTTGATGATCGTTTTAATGGGATTGGTGGTCGAGATGATGGTCGGGGATGCGTCAAACAAGTCTATACTAGATATCTGCCTCTACTCTAGCTCTCACCCGAGGCCGCCGCTTTTACCCCTGATTGCATAATCCTTGAGAAAGAAAAAAAATTTCCCCCAATTCTGTATATAGAAAGGATAGTGGGGGAAACGCGAAAAATCGCGTAAATCCGTCACTTGATTACGCGCCCACTACAAGTAGTACCTAGCGCTATTTGTCACCTAATCATCCGGCCATAGGATTCTGCCAGCAATAAATATAAACACAGTGACCAGCAATGATTGACTTCGTCAGGTAAATATGCCCTCACACTATATATATTTACGTGCATAGCCATGCTAAGTGCTCCTGAGCGTCGGTAGGTGGTGTCGCAGGCAGACCGCAACACGCGGTCCGGAATTGCCAAAGACCAACGGGGCTACTGGGGACCCGAGCTACCTCCAATCGCTACCTACAACAGAAGACAACATTAGCCTGGGGACTAAAGCGATCGACCGTGATCCCGTGTACGGCGACCCGATTAGTGAACCAAGAAAGAGACGCCGGAGCTACAGCCACAGCCACGTGGATAAAGATCGCGAGCGGCCTGTCGAAGCGTCACACTCGATTCTGGGAAACTCAAAGAAGCGGCGACCCAACTCCTCCTCCTCTCGTATTAAGGATTCCGAACGCCGGGGCGACGAACGCCCTTCTAGCTTCGTATCCGATTTCAGTGTAGAGAAAAGTGATGACCCCTCGAGTGGTATCCGCCCCGCGTCGGTGCTGTTAATAAATTCATCTGAACGGACAGCTTCAGCAGAGGAGAAGTTGATTCCTAAATACAAAGATACACTGAAGGGAAATGAGAAGGAGTTGTATCTCCGTGTTGAGAGATGCGTGGATACGAAGATGTATCAGGATGGTGCTTGGGAGACGAACGTGACCAGCATATGGGAGGAAGAGGCTGCAAAACTCCAAGCTGAGAAGGAGGGGGTGGTTGCAAAGCTAGCATCTCCAAGTATCACTGCCAATATGACCGAAGTAAGAAAGGCCCCATTAAAAAAGCAGGTCACTTCGGTAAGCAACGTTTCTTCTCAACTGAGATATTATGTAGACTGATTTGCATTTAGCTTGAGCGCCGTCAAGAGCGAGCCCGCCAAAGTCTAATGAGAGTCTGCAAAACGCACATTAGAGAATGGTATAAGCTCGATGGGCTTTCGCCAGACGAATTAGCTAAAAGAGTCAATTATCTCCTGGACGAAGAACGCTTTCAATCTCCAGAGGACCATTACGACGATAGCAAGGTTTATCATTTCCGTTGCTAGATTTGGGACGTCACTAACGAAGACAGGGTCATCCATCATTTCGTTTCCACGCCCCACAGCTACGGAAGCTGACCGTTGAGAGGTTCTTTACAAAGCCACAAGCCTCTGGACGTAAAGATCCGACGTTAGCAAAGATCTACGCTTATGGTAAAGCACCCTGCCTCTATGCAGCAACAGTCCATCAGTGCCTCACGGCTTGGAGAGATGGAAGCTTTGATAAGAGCATCAAAAACACAAAAGCAGTAATGAACAAGGTTTTGCAAAAGCAGCTAGCAACTTGGAACAACCTATCAGAGAACTATCGGGACAATGTCTGTAGGGGTTTGGAGCAGAGTATGCTGGAGGCAATGCCTGAGAACGACAGATGGAAAACCCTGGTTCAACCACGACGTGAGCCTACAGATTGCGCCAACTTAGATCGAGCTCAACACACATACTAACTCTGTCGTCAATGGACTGCGTAATCGCTAAGCGTTTCACACTTGTAATTCTGGGACATTGCAGCGATGCGTTTGTGCACGCCATTTGATCTCCATAGGACGATCTAGCCGCCCAGCCTTTTGCCTATCCGGCGACTTGGCATCCAATACTCTCAACTCATTGCATTCGCAGAACATTGTCGAATCCCCATAAATAGACTAAATAGGTAGTATGACCTCGCCGACACTTCATACGTGATTCATCTCCCTCATCCCCAGGTCGCGCGTACGCTACTACGTCGTGCTTGGAAATGCACGGAAAAGGACGCTTGCGGTATTGCTGTACTATGATTATATCGTTTGCAGTTGGGGGGAAGGCATGGCAGTCTTTCTCAACTTTTACGTGTATCAGATATAGGGATGAATTCCGTTTTCGTTCGCTATGTGGCAGCTGGCCTTTTTATGTGACGGTGTTAGTCCCGAGTCTTTTGCGTCAGGAGTCTGGGTTGTGTTGAGCAAGGCTGGGAGAAAGTCAGCCGGGTGAGGGAAAGGAATCCTACTTCCTCTGTATAACCTCATAGTATACGACCTTTCGTCCCCTTTGAAGGGCAACAAGGTTACAGCTCTAAGGAGTACTAGCACGGACGCACGTAGGACAAGCGTAGATCTTTGCAGATCAATATATTATGACATTTTCAAGCCGAATGCTTTTGAAGGTTATAGATGTTTTAAAAATTCATATGTTTTTAAAACCTTTAAGAGCTTTAAGACCTTGCCTAATTGCTTTGCCAGTTTACATAAATACCCACTCCATCACTGGGTACTGAGGGATTATTGTTTCTGTTTGTACATATCCACCCCTTCGTCGACTACCAGTAGGAAAGCGAAGATGACGACCAAAGCTCAGCGCAAAGCGGCTCTCATGAAGGATTGGTAAATTAGGTCACATCAAAAATAAGGAGAATATAGTCCACGACGTAGGTAAATTACGGTCTCTTTATCTGAAGAAGTGGCGGAGAAACTAGCAAAATGCACTGGAAAAGTGCATCGCCGGATCAATTTATCATCAACTCTAGATGTCGGGCCTTACGCTCATCAGATTTACCACCTCCCTCTCCCAGCGCTTATCGAAACGAGCAAATTCCATTACTTTCGTCTACTTCATATTGGGCCCTTCCCGCTTTTATCTTCGCACTACTAGGCTCTAGGTACCTCAGTAATGGCCCTCGATGCCTCGCTTAGCTATTCTGCGCGTCCTTCGTTCTCCTTACCCTTCTTTTTCATTCGAACTTTTTCTTTTAACCCAGGTTATAATCTCCTCGAGATTCTACATCTTCTGCTTTCGTTATAGAAACCGCGTTGGTAAGGGCGGGGGCAGGAGGGGGCGCTAGTTGATGTGATTATGGCGTCAGTATTTGTATCGGCTGAGAGGGGCAGGCAGGAAATATGCGGTAAGCATGCAACGCTCTCCTCTCGTCTTCACATACAACCTATCGCATCTCAACGCATCTACCAAGTGGACTGCTAATCTTAAGCAGATGGTTTTACCCACGTGGCCAGTAAATCGGCGATTGCTGCCCCCCCTCCGTATTCTGAGAAAGGCGTACTTGCATGAATGACAGACTCGTCTGTCAAATGCGTATGCCTGGCGCAGTACGGTTGCAGCCCCCACCTTTTTCTCTCAGCCTTGTGGTGTTCAAATGAACCGACCAGAGAGCACTCGCCATGATGTGCTGAGCCTCCTCAACTATAAGATTCCGTGACCCAGACTAGGATTTCTCATCTTTAATCTAATCTTCTAAACTGGCCTTTCATAATCCGCCCCTCCCTCCACAATGGTTATCAATACTGATCCCTCGAGCCAGCAACATGCCATTGTGGTTGTTTGCATCGTTTCTCCCATTGTCTCTAGTTTATTTGTAGCGATCCGTGTTTGGACGAGAGCCTTCGTTAGTAGTTCGATTGGCTGGGATGACTGTAAGTTACCTCGTCTCCGTCTCCTTGTGGCCTCGCTCTCACACGTCAAAGATGCTGCCTTAGTAACTTGGGTAAGCACTTCCTCATGCTAGCCTTCATTTGTTGCGACCCTGCTCATGAGACTCGAACAGCTCTTTTGCATAGCCTACAGTGTTCTTATTGGATTAGGTGTGCTTGCTGCCCCTCTTCTACAAGCCTATATTGATCCACAAACTTTCTAGGGACGAACTATGGCTTTGGGTGGCATACCGCTGACATTCGGCCTGATCGCTACGTCGTGTACAACGAGGTGCAGGACTCTCGGCGTTTGTACTGACCTTGCTAAAAAGTTTCCCCGTACCAGTGGATCTTCATATCCTCAATCGTCTATCTTATCACCTTACTCGGCTACAAATTCAGCATCCTTCTCCTCTACCTTCGCATCTTTGGCGTGGACAAGAATTTCAGATATTCCATCTGGGTAGTCATGTTCTTCGTCTTTGGCTACCTATTTAGCAATACTTTGACCCAAGTATTCGGTTGCACTCCGATCGACAAAAATTGGAAACCAAAGACTCCCGGCCACTGCATCCTGACGACCAAGGCAGATTTTGCCTACGGTTCAATGAATTTCATTTCTGATCTCTTCATCTTCGTGTTACCTCTGCCGATGGTCTGGCGATTGCAGCTATCTTGGAAAGGCAAGCTAGGCGTCACCCTCATTCTCATGGGCGGAGCCATGTAAGGGCCCACAGTCAACCCAGTCAATCCGCGGCATGGATCTTAACAGTCTAATAGAGCATTCGTCGCTGCCCTTGTTCGTTACAGCCTGCTACTCCACAGGTTCTACGTGACCGACATAACATGGTATGACGGTAAGAATTTACTTTGGATGTGAGTCACCTTTTCTCGATCTCTTCTTGCAGTGGTTGAAATTCCGATAGGGTTCTCGAGGTCAACACCGGACTCGTATGCAGCTGTACGCCCGCGTTGAGACCTTATTTCACCCATATTGCCTCCAACGGCTTTTTCAAGACTGCATTCGGAGGTTTGATATCGCATCCAAAGGACAGCGTACGACACAAGAGACGGAGCGACTCTGGCCAGTTGGTGCGGCGGAACACGGGAGGCGATGGCTTCGTAGTCCTTGGGAATAATGAAACTGAGATGGAGGTACCTCATAATAAAGCGTTGAAGATGGTGCAAGATGTCTGAAGTGTCAAAAGTGGATCATGCGCCAGGGGTTCTCCATAGATACGAACGGCTTTTCCAATGGTCTGGGAAGCAATCAGTGCGAAAGGGGAGATTCCCATGTGTACGAGTACGAACGAACAAAAAATCATGGTATCGTTACTGAACGTATTGGAGTGAACGAATCGGTAATTTTGACGATCTACGCACACTTTGGGGCACTGAAAGCAGAGTCAACTCGGAAATTTAGGGCGCTCCTTGATCAACACGAGTACTCAATGGGAGGATGTTTCCGTTCGCTGGTACATTAACTTGATATGCTAACGTAGAGTCAAAAAGCAAGCGGACGTTAGACGACATTTCGAAAGTTTCCTTCTTCTGGTGTTAAGAATCCTAGCGCGTCCAGAGTATGATGCGAATGTATTTTGAGCGTCTAGTGACCGAGGATCTCCTTGAATGCCATTGTGATGATCGATCCTCTCACGGCATTGTCCCTGAGTGGCAATGTCGTTCATTTTGTCCAATTCGGGTGCAAACTCGCCGCAAGGGCTTATGAGGTTTACTCATCAAAACCTGGCACATCCGAGGAGAATCTGGAGATGGAGGGTGTTATATCTCGACTTGTTAGGACTGCGCATGATCTTGAGAGCCGTCTAGCTTCGGTGGGCCCTTCAACCTTTTCAGACTCGATTTCGAAGCCATCTCTACGATTGCAGGAGATTGCAGACACGTGTAAAATGATAGGCGAGGATACTCTACGTTGATTGGAAGCGATGCAGATAGATTAATTCCTATTAGTATGGATCAAGGTTCGCCAGGCATTGAGCATCGTTTGGACCAAGGACGAAGTCGACGCGCTTGTGAAGCGGTTGAAAGCCTCCATAAGAGCTGGACACAGCTATTCTCGTGTCCAACCTTCGAATGGATGTTTGAAGAGCCCAAAGCAGAGACTAAGCCCCTGCCATGGACCAATTTCGTGGAGTGGCTCCGACACGGTGATGGTATATACTGGGTTAACGGGAAAGCAGGCTCCGGAATGACAATATTCATGAAGTATATCTACAGCCATAAAAGAACGACGCAAGTTATGTCGCAATGGTCAGGATCGATGCAGCCTTAGTCGCTACTTTTTCCTTTTGGAACAGTGGCACTCGCGAGCAAAGATCGCAATTGGTCTCCTTCGCTCCCTACTATTCCGGATTCTCCATCATCGACTGGCACTTGTCCATCCGATATTCCCTGAGGAACATGCTATGCTACGAGACCAGCCACCGAACGCTGTGCGAGACTCTCCACGGCATGCTTGGTCACTACGCCGTTTACAGGATGCAGTGCAGCGGTTGGTTGATATGCAGTATCTTCAAATGAAACATTTGCTTGCTTGTTCATGGACGGATTAGACGAATTTGAAGGCAATGATGACCAGAACGACCGTCAATACCTAAGCGAGCTTTTCAGAAGCTTTGTGTCGTCACCATCCATAAGAATCTGCTCGTCAAGTCGTCCACTACTTATATTAAAGGAATCTTTTCGAATATCGCCGGGGCTTCGCCTACAAGATCTGACGTCTGGAGATATGACGCGTTTTGTAACGGACCGTTTGTCTAATTATCCGAGGATACGGCAGATCGCAGAGAATGAACCGTTTCAAACGCATGACTTTGAGAAAGAAATCTGCATCCAGGCTCAGAGTGTTTTCATTTGGGTGAAGCTTGTTATTAGATCATTGCTTGATGGTGTGAGCAACAGTGACCGTATGGCTGAGCTTCGAGCACGATTAGAACACCTTCCTGCGGACCCCGAGGCCTCGTACCGCCATACGATGACGAAGATAGAGAAATTTACTTGTAAGAAGCGTCGCAGGTGTTTCAGCTCGTCCAGAGAGCACGTAAGGTGCAAAGCATGAAACGTAATGACGATCAATGCACAACTCTACTTGCCATTGGGGGAACCTCGGGCATGGCAGTGAACACCGCGTCAGACACTTGGACCGCGCAGAAGCTGTCATCGCTGTACGACGTTATGAGACGTCGCTTACTAACCTGGTGTGCAGGCTTGATTGAAGTTCCGGACTTTATCTGGAACCGAGTCGATCCGCTGGGTCCCAATGCAGCATTGCGAACCAAGATTACTTGGGGAGTCGCATACCTCCACCGTACTGCGAGGGACTTCATAGAGAGCAAATCAGTTTGGAGTATGCTCCTGAAGCATACCGATACAAGATTTGACCCTTGCACGTCACTGCTCGAGTCCACCGTATTACTATACAAAGTGGCGGGACCACTCGTCAACAATCCACTCGGCTTTAGTCTCTTCAGGAAGGAATTATTGGAGCCTACCTGATACGCCTTACTTTTCGCAAAGCGAGCCGAAGAGACCACGGGAGAAGCACATCTCGAAGTACTCGAGGAGCTGGACAAGGTCATGACCCGCCACCTGATCGGGTGGACGGGAGAATATCCCGGACACTGGAGTCTGTTCCTTGGTGTTGCAGGCGCACCCAACACTCTTTACTCCTTGGTAGAAATGGATGTCTTTTATGATCTTCATCGATTTATCCTTGCAAAAATTGCCTCGGATTACGTCGAGTATCTCAACAAGGATAACATCAAGGAAGATCTCCCATTTGTTCGTGAGTAATTTGAGCCGGACCTATCAGATCCGAAGCACTTGTCCGCATGATAACATTGTTTGCCTGGGCTCGGAAATGGGCCAGATACTCCTGGAACACGACGCTGATCCAAAGGAGACATCTGGGTACGAGCGAAGATCAGTATGATGATACGTCTTGAAGCGGGCTATGGCTTTTGGCGAAAAAAAGTGGTTGCAGATCATGAAGTTCTTCTTGAAATCCAATGTGGATCTGAGGGGATATAGCAACAAGGTGGATAACACCCGAAGACGCATATTGGCCGTCGAGGGTTTTGGAGCAAAGCCCCCTGCTGAAGGTGCCTCATTGCGGGCCAGGGTTGACAAAAGCTGCCAGACAAGAAGAGAAACAAGATTAGACTTTGGGCGAGTGAGAAGCCTGGGTCTAGAAAGACGAGCGCTCACCAAGTCCGAATCTGAACTGAGGGGCTTTTTCGCCATCAAGACCTCGTCTGTGATCCGAAATCATGGTCGTAGTCCAACCGTTCGCGGATTGAAACTAGGAAGGGTTTCTTGCCTTGTCATTGGCGGCGGCAACAACAAGCTCAGCAACCGAGCCGTTTCCGGCTCCCGAGCTTGATTGGCTGGTGCAATGTAGGCAATGTAGGCAAGGTAGAAGGGACGGGTGATCTGGGCTTTTCGTGTCATACTCCAGGTATGAACGCAATCCTTCTCTCGGAATCGACTGAGATGATGAAGGGGGAGTGTCCTTCAAAGGAACAGGCCCGAGACAGAGGAGAACGACTAGTCAGTGGTGACCGGATAGGTATTCGAGAGGACTAGGTGCTGGCGAGGTGGCTTGCGCCAAGAGCAATCCGTGAATATTTTCAACTTATATGACCAACACGACTACCAGAACCTCCGAGCCTGCCAAAATCGACAAAGCTACCTTCAAGAAGGAGTCTAGTATTCTATCTACGGCATTTGCGTAAAGGTGTAAGACCGTTGGGAAGGAAATGGAAAAAGATTCGGAGGGGGAGAGGGTGGATAAACATGCTTCGCTCTGGTGTTGAATCATTGTTCTCCACGAGCCAGAAGGACGTTTTACCTCGTTTGATTCATATCATCTCCTTTGCCTCCAGAGAAGTAGTCTTGAGCAGATCCCTCTCCCTTCATCTAATTGTACACTATCTTCTTCCCTTCTTTGGTTTCTAGACTCTACTCTTTCGTTTTAGAATCTATGTACCAATTCAAACCATCATCACCTTATGATTTTTTCGAAAAAAGTCTTGAAGACTGACCATGCCCAACCTCCCTTCGTCTCACCTTTGAACCTAGTCACACCCTTCACTTTAATGTCATTGACCCCAAATGTATACCCACGACCATACAGCCCATTCATTCCTCCTCCAAATCCAGGGTCACAGATCTCGAAAGTAGAACTCATCGCCCAATTCCCTCCTCCTCCTCATCTGACTTGTGCGTGGCGTATATAAAGTAGCAAGCTACTTTTGAAGAAGATAATTTCTGGTAGTTAAACATTTCGAGGGGGTCGACGGTAATAAGTATGATAAATATTGAGAGGGTTGGAAATCAGATACACTAAAGCTGAGGGATGGAGAGAAGAGCGTGATGGGAGCGTCTGCTCATGAATTGGTCGGCGCTGGGCATGGGCTTGGGAGCGGCGATGAGGTTATGGAGTCCGGGGCGGCGGAGAGATGATTTTGGGGATGAGGGAGCCATGTTGGAGGCGGAAGGAGGAAAGCAAGAATCCGGGAAGTTGTAATGTGAGAATTAGGATCAAGGAAGCTGGGGTCGATGGCGAGGTGGTGATTTTTGAAATCGTCTTGATTTGCGGAGAGCAACTTTCGGCACTAGTCCCACGACGTCTCCACAAGCTTGATCGCTCAACCACCATCCACCCTCGCATCAAGGAAGAAAACAAAACCGCAACAATGTCTCTCAGCACCCCTCTCCGCCGCGCCTGCCTCCCCTCCTCCTCAATCCCCCAAACCCAATGCCGCCACGCGACCCTCATCCGCCGGCCCAAACGCCCCTACACCTTCACCCAACTCGTCACCCTCTCCGACGGCAGCACCTACACCCACCGCACCACCTCCCCGGCCCCGGTCTACGTATCCACAAAGGACACACGCAACACGCTGCTCTGGAACCCTTCGAGCCAGAAAATGCTGAACATCGAGGCCGATGAGGCGGGCAAGTTGAGGGCGTTTAGGGAGAAGTTTGGGAGGGGGTGGGATGCGGCGAGGATGGAGGAGAAGGATGAGGAGGATGGGATGGAGGGTGGTGCGGAAGGGGGGAGGGAGCCGGAGGAGAAGGAGGACAATTTGATGGATTTGATTAGTGGGTATGGGCTGGAGGCCGAGGCGAAGGGAGAGGCGAAGGGAGTGAGGCAGGAGAAGGAAAAGAGTGGGAAGAGGAAGGGAGGGCAGAGGTGACGGGGTAGGAGAATTGGAGGTGCGGAGGAAGAATGGTCGATTTGTTGTTCTACGGATTTTTGCATTCAGCATGGATGCGGGAGATTTTATACCCAATCGTGCACTGCTTCAAACAGAGTTCTATATTAGAAGTGTCAGGACCTGGAGCGCAAACCATTGAATCTGCGCAACTTCTCCGCGTTGCCCAGCCACATCAATTGCCATTTCTAGAGTGCATGTCCCTTCATTCACCTACTTGCTGCTGCTTCCCACGGGACTATCTCCCACGCTGCCGGGCTTCCATCGCATCGCTTCTTCCACTACCACAATCCAAGACTTCATGGGGCAACTCCCCTCATTTGCTCTTGTCCCTTCGCGCGTGACTTGGTGTTTTGAGTGACATTCTCCATAGTCTTTGTCTTATCATGGTAGCTGGCAAATCATCGGAGGTTTCCTGGTAATCCAAAAATAGGATCCTTTACTCAATCGCACGTCCAGAATCACTATATCTCTTCAACAAGTCAGCTTTCGCCAGAAAGAGAAAATGTCTGGATGCTTTAATACATACCGATATAGAACTATAGTAATCCAGGGTCAAAGCACACTTTGTTTGACCTGATGTAATTCAACCGGTCTGATAGCGTGCAATGCTTGAGCCGCAGGCGTAAAGTCTGCCAGATATCATTGTTGCGTGTGCTCAGTAGAAGCCCGGAGGTCTCTTGGCGACATTGGATTGAGGTTTTGAATCAATATCGCCAGCAGCCCCCTGTTCAGCGATCTTGTCAGCACCATCTGCTTCGGCGTCCAGCTCCTGCTCTTTTGGCCGCCCACTTTCCCCCCGTTTGCGGTCCTTGGCTTGCCACAGTTGGTCTACTTCTGCAATATTGCGTAATACTGATACTCGGATATGAGCTTCGCAGGACCATCAGGGATAGCTCGTGTAGCCACTTACCGTCTCTCCACTCCTGCTCCTGCTCCTCGTCTCCAGTGCCCAAAACCTTCTCAACATCCACGTTATCCCCACGCTGCACTCGATCCAGAACATCTTTCAGCTGTTTGATCTTGGCATCAGCTTTCCGGCTAAAAGTCGAGTACTCGTTCTTCAGTGTGAGCATTTGAATAGCGTTTGACCCGATGAGGAGGAAGACGCAGATGAAAAATGTTGCGGGGTTCCAGTCCTTCGAACGCTGAGGCTTGGCTGGTACTCGCGAGGTCTCCGGGCTTCGGAAAGCCTTTGGAATGATTGAGTGCCATACGGAGGGTTGGGCAATACGTGGTAAATTTTCTGTAGAAGTGGCATATGTTCGGCAGTTTTGGAAACGCGAGAGATTGACTGGTCGTAACAGATAGAATGATAAATGATGGGGCGACGATCTATACACAGCAGTCAGACGCTGGCAGTTCAACGTAGTAGACATTGTAAATATTGTGTCTGCTCAATTATAAGACATCCCAAGACTTAATACTTTACTTCTTACTTCCTAGTTCGGAACATCGGGACCGGGAAGCGCGACTTTCCCGAAAGCTTAATTGCCGCATTGTTTACTCGTTTTTGAGCCTCCGTCAATTCAGCTTCTGCAACACTGATATGCAGCATCTTGGAGTATGACTATGGCTTGCGTGCTAATCCAGTACTGCTACTTGCTAGAATACATAGACGCAGATTTACGATGACCCGAAAGGAGCTGCCAGCACGCGCAGCAAATATCCAACGTGCAGTAGCTTCAACCACAGCATGTACCTCTGCAACAGTAGAATCGTTGCGGTCCTTCCTTGCGCCTACCTTGAGTCCTGCTCTCCAGCAAAAGAAGCCATCCGCCAATGTTCCGCCGCCAAAAGGGAAAGGATCCTTAGCTCGACCAGTGAAAGCTGCTGTCGCGCGGGTCGGGAAACGGCCTGCAGTCACTATCCTCGAGGTCCCGGGAGAACAATCTGATCAAATACAGTCGCAGGATAAGTTAGTTCTTGCAACAGAGGTTGTAAATGCGACTTTGAAGTCCCTCACCGACGCTATCAAGGATCCTCCAGCAAGAAAGGTTACGCAGGCCAAAAGAAAACCACTTGCAAGATCTTTGTCGAGTTCCTCCTTTTCCAATGGACTCGAATCGCGAAGCCAGACACCTTTACAGTCGTTATGTGTCAATCGACTGGCCAATTCGCCGGGCAAACACAATCGTTCTCGACGCTCATCGTCCACAGCTTCGATGAAGCAAACGATGGACGGTCTGAGAGCTCAGGCGGAATGCGCGCGTGTTGCATTTGCTACTCTCCGCTCTCTTCAATGCCAGAAAGAGTCTTCGACCGCGTCGCCTTATTTGCAATTGGAAAGTGGTATGTCTGCCTTGATCGCCAAGATGTTAGCTTTGGGTTTTGACGACATTGCTTTACGGGAACTTCGAATTCTCAAGAGACGGCTTGAAATTTCTAAGGCTGCGTCATCTGATCAGGGCACTGCTGCTTCTGCGGGTCTCTGGAAAGAGGAAGAGAAATCAGATCCCAAGACCGAGACGCTGCCTGAGATGCTGAGATTCCGGAACACCAACGCCAGAGGACAGCTTTTATCTTTAATCGTCACGACGCAATTACAAGTGCTAAAGATTCTCCGATTAAGAAGGGACGCTTCCGCTACAGAAACCGCCTTCCAGCACCTACAATTCAGGGTACCACATTCTCCAGCGAACCTTATCCAGCGACAACTCGAATCGAATGTGCCTGGGTCCGAAGAAAAAGTTGCCCAACAATTGGAGTCTCTTGCTCAAGCACTTATAGCATTGTGCCCCACTATCTCTTTGGAAGACGACTACAAGTCGCTTGCGCCTGGCAGCAATGTATCTCCAGATATCACTTTTCAAATCCAACTCTTGGCTTTCCAGGTACGCTCAACGTGGTGGAAGATCTCGGGTCACCAAAGCGATATTGCGAAAGAGATTGTCGAACCTTTTTGTCGATGTTTAGCCATCTTCAGCGGTCGCTCAAAATTGACCAAAGTGGAGAAGTATGAAATCGCAAAAAGCGCCCTCGAGGTTATCAAAGAATGCGTTCAGAGGGTGAAGGGATTTCGGGAAGAAATCCTGTTCAAGACCTATCAAATGTTGGCAGAATCAGCCCAAGAAAGCTCGCAGTATTCCCAGGCTGTTCGCTGGGTCAGGACGGCAAGAGAATGCGCCTCCGAAAGTGCGTTATCACGGACGCAGTTATGCGACACAAATTGTCGATTGGCCAGCCTTGAACTTCGATCGCTGGATTCTGAGCCTAGCGATAAGCTCATTGCTGTGTTGAGAGATGCTGCCAGAAGCCTTGAAGGCGACTTGCAGGGTGAATGTGCAGATTTGGATGAGCTCCTATTAGCCGTTGCTAGCCTTAGAAGATCCGCGTTCTCTTTTGTCCAGGACAGCCACAAGTCATCGAAAGCCAAGGCGATAAGAGCTCATTCCGCGCTCGTCAATGAATGCTCAAATATCGTGTTGTTATGTGCTAGGTTCTTAGTCCGTTATGTCGGTAGTGGTAATATCCGAGGAGGGCATGAGAAGACCACAGTGCGCCGTGATCAGCGAAGGAGACTGGCAGCTAGATTTGCAACCCCAACCATTGAATCAGTCGTGGCAATGGCTCGGCTCTCTGCTGACTCGGAAGCCGGAATCTGGAAATCTCTAGATATAGGGCTTCAAGACTGCTCTAGACTTGCATCGAGTATCGCAGACTCTAATGCGAATGAAATTCGCGCTACCGGCGAGGACACTCGAGCTTCATCCTTCTTTATATCAATCTCTAATGCTTACTGGTACCGTTACCTGTGTATGAAGCGAGGGGCAACAGACGCGAAATCCTGCAAGGAATGTCTCCTGGTGTCAATCGAATTTATCCGAGATCGTCCGTTGTGCGAAAAGCTGGCAGGGTCTCTACCTTTGAAGCTCGAAAAGTTGGGACAGCTTTGCGAAGATATGCGAGACTATAAGAAGGCCGTGGACTCATACGAAGAAGCTCTTCATATTGAGCTTGATTCCGGTCTCCTTCGGGTAGCCATGGAAGCTGCAGCTATCCAGTCAATACCGTATGTGCTTGAGCTAGATAGCGAGCTACTGCCTCTTTCTCGAAAGCTATCGGCGTATCCTAGGGCAGCGTTGAAAGCTATTCATCAAGGTTCTCGACAACAATCGTTTTACGAGGCAGACGGGCTCTCTGCAAGTGAACGTGGGGTTCTGCTTGAGCAACAACTCGTATCGCTCTTAACAACTCTAAACGTCCAAGGCCCACTATCGACAACTTACGACGCATTGAACGACATAAGCACGTCATTGCTATCCACGTACAACCAAAACAAATTCCCAGTGCGACGTCTCAGGGTTGTTGTTCGTTTGCTCCGTTTACTTCTGACCGCTCCTGGAGCACTTAGAAATAGTCTCGTAGACAAATTGCTCGAGGAACCCACAGAAGCTGCAACGGGTGCTCATTTCGATATGGGTTTATTGAGATTCCTACCGCACCTCACCACATGCCGATGCCTTCTCATCACTCTGCGCCGAAGAGTCCCCAATTTCGGGGACCTGGAGTCAGTCATTACATCGTGGTCAAAGTTGGTCCAAGCGATCGTCGACTGGGATTCGCTCCAAACACAGGTATATGACATTGCAGATTGGCTGGTACAGCTCGAGATGTTGGGCGAGTACCTGGAAATGCAGGGACTAGATTTGTACAGAGTATCAGCCTTGAATATCGCGGTCGTAATTCACCAAGCTGCATTATCGGTGCCATGCTCAGCGCTAGTCTCAAAGCTATCTGAACTGGGCTTACAGCACGTGAGGCTTGGATATAATGGTCTTGCTGGTTCCGTCCTACACAAAGCGCAAAGGTATCTTGAAGCCTCAGATTTTTTCGGTAAGGTCAAGCTGAGATGGCATCTATCATACGCTGAGTACGCACTTGCCAATGGGAATTTGAAGACCTGGTCAGAACCTCTGCGCTCCACATGTGAATTTGCTAACCTCAAGCAGCAAGGAGAGTCTGGTGCGAGCCCAAGAGCTGCTTCATGGTGGTACCTGTACAGAGAAACCCGAAAGAATGAGGTCCAAAGATTGGAGCGACCTGTCTCAATTGACTGCGGATGCATACTACGTTCATTCATTATTAGCGGCTGCAGAAGGTCAACCATCCAAGGCGCTCTTCTTCGCCCGATTATGTGTGAAAAATTGTCACCGATCATGGGCAATCCTAGAACGGAGTCAGAACAGAGTCGATGGAGCAATACGGAAGGGTCCAATTGAAAGCGAGAATGACCCTCTGGTAGATGGCATGTCGGAGTTGTCGATAGCTGCTTCTACTGAGAATACATCAACGTCCCATTCGATGCTTTCCGGTGTTGCATTCTGGACCCTTGTTCCTCGGATAGTCCGCGGCCTCAATCACCTGTCCCTGCTCTTCTCCTATAGTGGCCTTTATCCCGAAGTAAGGTACTACCTCCAACAGGGGCAGAAGATTGCAACAGCCGTTGGGGCTGCGTCTCTCAACAGTCAAACCACCGCGCTTCTTGGGAGTTATTTGATCCGCAGTGGAGGGGTTGATGAAGGTGTGTTGCTAGTACAGCAAGCAGAAAATCTAGTCTCTGGACTTCCGCGCGATCGACACTATGCGTCTTTGCAGCTCTTTTTGGCTTCTCATCATACCAAACAGGGCGAATTGAGAGCTGGAAAATCTGCTATTGGCGTTGCAGAATCGACAATTGAGAATCTGGTGGCAAAGAGCTTCGTAGACAGCTTAATCCAAAGCCGCTCAACGGCAACAACTCTCGAGATCGACATGAGCGCACTGACTCTACAAGGGGCTAAACCGGCACGACCGCCTCAAAGAAGACAACAGCAGAGCATCTCGAAGAAGCCCCAGAGCAAGTCAGTCGCACAACGTGACTCTTCAAACTCATCACCGGAGGAAGCTCCGGCAGTCGAGGTGTTTGCCTTGCACCGTATGAGAGGCGAGATTATTCGAGCGCGCATATATGCAAAGATGTCCGAAGGCGGTCTCGAAGCAGCCGCTTCGCTGTTGAACGAGAGAATGGCTCACACTCGTGACCAGCAGGACCTAGTGCTGCAAGCTCTACTTGCATCACGAGTACACTTTCGCCAAGGACTCGAGCACTTCGTCAGCGACCCCGTCTTCTGCGTTATACCCGAGTCTACCATATCGTGTCCAGCAATCAAATCCTGTAATACTGACAGACAGGATAAGCAGAACAAATCTAGCAGCCCTCCAAAGAGCAGAAGCGCTACATTTTCAAAAAGTGCCACAGGCAAGGCGTTGGCGAGAAAGATCAAACCCAGAAGCCTGTCCCTGGCCAAGGATGAAGCTAAATTCCTTCGTATTGCGCAAGACGAGATAAGTAATGTCTTCCGATCAGCAACGACCTCCTCTTCTACGGCGACTGTGCATGAGATATCTGACGTGCTTGGGAAGATACTCATGGTACTATCTGCTGTTTCGTCGGCAAGTTCAAGAGCTTCGATTCCACCTGGAGTTCTGTCATACTTTCTAGGTGAGTCATCCTAAGCAGGAAGACAGAAGAATGCAGACTGACTTGTGTTCGCAGAGGTGGGCAGAATGCTTTCGATGACAAGGGAATCTTTGGCTATTCAGGTGGAGTGCAAATTGCCTAACGGAAAAGATACGTTCGATTGGCCAAACGACAATGCATTTGAGGGTCAAGAGAGAGCCCAGGTGCATGACATAATCGAACTTTCTACCTTTCAAGCTGAATATATCGATATCATACCCCAGGATTGGCGTGTTGTATCCATGACTCTGAGTCAGGAGCGAGATGAGATCCTCGTTTCCAAACTACGCTCTGGTCAGACACCGTTCATCCTAAGGCTTCCACTAAATCGGCACAATTCCTTAGACCAGGATGAGGAAACCTTCGGATATGATCAAGGAAAAGCGGAGTTGCAAGATCTTATCAGTCTTGCCAATATTTCGGCCCATAGTGCACAAGACCTGTCCCGTAAAGGAGCCAAGACCGAGTGGTGGGAGGGAAGAGCTACCCTTGATGCCAGGTTGAAGGATCTTCTTACCAATATGGAAACCATTTGGTTTGGGGGGTTCAAAGCTATATTCTCACAAACGGCGCAGAATCCGGCTCTCTTGTCACGCTTTCAGCAATCGCTCCAGAACATTTTGGATAAGCATCTACCATCTCGGCAGAGATTGGGACGGGGAGGCCAGTCAAATCGCGTGGCGCTAGATTTACGCGTGCTCGAGCTTTTCGTCGGCCTCGGAAATCCGAGCGACTCTAACGACTTGGATGAGCCTTTGGTGGATCTTCTGTACTTCGTGGTCGATATTCTGCAATTCAATGGCGAACGTAACGCTTATGACGAAGTTGATTTCGACTCAGTCAGTTAATACCCCACTCTGAATCCTAGTCTTGAGTTGCGTCTGCTGACTGCTTTTAGATTGTGATCGATATCACCGATGCCCTTCGGCACTACCACCAAGCTGTTGAGAACGAGCAAGGCAGTGAGTCGGAAAAGCATACAATACTCATTCTGGACAAGCATCTCCACTGCTTCCCATGGGAATCACTGCCGTGCATCAAAGATCACGCTGTGTCTCGGCTGCCTTCTCTCGGATGCTTAAGGAATAGGATCCTACAACAAAAGCCGAATCCAACAAGTTCCGATGGCCGGATATACGCCAGTAGGAAGAACGGAGCATCTGTACTGAACCCAGGAGGTGATCTGACGTCTACCCAAGGCAAGTTCGAAGAGCCGCTGCAGGAGCTTTCAGGCTGGGAATGCATCGTTCAGCGAGAGCCTACCGAGGCCGAAATGGTGACCTGCTTGGAGAGCAACGACATATTTCTGTACTTCGGACATGGTAGCGGTGGGCAGTACATACGGTCTAGGACCATTAAGAAACTCGACAAGTGTGCTGTAGCTCTGTTGATGGGCTGTAGCAGTGGAGCGCTGACCGAAGCCGGGGAATTCGAGCCCTACGGAACGCCGATGAACTACATGCATGCTGGATGCCCTGCGATGCTAGCAACGCTTTGGGATGTGACGGACAAAGACATCGACCGTTTTTCTCATAGCGTTTTGGAAAAGTGGGGTCTTTTCGAGGGCCGTCAGCCACCTTTATCAAGCAGTCCAGTCAAGAAAGGAGCGAAGCAAAAAGGCAAAGGCAGAGCCAAGAATGCTGAGAAGGTTGGGAGGGATGAGAGCAAAGCAGTATCTTTGGATCAGGCCGTCGCGCAAGGTCGAGATTCTTGTATATTGAGGTATCTAAATGGAGCAGCGCCTGTCGTGTATGGTGTACCTGTGTATCTTTGTTGATTAGCGAGATTGGGTAAAGAGCATTGGGTGGGAATCATCAATGGCACTGGGCAATAAGAGATCACGAGCGTAAGCTCAGGAGCACAGAGTGGGCAGTTACAGTTACCAAGTTTCTAGCCTTTTGATTTCACTTATTATTGAAAGAGCAAGGTGGTCTTGGTTGGATTGCAGGAGACGCGTCCTTCTCATGTTGGAGCATTATGTCTAAATCTCAGTCTCGCCATTACCACAGTCTATACTTTTCTTCTTTGCTTTCTTTTGCTTTCTTTCGTTTTCTTTTCCTTTCGTTTCTTCTCATCCAAAGAATCCTTTCTCCGATTTGCATGAATGATGGAATGGCAACCTGAAGATGAAGAAAGAGACCAGGGAACTTTGCCCTCTTTTGGACTGCGGATGTATCCCCGCAATCTCCACACAACGACGTCACACCTCAACTCCCCTCAGATCAAATATGTTTAACCTTCGCTCTCTCCAGTCCAACATGCTCAACCCTCATCCTCAAAAAACAATGTCTGTACAAACCAGAGCAACAATCGCATCCTTCGGGGGCAAGCTCCTCAAACTCTCCCACAATGCCTCCTCCACCAACTGCGAAATGGCTTTCAATCTCTACTTACCCCCTCAAACCACCACCAATCCCCTCCACAAAGTGCCCCTCCTGATATACCTGGCCGGTTTGACGTGCACTGGGGATAACGGGGCGGAGAAGGGATTCTTCCAGCATGCGGCGAGTGAGAAGGGCATTGCGGTGCTCTACCCGGACACGAGCCCACGTATGGCACCCCATGATCTTCGCTCGGTCTGGAACCACGCCTAACGGGATTCCAGGTGGTCTGAAAATCCAAGGCGAAGACGACTCCTTCGATTTCGGAAGCGGCGCGGGCTTCTACGTCGACGCGACCAAATCTCCGTGGAACAAAGGGTACAAAATGTACAGCTACATCACCTCGGAGCTGCCCAAGACCGTTTTCGACAACTTCAAACAAGTGGATCCGGAGCGAATCAGCATCTTCGGACACAGTATGGGCGGGCACGGCGCTTTGACTTTGGTGAGCATTTCCTTGCCTGTCATGAGAGATATATCGTGCGTGCATCGCTGATCCTCACCGTCCCCGATAGTTCTTAAAGAACCCGGGGAAATACAAGTCCGTGTCCGCCTTCGCCCCCATCGCCAACCCGAGCAACTGCCAATGGGGCCGGAAAGCATTCGGAGGCTATTTCGGCGAGGACGAGAAGGCCAAGTGGGCAGAGCACGACGCGACGGAGCTGGTGAAGAAGTGGTCCGGGGAGCCGTTGGATATCCTCATCGACGTCGTACGTTTCCCCCTCCCCCCTTCCCCCCGCTAACAGTACATACGCAGGAACTCCTTTCGCTGACCGGTTCGGTGCGGTACCAGGGCACGAGCGACAATTTCTACAAACAGGGCCAACTCCTGCCCGAGAACTTCGTCGAAGCGGCCGAGGGGAAGGGGAAGGTGAATGTGCGGTGGCAGGACGGTTACGATCATAGTTACTTCACGATGGCGACGTTTGCGGATGACCACGTTGGGCATGCGGCGAGGTACCTTTTGGCGTGAGTGTAGCTTGAGGATGTGGGATGGAGGATGTAGGCTGAGGTTTGTGTATATACAGCAGGGGTACGAAATTATAGATCTAAAAGCTAGTCCGCTGAACTCGAATAAGGAAAACAGGTCCATGTTGAGTGAGCAACGCATATCTTCCATGTGCTTCATGATGTCTAATGTGGCTTTCTGGAAGTTGACAGTAGTGTCCGCAGCTTGCTCCGAGTTGAAAGTCCTGCGCAAGAACATGGCAATTGCTAATACAAACTTTCATCATTTGTTCATGTCCCAGGCACGGCAATGTGCATTTGATGCGAACAGTCCAATTTTGGCCATTCTGTATGCGTTGGTGTTAGCCTCAGCGAAAAAAGGCATCTTGAATCTTGGTTACCCTCCGAGCAGCTTGGTTGTTGGGTTGCTGAAAAAGGAGTTGACAATTCAGGTGACCTGCGTGATGAAGTTGGCCAGGTAAGAAGATTCATGTTCAAGGACGACATACTTTACACAACGTCATGTTTGGACGATCCCTAAGATCTGCGTCTAGATCACCTCTCGTTCGAGCAAGTGCTTATGCAGTTTCAACGCAACTATGCTCTGGCCTGATTCATCACGTCGTGGCGGCAACTACGAATCACACGCTCGCCTTGTACCCCGAAAATGCCCACCCAAAATCCGCGCCGATCCATGCATGCATTTCGCTGTGCTAGTCTATTGAAATATAGATGCCATGCTATCTCAAGCTAGCTCCCTTAAACCTCTTAGCAAGCTGTTCGCCATCTGAACCTAAATCATAACCAACACTCGGTTCACGAGAAAAACGTAAAGGACGCTTGGGGGGACGCTCACCGCTTTCCCGCAGTATTTCCAGCAAGGTGGCCCAGCCAGGCGTTTCAAGGAGCTGGAATCCATCCGCGAGGTCGTGTGTACGAGCTACGCGGCAGAGCAGGGCCTCTTCTTCCTAGTGGGGGAGTTGAGGATTAGCAAAACGCAAGAATATTGGGTAAAGAAGAAGAGAAGCGGCTACCTTGCTGAGAATGCCCATGCCGTGCAAGAAGCATAGCAGATGAAAGTCGGAGACAGCCTTTATGCCCTTCTGGCCATCAATGTTACTTCCGCTCACACCGAGCTGTGTTGCTACTGCTTTCCATTCCTGGCTCTGACCAATCGCTTCCCGGTTTTCGATTGCGAAATTTGAGCGGTTGAACATCTGGGACGATTCAGTGGGAAAGCCATGAGTGAGAGTGACCAGCAGATATTCGACTGGGAAGCTAGGCTTTGCGTTCTCTTGCACGCTTGCTCCATACTCGTTGATTCGTCGATAGAAGACTTCAGGGATGTATCGCGTACGACTAGTGGAGCCATCGTCCTCCTCTTCACCGCGGACGATCATGACCGAGGGATCTGCTGAAGGCTCGACAATGTCCGCCCGGATCATCTCGACGGCAGAGTTCGAGACCTGAAACGCTGTGATGGCGATGCCTCCGTCTTCGTCTCCGCTCAAGACGCAAGTGACGAAATTCGAGCCAAATCTACCAGTGTCGCTCCATTTGGTGGGCTTCGGGTTTTGGGCTTGCAATCGGGCTGCGAAGGCAATTTCGAGCGATGACAGGTAGTAAGAATCTATGTGTCGTTTACAAACCACGGTACCGTCTCCAGCTCCAGCATCGATCAAATCTGTGAATATGACCCCAACTTTTTGCAAGCCACATAATCGTGCGACCTCATCGATCTCCTTTTCGTTCTCCCAGTCATGCAGCGTGCATCCATCAGGTTCATCAATCTGTGGCGGCTCGTAGATGGCTTCAACGACTGCTTTGACACCTAACGGCACCTCCTTGTATTCCTCGTAATGACCGTAGAGAAAGCCTACTCGTTGTGATCCTGAAGCCCTCCAAAAGTCCAGCAATGAGTTGATGAGCGAGGGTGACGCAAACTCGACATGATCTACCATTCGATAAGGTTGGGCCTGCAAAGTGATGGCGCTCGGCTGACATTTGGTACAGATACCTTCGGGCCACTGTGGGTGCCCTGACGGACAGTCCCGCTTTACTCGGTAGAAGGGTTCGCTCAAGGGTGGCATGTAAGACGATTTGAGTTCGGGTTTGTTGGTGGCGGAGTTGATCTTCCGGAGGTAAGAATGGAAGGAAAGATGCTTGATTTTCCTCTCTTCTAGGTACTGTGGCGCGTAAGGCTCGAGTGGCATGCAGTAATCGCACATCCCTTTCTGACTGTGTCTGCACATTTTCTCGTCACGGCGCCGCGATATCTTGCCATCTTGCTTGTCTAACCGGTTGTCCAACTCTGACTGATGTACTACTTCCCAAGGACTCTTGATGGTAGCTGTCGGAGAAGTCTGAGGGAGGGGAGCGATGGGCAAGTCTTCTGTTGGTAAAATGGGTATACCGTTTAAGCGGTTCGACGAGTTGTGCGGTTGTGAAGGAGTTGTGACAGGAGCTGTAGAGTGTCCGTTCATGGGAGGTTGTTCGCTGTATTTTAAGAAGAGTTTATCTCCATGTCTAGATAGGAGAGGGTCAGCACTGGGTGACACGCTATTGATCAAACAGTCTATACCTGAGGCCCACTTTTGTAATAGGAACGCCATTCAGAGAGCTCAGCAATCTGTCTTCGCCACCAAACGGCTTGTTCGAGAGTATGATGGACCGGGAGTCGACGTCTTTGGGCAGGTTATCGAGAATCTAGTGAGCCAAATTCAGTTTTGCTCTTGTATGACCAGGGGACCGTGGAGAGTAGATACTTTGGAAAGTAGAGAGGGAAATTGATCAGTTGGGCTAACGGTCAATCTGAACTGCCCGTTCTTGCTCTCGAACCGCAGGAGAATGGAGCTTGAAGGCGGCATAGCGATAGCAGAATCTAGGATGTGCAAGGCTTGTATCACCAACGCGTATTCAGAGCTGATATCCTGGTAAGTAAGTGGTGTTGGAGCATGATGAGAAAGTTGTGCTCCAGAATCGGCGTGTTGAAGAAGGAACTCGAAGGTGACGGAGACGGAGCTGCATATCGGCAGCGGCTAATCTTCGGGCCGACTCCGCGGCTCTCGAGAAAGTGCAATTTTGGCGAGGTGTTCTTTGTTCTGAACTGGTTCGACGCGACACTTTATTGCTCTCGATAGATCTGAAAAATCGCCGATACTTGTACTTAAGAGCTGCCCATATCCGTACCTTCTGTCTATAAATCGATGAATACCGGACTGCATTAAACGGGCTTTCTTTCTGAGGGGCTCGAAGAGGACTTAAAGAGCTGCCATCTGCCCCATTGGAAAAGGTGCTTCGGCACGTAAAGTGAGCTATGGTGGACCTGATTGGGCTTGCAATGCCTTTTGCGTATCTGGGCCTATTGGTTGGTTCTTTGGCGACTTTCTCCTCACTCTACAGAAAACGGAAAACAGGTGGGTGCCCCGTACGGCAGTCGTTCAGAGTACGTGTGCAGAGAGCTTACGTGACCACAGCAAGGTCAGCATCGTTAGAGCCATGGTTCGATCCTCACGTCCAACAGAACATCTACCTCTCTCTTCTCCATCTCGAACCTCAGCCCGGCCAAGACAAAGCCACACCAGTACCCGATAGCATATTAAAAGCCGCATTACTCCAACGGGCTGCAGAAGACATTCGAAGAATACTTGCAATACGAGGAGCTAAGCAGCCGCTGAGTCAGCTTTTGCAGAGAGGTAGCGTTGGAGATGATCTGTGGCAGAGGTTCCTGAGGGCAGAGAAAGAGATGGAAGCGGAGGTGAAAGATGTTGTGGAGGAGGTAAGAACTCCTCTCTGGGTTGATGGTAAAAGCTTAACGAATCTGCTAGGCGAACGCTCTCGCTACGAATTGGGGACAGACCGTCTTCCAAAGTGCCAACGAGATGGTCAACAACGCAACCATACGTGAGCGTGTGGGTGAGTTGCAGGCCAAGGGTAGAGCAGACCGTGAATGGTGGGATAAGGAGAGAGAAAGCATATCCTCAAAGTTCATGCAAGAATTGGACGAAGAAGTGCCTGTAGGGGGTTCAAAACCTGCATCGACAAAAGCTGGCAACAGCGACGAAGAGGCGGTTCTGGTAGAGGCTGGTGAACCCGCGGCAGGGGGGTCTACGGCAGGATCGAAAGGTGGCACGGTAAAGAAGCGGAAAGGAAAGAAGTAGTATTGTCCTGGTGAGGTTCTTCAAAGTGTACAATAAAACATATTCCCAATTCCACCGTGATCTGCGGACAGGATACCTTCTAAGGTCTTTCTTTTTTCATGATTTTGTGCTCTCGAAGGCGCATTGCCTCTCGAAAGGGGTCAAGTCATGCTCCGATCCCTACTGACTAGGCTTCTTGTGACGATTCTGGGCTCTCAGATTTTCCGTCATCTTGTGGAAGCCTAAGCTCTGGTCGTCGCCGCAAGTATGTTGTGAAAATTTGTCTTCGTCTGGCCATGCTTGGGAGATAACCTCTCAACCATTTGTTCGCCCAGGGTCAGCCGGCTACGGAGGGTCAGCCTAGCATCATTTCGGAAGAAGAATCTTCAGGCCACTTACTCTATAATGCTTCTGATGATTAGACTCCTTGTTTACGCGCCACTCGTGCTCATTCCTCGCCCTCGCCTCCTGCTTCAGAGCCTTCTTCTCCGTTGCCCTCAGAGCTCGCTTCTCGAAGTCGCTAACCCCTACCATGCCCATTTCACCTCTAGCACGCGTCGCAAGCTGGCGTCCTGGATGATCTGGCATGGGGTGGTCGCCGTCGGCAGCTTCGGCTGCTATTATAGCTCTGCGATCTGCACGCTCGGTGGGTGTGGGATAGGAGTGGAGATTCTGGCGATAGTAGCGGGACAGAGAACGATGACCGAGGGTCCGTCCTGAGGGTAGACGGAGTTCGTGGTCGCTGTCTGGGTGGAAGTCATGCCCCCGAGGAGGCGAAGCCTTGTCAGCCTCTGCGTGTTCCTCATCTTCCCTGATCATTTCCTCTTCCGCGCCATCCTCGGACCCGCCTTGAAAGTCATAGAATTGGTCAAGCTCCTCGTCGAACGCGATCTTGCAATGGCGCTTGTCTATCATGTGGCTTCGAATACCCTCAACTGTCTCTTTTACCTTGCCGCAGTACAGGCATTCGCGAAAACCGGAGATGATGTTGAATAGATAAGAAAGAAGACCTTCGGCATCTTCTAAATCCTCCTGATTTGGTATGAACATTCCATGTACTTTGAACATGTGTTCGAGGTTGTCACCCATTGTTGACGAGTCGATGTTACAGAATAAACATCGCGCAGGTGTATAGCCTCTCTCGATCTCTAATCGATGGGGCTGAGTTTGCAAGGAATCTGGCCCCTTTGCTTCTCCACCCTCTATTGTACTGTTGGCCTCATCTTGAGCTTTTGTGGCATTCCTTTCGAAAATTTCTGCAGAAATTGGGGCCAGGGATGCAATTTTGCGTTTCAGATTGTATCCACTTCGACTGTTAAATCACCACTCTGAAGCTTTTTACCAGTGAACAGAGGCTTACTGGTAGTCTGTGTGCATATGAGCCCGCTGGAGCTCGCTGCTCTCGAACTCTAACTTGCAAGTATTGCAGGTGAATGCGACAGACATTTCACGATTCTGTAGAATGATTTCCTGAACGGATTCTGGATTGATTTGAGACGTAGGATGAATTTTTCAATTAAAGAGATGATATTGGGGGAAGGAAATCACTGATCAACACGACTCGGGCACAAATATTCGTACAGGTAAGTCTCTGGTGCAAAGGGCGACGCAGGATTATTTGACCATGCCTATCGTTTTATACTCAATCGACCACCAAAACTCAAATGAGTAAGAGCGCGTATCTGGACTACTCGTTATGAGTCAGATTATCGAAATTCTTGGGGTTGGGGTGACCATGCAGCTACGGCGGGATCCCCACAAACGTGACTCAGGCTCGGTGCGGGCGATGACTCATGGAACATCATACACCAAGTGATGCAAAGTGAATCGCTCCATTCGATTTTAACAGGATACAATCGACTCTGAATCTCTCTTCTTCTTTCGACGCATGGTGAGATCATTCCTAGTGACGGTCAGGAAGACATAGACAATTGCCAAAATTACAAAACTAGAAACAGGAGCGAAGTATATCAAATTGGCTCCTACGCCTCAACCCTTTCTTGCACTACAGGAAACCATTCATCCGACTCAGGACTGTCTTCCATGATTGGTTTTGTGACAAAGCCATGGGATCAAGTCCTGAAACCGGGCCCACTGAGGAACTCTTCGTATTCCAATTCAGGCTGGAACTCGCAATATAAGATCTCCTGATACATCTTCAGCATTGGGAAGAAGATGGGGTACCCCTCACTTTGAGTGGGCTTACCGATTCGCTAGCCATCTTGAAGTTATAAGCTGCCTCCTCATCCGAAATAATGTGCTTTTTCAGGCCGTTGACCGCAGCCGCATCAACTTCTAATTGAATCTTACAGCTCTTCTCCATAAGTCTGAACAGATACCCAGCCTCATCACAAGTTTTTCCTACAGTCAGAAGGCCATGATTCATCAGTATCAACCCTTTTCCTTTCGGTCCGAGGGCGTGGGCCAGTTTGAGCCCCTCCCCTTCACCAAAGACGATACCGCCATATTGGGAGTATACCCCTTGCACACCGAAAATGTTGCATACATCTTGGTTTAGCATCTCCAGAGGCTTGGCAAAAGTCGAATAGGAAACACCATGGATTGAATGTGCATGGCAGATCGCATGTACGTCTGGTCGGGCTTTGTGAATTGCAGCGTGTATCAAAACGCCGGCAGCGTTGACAGGTCTGCTTCTGTTGCCTCCAACGATTTTGCCATTGTGGTAATTGACCAGGATCATATCGGATGCCTTGAGCATACCAAAGTGCACCTATTTTTGAGTCAGAACTGCGAACCCGAGTCCTGCATTTGACAATTATCGGGCGGACTGTACGCCTAAAGGATTCATCCACATCGCATCTGTCTGAATTGGGTCGACTACGCTGATATGACCCGACATGCCTTCAGTATATCCAAGCCTGGCGAAGACTCGAAACACGCCGGCCATATGTTCCTTTCTGAAAATCATTTGGTGTTAGTGTTGCATGTGTAAGATGGTGTTCGAAGTACTCCGTACATCCATTGCCTTTTCTCTTCAAGTATATAGAACGAGGGGATGCCGGGAAGTGTTGGCCCGCAAGATATAGCCTCAAGAGGTGCGAGCGCGGCAAATTCTGTTGACGGAGCGTTTGCCGTGGCATCGGACGTTGCGATGGGCGCCATGACAATAAGGTTGGCCAATTGTTTACCCCCGAACGTGGAGCTTCAATTTTCAGCGTCTTCGGACCAACACGGCAACCAAAGGGCTTTCTTGAGATGTTTCGAGAGGAATCCAGAACCACCTGAGCGGTGGTGAGTCAAAGGATGGTTTGGGGATGGACTCCATATAGTACTTACTCTAGGTAAGCGAGCTAAGCGAGTAGCGCTAGAGAATACTTATGCGCTGGACGGCCTAAGTACTTATCGTCTGGGTCCCGAACTTCAGGTCTTCGATCTGGACCATAATGCTGTTTTCGAACATGGCCCTATCGGTGCGGATCATCCTCCGCGCCAAAGAACTTGTACAAGATATCTGATTTTCGGAAAGCCACTTTGTCTCGGCCAACCTGCTTGCCGAGTAGCTGCCATGAGACAATAAATTCATAGCCGTCCTTTTGCTCACTCATTTAGGAAAACATTTCCCCCAAATCCTCCAGAGTCTTTAGACGTACATCATGAGAGATATCTAGCTTGAGCTGTTTCGCCAACTCTAAAACCAAAGCAGCGATTGCAGCAGCGATTGGTGTCGATGTCGACGTACCCCACTGACGCTTCTCGGCGCCCTCTCCAAACCCTATTGGCCAGGCCGAGGAACCGGCTTTTCCGAGAACGGAGAAGTTGTGACTTGTAGACTCGGGGGGAGGATTATACCTTGATCTTGCACCACTGCCGTCGGCAGAGTTGATGCAGATGACTCGGGGGTATGATGCAGGAAAGGCGATCTTGCGCTCTGCGATGGACAGACGCCCGTTTTCAATCTTCGTTTGTACAAAGCCCAGGATTTTCTGGCCCAGGGAAGCCTCATAGATTCCACTGACAAGAATGGCCCCAATAGCGTGAATATTGTCATAAGCCAAAGCATCGTGTCGAGAATAACAAGCACGGCGGCAATCAAGGCGATGAAAGGTTGTGCGAAAAATATTCGATGTTATCTCATTAAGTGGTACATCAAACAGTCCTTCAGGAATATGGAGCTTGCTTCGTCGAGGAATTGCCGAACAGGATGCCACAGACGGAATCAAGAAGTCCAGAAACGGGTTCACCCTTTGATTGAGTTTCAAATTTCTGGAACGCTGCTACCCAGAGCACGTGCTTCTGCGAAAACTGACGGTGATGCTGACTAGAACCCGTGTACCGGCTTAATTTCTACTCGGGAATTAGCCTCCATTGTCGACGACAACTCATGCTTTTCTAGTTCTAGCAATGTATTAGAATAGCTCGCGCCGCAAGGACTCTACCCGTTGATAAGATGTTCCCAGCTGCCCACAATGTACGAAGGGGTGTTAAATCCCACCAAGGATCCATTGTCAACCTTTAGAGACAACATACAACAACGGGTGAAGTCTTGACCACTCAAAATCAGAGCGCGTCTCGAGGCAGCCTTGTCGGAAAGTTTGAGAAGCTGTGGGAATGTTTCCGCAATTTCTGTGGGATTGGTGGTGTTAGTAGTGTTGTTGATGATACTCTTTGAAAACTCAACGAGGCTGAATATCAACAGCCATGATGCAGTGTGAAAATATTACATACTGTATGGTCATGTCACTGCGCCGAGCGCTAAGGGTATCTATTTGCGACTGCTGGGATCAGGTCGGCGATTTATCGCAAATGCTCGACTCCGGTTATGGTGGCCTTGCATAATTAACAATCTGATTTGTGTATCTGTCGCCACAAGATGGACGGCTGTAAACGATGTACAGTATATAAATCAACCACAACTGACGTGAGGCTTAGTTGATCCCATGTATGCTATTGGGGTTTTGCTCGCTTGGGTGTGGCTTGGAAATGTTGAGAGTGGGTTGCGATACATACTCAGGGCATGGACCGCACCAAACGGGAGGCACCTTGCGCATGAGGATCCAATCATAAGCGTCCAAAGAAGTGACAAAGAGTGCAATTAGTAAGGCCGAAATCAGCCATACACCAGAAAGATAAGACCAAATGCGAGTGCGTATGACAGGTGACGTCTGATCCAACTCAGCCACCACTACGCAGTGTGAGCCTTGTCGCGATTCTGCATAGAATATGGAAGGTAAGATAAATGCTCCGAGTAAGGGGTCGTGCGATTAGTGGGATTAGCCGCTAGGTCCCTTCACGAAGCAATCTCGCAGACAAGTCCGGTAGCCGAAGTTTTGATATGTAATCATGTAGATAGCGAGGGAAGAGGAATGGGATCAGAATGATAGGGGACTTGAGTGTGCAGGAAAAGCAACCGTCCCGCGGTCCTTCTGACGGAGATTCAATGCCAATAATAAGATAGTGTAATAGAACCTTCTATCAGTCGAACTCAATCCTCTTCCCCCGCAAGAAATACTCACCCGCAAATCTGAATACAAACCATCCAAGGTACGTCCCCGTGACGATGGTCACCGGCCACTTCTGCCACTCTCGATCCCAGTCCAGTGGTATAGGTACCTGTATGACGATTAGTCTTCATTGACCCTATCCACAAGGGAAGTCTTCCAACGGACTGCACCGAGCCAAGCTCCCACTACTGCCCCTACCAGACCTCCCCATACTTCGTCAAATGGTAGACAGGCTCCGGATATTTCCCTCCACATGCGCGCGTTGACGCCATGCACGTAGAACAGGGGCAGGACACCCAGCAGCGATATATGCGTTGCGCACAGTAGATTGTGCCAGAAATGGGTAGTCAGAGGGGCGCCGAAGAGTATGAGTATGACGGTCAGCAGCGGAGCCGAAAGCGAGAGGCAGAGGAGGAGGGAGATAATCGCAGGCTATGTTGGGCGGGTAGCAGACAGTTAGCACGTTCAGCTACAGGCAGCAACGCGACGAAGGAGGGGGGATCTGGATTGCAGCATACAGTGATCCTGGACCCGACAGACGTAGGCTTTGATTTGGCGGATTGGGCGAATTGGACACGCTTCCGAGTTGTAGGGCCCTTTGAAGACGTAGGGGAAGGCGTCGAGCCGCCGGAGGACTGAGGGAGGCAGACCACGCAGTATGTAATCTGAAGGTGGGCAAGAGGAGCGAGAGCCTTGAAGAGGACCGACACTGGGTCGGCGACCAGATAAGGAAAGCAGAAGTAGTAAACAGTGAGAATAATGATGGGGTGGAGGTGGGTGTAGAGGCGGGCGATGTCGCTGGGAAGGACGGAGATGGGCTGGGAGATGGGGATGAGCTTTCGAGGCTTTGCCTCGGTTGTTTCTGTCATCTTGAAGGAAGCATCGTTGTTGTTTCGCAAGAACTCGATTGATTTTCAAAAGACAGTTCAGGGGAACTAGGCCGAATTGGGCTCGCTAGCGGGATGGTTACAACTCCTGCCCTACCTTACCCTACCCTACCCTCCTGCTTCGGTACATACGTTTGGTTTCTCCAACCAGTCAATATGTTGGTTTGAACACTGCAAGCACAGACGGGGGAGTATAAGCTAAGTGATTGCTGCGAACTCGTTGTGCGTGTCTCCTCTCTTCTTCTCTCGACCACGCTGGCCTCGTTTCATCTTCGTCACTATCTAGATCCCTTGCCATGTCTTTACCACGAATCACTACCGTCGTGGGCGCTGGTCTTGGTGGTCTGATCTTGGGCCAGTGTCTGAAAGCAAAGAACATCCCCGCCACCATTTTAGAGAAAGCTTCTTCTTCATCACGTTTCAACTACGGTGTAACACTCCAGCAATCTGTTTACCAGCCTTTACTTCGAATACTTCAGATGAATGAAGCAAGCTTTTTGGAAAAGTGCTCGATTGGTGTGCCTGAGGTCCAGGTGAATTCAGCGACCACCACAACGACCATCCGCTGCCATCGCGGAAGATTGGAAGGTATTCTCCGTGAGGGGTTGGACATCAGATGGGAGCAGTGTCTCAAGAGTGTGAAAATGACCCCGCAAGAAATCTCATTGCATGTAGAGAACGGGCCCACGATTGCAAGTGACACCATTATTGGCGCTGATGGAGTTCACTCGCAGCTTCGCAAGTCATTCATCCCAAGTTCTTGTCTCAATGTTCTCCCCTACGTTGTTTTCAATGGCAGACGCAGCATTACCCTGCAAGATTACAAGCATGGACTCCAACAACACATGGCAGGCCAGACGATAATCCATGCTCTACGTGGTAATGTGCTGTTCCGGGTGTATGTGAACGAATACACTGCAACACATGTCTGTTTGGGCTACACATATTCGCGCCCGGCACGGGCCAATGATCAACTTTATGAACCGTACAGACCAACAACTGGAGCGGAAAACATTCCAGAGGAGTTTTACGCTGAACTGTCACTGTTCAAGCAGAAGGAGCTAGGGCAGGGATTTGCAGACATTTTTGACAGCGAAAAGGTTCGCCAAGACAGAGTCTTGCATTGGTTGATGCGAAGCAGCACGGTCCCACTCGGAGAGATTCAGGATCTTGCAGTCCGAGGTGTTTGGCTGATTGGGGACGCAGCCCACCCAACGCCAATCTTGGGTGGTGAAGGTGCAAATAAGACCATCACAGATGCGATAGAATTAGTAGACCACCTCTCGAATGGATCGGCTTCTAACAAGAACGAATTCCTTGAGAAAAGACACCAAGAGTGGAGAAGGGTTCTCAACGAAGGCGAAAGGAGACTCTCTGAGATGCATGGTTTAGGCTTCCCTTCGTTGTGATATTGTCGCTATGAAGCCAACCACGCTCCTCTGCTTCGACTACCGATCCGGTTACTAAGTATCGCTAATGACGAGAGAACTTTAGAGACGTACAGCCATGACCACAACTCGGCGAGCGATGGAAATGACTTGGAGCATGACGTTACTCACACCGCTTCCCTCGCTTCCATTTTGGCTGCGGTTGAGCCAAAATCGTGTCTTAGTTGGAGCCTCTCCTTTGGGCGAGCATGTATTTGCATTTGGAAAACTAGAAGACGATGCATGCCGAAAGGCTTACCTACGATGATGTCTTTTTGAGACGAGCGCCAGGCTTGGTGATGGTCTTCAATACCCCAAAAGGTTTGCATGAGTAAAATTTTCATATCGGCTCCATTTATCGGATGCCGAATATAGGCCGAGGGATTGTGGCTGGACGTAATATTCAAGCCAGGAGCATTATTGCCATCAGCCCGGTCCTCGTCATGCCATTCGAAGAGCTCGATGCTGTCAAATTAACCACCCTATATCGTTACACATAGTAAGTATGGTGCTGTGTCTCTATGTTGCTTGCTCGGTGAAGCTCAATATACTAGCAACTGGCCTGTTGACGAGTAGGACAGTAACACGCCATTCCAGACCCACGCGGTAGCGCTAGGCCTGGGTTCTCTCTTCAATCATTGTTGAAATCTCGATCAGAAAGTAGGCTGACAGAGAGATCCGGTCGCTCAGTGTATCACATATAGAGCACTCGGAGATATCCGAGCTGGAAAGAGCTGTACGTTATGTTGAAGACCAGACTTTCTACTTCAAATGTTGAAACCTGCATCATGTCTGGGATTGTGTCTTCTTGTAGACACATTTCATGGCTCGATGCCCGCCTTAGAAAGGCGATGCTGATTCCAAAATGAGAATCCAGGTGCATCAATTACGGACGGTTGTGGTTCGTTGACACAGACGCAGAAAGGATGAACGAAGACAAAGAGGACAGTATAGACGTTCTGAGTAGACTACAAACTTCGTGACACGTTGTTTAGCAGACCAGATCTTGCCATGAGATTCAGAGCCCATTGTTCACATCTGATGAAGTGGAAAATCAGTGTGTGTTCTTAACACCGCAGTGCTGCACCAATCAATCTTCTGACGTAGGAGTTTGGCCCCCAATCTATGCCAAGAGGCCTAGAGCCTGGGGTAGTGTTCCAGGGGCTTCTAGGCAAGATCTATCTTAGCTCATCGGCCCTTTACAGACCGATGCAGCAGTGGCGCATGCATCCGCCTTTGGGCTTGAACGCGTCGTACCTGTCATGAACCTCGTGACTTCCTTGGGCTTACTTTTATGTTCCTGCCATTTGACTTTCAACTTGTTACTATCCGTCTTAACACTTTCTACTTATCTCTGACGACACTTCTCCATACCTTACTTCTTATCATCATCATCATCGTCACCATCTTCATCCATCCATCTATCTATCTATCTCACATCATCACCTACGAGACCTTGGTTGCTTGACTTACCTTGCTTGCCCTCATACCATCATCCATACAGTTATCTTGTACCACATACCTATCTATCCATAGTCGTTCTTGACTGAGTCTCCCAACATGCGCACCTCACGCTCATCATCCAACGCCTCTTCAACATCAACGCCTTCATCTGCATCCTCAGACAACTTCCAGATCTTTGTCAAGCTGCTATCTGGAGACAGTACGGGACCCAAATCTTCATAGCAGAGTACAACAGAGCTGACGTACGACATAGCCATTCCTCTGACCGTCCCTTCAGACACCACGATATCAACCCTTCGCCAGCTACTCTCGTTGCGAACATCCGCCCCAACAACAGACATCCGCCTCGTCCACGCCGGCAAGCATCTAACCTCCGCCGATGCCTCATCCGGCACATCCACAACTCCAATCTCTGATCTCCTACCCCCATCCTCGACTCTCCACATGGCCCTGCCCATCCGCGGTGGCATGCCAACGAAGAAGATAAAATGCACGTTCAAAGATTGCAAAGACGGAGCGCAGAGGATAGTGGGTGATTGCTCGTTCTGCCAAGGGCATTTCTGCGGCAAGCATAGGATGTTGGAGGATCACAAGTGCAGTGGGCTGGAAGACTGCAAGAAGGAGAGTCATGAGCGGAACGCTGATACTTTAAATACCCAAAGGACGGTGGCTGTGAAGGGGATCTAAGATGTGGTGTGTGGGAAATGGGGGGATAGGAGAAATAGAGAAACATAATACAGATATTCTTCACAGACTGCGTTGGCTATTCGTTGTGATGCTGATTGCGACGTACGCTCATGATCTGCTTGGACGGTAAAATCTTGTTTCTCGGTTTGCGAAAGTCTGGTTCTGATTAAGTGCAATGTGTTGTTTGGAATTGATCTTCCTAAATGGTCCATGATTCTATTCTACTATCCGAGCGCCCAAGCAAAACCCTTGCCTTGTCCTTTATCCAAGCACCATCCGCTCCGGACTTGATGTCGTGTCTCACATACGAGCTCTGGGTTCCTGACTCCGATTCCGTCATCAATGAACTCGTCCGAAAAATGCTCTTCCATCAGTGTCCTGATATATATTCACGAGTAAAGGCCTATGAATTAAATTCATAATTATTTTTTTAGTTAGGGCTATCGAGTAAATAGGTAAGCGATCTTTGATAAGCGAACTTCGATGAGCAATATTTGAATTCCTTACGCTTTAATAATTATAAGACTAAATTTAAATTTTATTTTTTTCTCTGAAAGCCCACATTTCGTTCTATAATTTAAAAAAAAAATCTTAAAATTTTAATAGAAAACAAAAAAGTTATTCTAAAATCAAATAATGTGTACCTGGGCTGTCCGGCTGTCTTGGTGAGCGAACTTTGGTAAGCGATATTTGAATTCCTTGCGCTTTAATAATTATAAGACTAAACTTAAGAATTCTATTTTTATCTGAAAGCCCACATTTTGTTCTATAATTTAAAAAAAAAATCTCAAAATTTTAATAGAAAACAAAAAAGTTATTCTATATTCTAATAATGTACACCTATTTTTTTGGTGGTTGCGGACGTTTGATGGTTGCGGACGCTAGTTTATTTACCCGCAATGACTCAGTCGGTCTAACCAAAGAGCGTAGTGACCCTGAATTTATGATTGGCTGCACATACAAATTCAAGGTTTTCAAGCTCAGCCCTACCTTATTCTGTTATATATACTGATAAACGATAACAGACCAGATTCATGCACTGTCGACTTCACAGGTCTCCGCTCAATCGTCCAATCTTCCGATTTCATCCCCTTCCATCTGGAATCGCTGTCGATGGAAACTGGGCATTCAGGCGAGAGGTTACGAGAAGCATCGGCCTTTCCAAAGCCGGCCATCAAAGCAATAGGAGAGCACAAGCTGGAAGCCGATTACATGTGACTAAGAGCTCATCTAATTGCCGTCCCTATTTTTGATTTTTTATGTACACCCCCAAGCCGTCGTTGCAGTCATGGATCCCAATGCCAAAGCTCCAAGTCGCCATGCAAAGCAAGAATGATCGTCATCGTCATCGTGCTCCCTCCTCCACCGCCTTCCTCTGCGTGGGTTTTCCCTTGCCCGTACTACTACTATACTTCCACCAAAATATCGTCCCAAAAACAAGCACCATGAAATTGATCCAGGCGGCCATCATCCACTGGCCCCACGAGATGGTGATTTTCCTCTTCCCTTGCTCCCACTCGTCACAGACCTCCAAGAACCGCTTTGGGTCATCCGTAATCACACCGTCAACTTCCCTGTTTATACTCCACCTCATCATGTCTTCCTCGTTGACCGTCCACACGTACAACGGCCTCCCTTTCGCTTTCACATCGCGAACGAAGCGTGCTCCAAAGACTGGCAACATGAGGGTCTTTTGTAGCATGTTGAAGGAAACGTTCGGGACTGAGAGAAATTTGCGCGCGTACGGTATGGAGAAACCGATATGCGTTATGGGAAAGGTGGGAAGGTGTTCCGCGCAGAGAGGGAGGAACTTGACGGCCCAGCAACCGAGGACCAGGCGCTGATTCCAGGGTTTGAGGGGATGTGGGGGGACGGATTGAACGGTTTCCGCGATGAGGCGCATGACGTTCTCGGCGTCGTTGTCGAGCTAGTCAATTTTTAGAAGCAGTAAGGGTGGGTATAGATCGTACTATACCTTTATGTCTAATAGAAGCCAGACATTCTCCGATCCGGGAGAAGCCAGAAATTCGAGTAGATCTTTGAACCTAGGCATTGGCTCGTGAGGTGCTGCAAGCGTTCGCTGTTGGCTTATGTAGTCCCAGGAGCAGTCTATGATCTTTTCGTCTTTGCCGAAACATCGCTTGAGGGTTGCGTCCTGCACGAGTCTATCAGTCAATCATTTAGTGGTCGTTACCATGTTCAATACTAACATGAGATAACACTACAACGTCGTCCTTGGTCAAGTGTATATCCGTCTCCATCGCGTGGGCCTTGGCTTTAATCGCACCTCGAAAAGCGCCCATGGTGTTCTCTGGATGTTTGGCTTTGTACCCTCGGTGGGCGATTGCCTGGGGCATTTTGCGACCACTAGGACGTTTTCTTGCGAATGTCCAGGATGCTGAATGATGTCAGTCAGCACTGGGATTGTAGAAGCGAGATTAACACGGACGTTGAGGCCGCGCGACGTTCATGTCTAAGGAAGGAGCTTCTGCGAGGGTGTCGTAAAATTTGTCATCGAGTAGGAATGGTGGTACTGGGATAGGTGAGATTTTCTGTATTATAGGTTTTACTGCCGCCATCATGGCTGTAGGCGAATACGCAAGGATTCGTCCGAAAGGTAATGTGAGAGTAGAGCGGTTGATGTAGCAGTAGGTCGGATTTATAGGCAGCAGGGAACACGGAAGCCATAAAAGATGTGGCCAGCGGATATATCGAGTGAAGGGAGTGGGGTGTTTGTACCGCTGCACAGCAACGGGGATATGGGGAGGAGGAGATGATAATAACAATAATAATAATAATAATGATAATAATGGAGTTGAGAGCCTTTGGAGGTTGGAGGGCAGCCTGGAAGGATGATGCAGTCATGGTGCAATCTTTGCGCCAACGATGCTGGTGATACAAAGAATGGAAGCTTCAGATCTGACAACTAAAAAGTCTAGGTACGGTAGAGCCAATCACCAGCAACGCGCCAAAACCTTTTTGGTTTGGGGCTTGGAACAGATTAAATGGGAGGAATGGGCGTTCTTGAAGCGGCATAGTTGCGATTGTACGAGGGAGATCATTCCTCAATCGGGCCTGCACCCCCATAGAAAAGTCAATAAGCGATTTCACTGACTCTCCTCGCCCACCAACTCATACTAAAGTACGATATACTGGAACAGTGGAAGGTGCACATTTCTGACAATACATACATACATGTATAATTTTGAAGTCTTGCTTCGGCGGCGAGCAGCATGTTGGAGCACCTAAAGCCGTGCATTTTCTGAACACTGTGAGATCTTGCTGCTCAATTGCGTAGGTGGAGGATGTGGCAGTGCGGGCTCTCCTTTTAAGGATGTTTCGAATCTGTCATGCCGCATGCATGATGCGTGGGCTCAATGCACCCCGAACCAGGATTTTGGTGTGGTCTACCTCTGCTCGTCGCACATGATTGGGACTGAGCTCTTTGTCCTGAGTGACTGCTGTACTCCGTGCGGCCGAAAAATCTAAGACCTTGGCAGCCCGGCATGGGTACATCCACCGATTGAGACTGTTCACTGAGGGTACAATAACCGGCATCGGTTGGTGGATACTTCCCTGCCAAGAGCTTAGACTTTTCCGCCACAAGCAGATGCGTTGGAAGAAGCTCTGCTGTTATTGACAGCTTCTTCGCGGCAGAGTATTGGCCTGGAGAAAGAACGCTGTCAGTCTTTGCACGAGACAGTTGGTTGAAGATGCCTCACAGGATCGTAGACATGTAGCCACCTGAAGGCAAGTCAACGCTTATTGGAACCTCAATTTGCTCATCTCCTGCATATGCCTAGCCTCTTGCGAGAGTGCGAAATGGACTAGGTAAGTCAAATTTCTTCTCAGACTCAAAATCAACTTGAGGTTTACAGGGGCCATCCATCCAGTTGGGAAGGATAACAGAAAACCGAAACGGCAGCATTGGCGTCCAAACAGCGCAAGCTTGCTCAATTGGGCCCTGACGTGCTAAAGCAACCGCGCCATCTGAAACCATTTTGAACAGGATTACCCAGTCTAAGTATTTGTAGGTAGTCTCTGCGGGTCTGTCGAACGTAACGACGAGGTTGGGTGGGCCTCCATCAGGGAAAAATGCGAGAGTCAGGTTTCTTTCTGAACGTGTGCAGCAAAGTCTGGACTGCATATCGGGCGAGACGACAGCCTTTTCCCACCTTGCAATTTCCCTGATCCATGAGGCCACCTGTTCATCTGCTTCCCGTTGAACGGTCATCATGCCCGTCAATCCATCGCTATGCGTAGACCCTCGCCCCTCTCCATCCACGGTCCGCCACTGTGCAAAGACCTTTCAGGATCTGGAACAGAAAGCGTCATTCTTAGAATCGTTATACTCTACGAAGATTACTTTCGCGAGGTTCTTCATGGATACGGGATTATATCCAACAGAGATGCACCAAACAGCCTCGATGTTGCTCACATCATGTCTACAAATGGCCTGTGAGACAGTCAACATCTTGGTCCGGAACTGGCGTCCTAATGGAAAGGGCATCCCGATACAGTGACTCAAACCGCCATCATCACCTCCAAGAGCTCCAAAATAAGCCCAAGCGAGAAACCAAAAGCTTCAGGTGCAAAAGATCCGCGCGCGAACAAACGTCAACGCAAGACCATTTCGAGTTCAGAGCAATGCCTACTTCTCCGATAGAAGTTCTCTTGCAGCGAGACATGGAATGGAGGGCCGACGATGTCACCAAGTTTGCAGCAGATATAAGCTCGAGGGTTGGTGATGCGGACACGCTTGTAGGCGCACCAAGTATCAAAGACGTCGAGGTACGTTCTCTTGCAGTGGGGCATAAGGTGTTGGGTTGGCCATGTTAATAGATTTGCAGTACAAGGAAAAGTCGGATGTCAATGATGCGGATATGCTTGTAGGCTCTCAGGTTGTCAAGGAAGCAGACATAGGCAGTACTGTAGCGAGAAAAGATGAGGGAAAATCTCAGCCAAGTGGTTTGCAGCGAGATGTGCAGGCAGAGGTCGTCACCGCAGATGGGCTTGCGGTGGAGCAACGTGGAGGGCCATTCAGCGGGACCGAGGCCGCTGAGCTCTTCGAATCTGAACACCCGGGGGTATTGTTCGATCTCCAATGCAATGATTGAGGATGGCATATTAGAGATCTCTGTTGTTGTAGGGCTTTTGAGGTTATGAACCAACGAGTTGCGAAGAAAACAGCATATAAAAAGATGGGTGGATAGAACTCAAGCTTTCAAACTTGCTATTCTCGTGTATCAAAATCGACTTTCAAGCCTCAAAATTTCAGTAGTAATACGGATATGCAGATGGACTTGTGGTAGCTGGAAGTTGCCCTTTTGCCTCTCATCCAAGCCAGAATAACATGGCCTAGCCTCCGCTATGCTAGGCATGCCCTTATAGTACATTGATATGTTTGAGTAGTGTGATAGAGCCGGTGTTTACCCTTGTCCAAGCTTGAATGTGCCACGATATGGTGCAAGGAGTAGGCGTACCGATGGCATTATAGAAGCGCCCCGGTCCATCGATACGCAGATATGCTCGCTAGCTTTGTAGACCATCAAGGCTCCGGCTTAGCTTTGCTTTTCTCGTCATACTTGTCACGTCATCGGCCTGGCAGCTGTCCTGATTGCATGGCGACATTCTGTTCCTGGAAACGCTGTCCCAATCTCTCCGATCCTTTTAGGTATTTGTCAACGCACTTCATTACGCAGCCTTCCTCTTTCGATTGAAGGGATTTTGTTGTGAAATCGTTCACGCAGTCGTCAAAGCATCTCTGGACCAGCCTCGAGTACATCTAATTGCACGTGATGAGCAAAGCCAAGGAGAAACTTGATAAGATGAGTGCCTTGGTGTGCAGTGACCAAGGGTACAGATTAGGACCAGACTCACAGTCATGAACTCTTTCATCTGCTTCTTTTCCATCCGACCTTGCAGCTCACGCTGCTCTTGTGCATTGAGTCTAGTAGAAAGGGCAATGTCAGTAAGATGCCCAGTACTCTTAGATACTTTGTAGTATTTGCCATTTCGGTACTCACCCATCCATTCTGTTGTTTCCACAAGATGTCCTCTGTATTAGCAGTGAAACAAAGCTCCTGTGCGTTTGATGTATGATGAATGGAGCTTATGTTGAAGGTCTAGATGCAATGTTTAAAGAATCGGAGACAGTTTTGAACCCGCGCGCTAAAGAGTTGGACTACGGCAGCATGGATGTGTCCCGTGTGCAGACTAGTGCAGTTGTCAATTTCTCATTCCAACCTCCTTAGGCACGACACTCAAAAAGTCCCTATAAACACAGGGTCACTGGGTTGTATGTCTTGCTTGGAACCTTTTTCTCCGTCTCACTTGCCCAGCACAAAAGGATCCACTGCGCATTGGCACCTGTCAGCTGCAAATCCCCGCGAAGCTTGACCTGACTATACCAACCGAAGGCTCGAGATCCCTCCTCCCTTTCTACGGCTGGTGCAGTACCTTGCGCCATATTCATGCAGTGAATTTGCTGCTATCCAAGGAGCTACCGTTTTGGCCAACCTCGTCTGGAAGGCTGAACGACCACTCAACTGCCTCAGAAAAGCAACAGCTGTCAGATCAACATCAGCCAGCTCTGACACCTGGCACACATCCAGGGAACGTTTCAGAGCGAGTCTACCGGCCTAAGATACAGCGGAGTTGAAACAGGTACAACGGTCGCCCTACAGCAGGATAGCAGGGCTAAGCCAGTAATATTGGCGCGTGGCCGTCGGCGCGACAACAATCCAGGCACGCCTGAGTCGCAGACTTAAGGGGTATCGCGCCATACAAGCAACCTGCCTAGGTCGCGCACGGGAACTATATCACTTTGAAGATTCTGCGAAGGAATGCGCATTACTCCAAATTCCTTGGTCAGGTGAAGCAGGACGGTCGGAATCTATTTTGGGACCAGCGTCGATCGTGACCAAATCCTCGTCAGAATCGCAAAATATCACAAACGTTCAGGAAATACTTCCTTGCTAGCGATTGTCTTCAATATGGCTGCGAACAACGTTCCGGCATCAGCCGTTGCCGCTCCACAGCAGCAAATACCTTCCGCAACGCAGAACGCTGCATCTCCACCCTCAAAGCGTGATCTCGCATCATGGTGGAAAACTTTCAAAAAGAATGCGAGGAGAGAAGAGGAAAAAGGTGAGCTTGCTGTTCTGCTACGTCAATGGCCAGTCCTTCTGTGATCCTGAAGGCGCGAGCAGCAGGAGAGCGTCCGAGGGCTACCCGATTGTGAATAGAGAACCATTCCATCAAGCACTCAAGGATACTCTTGCTCTTTGAAGTACGTGGTCTGAGCTCACCGCAATGACCAAACTTTCGTGCGAGGCTCTGCCGAACCCACGACGGCATCGTCCTTGCCTGAGTCCCTGAATACACCCTTCAATCTCTTATCTTTTCGCTTGAGCTGGTGCTCATTCTATATGCTGACATGTCCGTCAAAACAGTACAAGCTCCCGTCGGCATATTCGGCGTTCCGCTGGAAGTCAGCATCAAATATGCAAATGTCGCCATCTCTCTCACAAACGAACAGGGAGAGAGTTACGTATATGGATATGTACCGATAGTCGTTGCAAAATGTGGAGTCTTTCTCAAAGAGAAAGGTAAGACCATGTACACCCAACTTTTTTTGGCGCATTTTCTTACAATTCGGCTTCAGCTACCGACGTCGAGGGCATCTTTCGGCTAAGCGGCTCTGAAAGACGTATCAAGGAGCTACAAGTACTGTTTGACTCTCCTGATCGCTATGGCAAAGGACTTGACTGGACAGGGTACACCGTCCACGATGCAGCCAACATCTTGCGGCGATATCTGAATCGGCTGCCACAGCCTATCGTCCCCCTCACCTTCTATGAACGTTGCCGAGATCCTCTTCGAAGTCATCAAGCCCAAGCGGTTGGCGATATGGAAGCCCAAGCTCAGGATGTGGGCGATTTCGATCATGAAGGAGCCATAACAACCTACCAACGATTAATCACAGAATTACCGCCATTAAATCGCCAGCTACTTCTGTATATTCTGGACCTCCTTGCTGTATTTGCTTCCAAGTCCGAACTCAATCGAATGACGTCTGCCAATTTAGCTGCAATATTTCAGCCAGGAATGTTGTCACATCCAAGCCATGACATGGAGCCTCCGGAATACCGGCTTAGTCAAGATGTTATCATTTTTCTCATTGAAAACCAGGACAACTTCCTGGTTGGTATGAGTGGAACTGCAGCGGACGACAAGACTGTGAAAGAAGTACAAGGCGGCGTTCAACGTCGACCAAATACGCCAACCAGGCTTTCTCAAGCGGGCCTGGGCAGGTCAGCTTCAAACGCAAGTGCAGGTGCAGACAGCCTTAGAAAGCAGGGGGGCGTCCGGAGGAACGTGTCTGTCTCTTCGAAGAACTCTAGATCCTCAAGCAATGTTCCAAGCCCCGGCTCTCCAGCTCCTGGAAGTCCACTGGCAGCTACTACTTCCGGAGGAGGTGTTCAAAGGAGTAACACCGTCCCGTCGAAGAAGTCGCCAGCCATCCCTTCGGCTCGATTCAGAAATGCGGAGCCATCGACGCCTACATCTACCAAGCTCTCGCCGGGATCTTATATCTTGACTTCGCCTCGAACATTATCACCTGGATCTAAATTAGCCCCCACAACTTCAGAGACTCGCTCTCCTTCAACTCCCACACAAATCGCTCCTAATACTCATAGTCCTTCGAGCCTGAACTCTGTTCCAGAAGCAAAAGAATCGAATGCCAGAAAAACCAGCAGAGAAAAGCCACCATCGACCGAGAAGCTTTCTCTACGAACGGCAGAACATGGTGGAGTCAACACCACGATCACTTCGGGTACACCTAATCGGGAACGCAAGAACATTTTCTCAAAGTCCCCGTCGAGTGACAACGATCGCAAGGATGTGCGCCAACCCAACAAGTTGAGGAAAAAGCGAGTTCCAGAGCTGTCACCTAACGCTAGCGCTCAAAGCTCGACACACTCATTGGTATACGGCGCGCCGGAATCGCCGTCCAACCAAGGATTTTTCACGCCTATGCCTACGCCCGGCTCTAGCATTCAAGTGGCCAGCGATTCATTGTCGCACGTACCTCCTGTAATTGCCAACACAGACGCAACACCTCCATCTGGACTACCGCCCCGAATAGGTGAGCTGGATAAACTTAGCGCATTCCATGTATCACAACCGAGCAGTAGCCGAGATATCAGTCCCGCCCTAAAGCCTTCAAGATCTCCAGCCCCTTCGATACATTCAAGGACTTCTGCTACCGAGGATTCTGAGGTAGAGCACACTGACGGTGGGGCGGCTGCTGGGACGAAGAAGAAACACCGATGGAGACTATCATCTACCGCCAAACCCAGCAACGGTAAAGCTCCAGCGGCTTCAGGAGCGTCGCGATTAGGCTCAAGTGCCGTCGCAGAAAAAAGCACGAGCTCTCTCGTGAGCGAAGGAAGGCCACGAAAGTCGACGACAGTTGATTCACACCAAACACAGCAAACTACTGACACCGAAGCAGCAAAGTCATTGGGCATCCAACACTCTAGCAATGAGTCTACGCCATCCAAGGATAGAGAAATAGCCAAGGAGAAGGACAGTGTGGATGAAAAGGAGAAAAAAGGGCCATTTGGCTGGATCAAAGCCAAGGTCGCCCACGCTAAAGAAGAAAGAAAAGAGCGCGAAGCCGAGAAAGAGAGGGCGAAAAGTCCACCTCGTGCAGGTAGCGAGCATGCTGCGAGTAAACAAAGTCTAGGCAGTCTTGGCGCCATCGCGCAAGAAGGTCTGCCAGTTCGAGGAAGGTCAATTGAGCCTATAGCAGCAGGTACGCAGGAGAAAGAGAGGGAGGCAACTGTCGCGCAATAATGATGGAGAGAGGGAAAATAATGACCTCGAGATTTTCTTTTTTGTCCCATGTGCCAAAAGATTGTTGAGAAAATATGAGAGAAGGGACTGATATGGGTTGGCATGGAAGGATACCCCTGCTTCGATTAATTGGAGAGACTGTTTGGCCTATAGGATTCTACGCGGCTGGGTCGCCGGCGGATCTCTTTGCGTGTCTAGATACCTAGTCACGCTCTTATACGATGGACTCTGGAACAAGGATTGTGCCCCTTTCCCGCTTTTCCAACGAATCATCTAGAGGTCTGTACTTGAATGCCCATCGCTGGCGACCTTCACCTAGACCGCAATGCATGACCGTACAGTACACAGGCGTGTCAATTACGGGTGTAGTCTCTCTTCACAAAAACCAGGCAAGGCGTCAAAGATGCCTTCTTTTCAAATCTTACACGTTCAATGGTAATCAAGTTTCTTCTTGCCGCAACCTCTGTGTAATCGATCCAAAAGTATTGGATGAGTGCTTCAAGGATAGAAAGCCCCCACAAAACTCCACTTGACTCCTTACCTCTGCAATTGCAACTCTTAACGCATCCTGCTACCATTTGTTTTTTGTGGCACCTTGTCTGAAGTGCGAAACGAGATCGGTGTCATTTGTGCTGACACGGGGATGCAGGAATTGATTGCGGAGATTTGGTCGGGCTGTACGTATGTTGAGGGACTACATCTCAGCCGGTAGCAACATTGTTCTGGATCGTAGAAAACACTACCAAACCATAGTTAGCCGAAAGAAAGGTCAGGCATAATATATGCTGCTATGAGCTTTGTCGAAATATTCAATGACCTACGCGCTGGACAGAAGATTGATTGAAATCCAGAACCTTTTGGAAGGTCAAGCAGCACAGTAAGCTTACCCGACCTTACTCGTGGATTCCAGAAATGAGTTACTTGATAGAGCGAGGACACCAATAGATCAAGCGACATGCCGCTGAGTGGAAATATCTATTGGTGTCCTCGCTCTATCAAGTAACTCACTTCTGGAATCCACGAGTACTTCTGAGGGTATGTTAAACAATATTCCTACTCGTACTCCTGCAGTAGCGAGCATCGGAAAATCGAGCATAGGTAATTACGGGCCGTGAGTATTATGAGAATAATTTCTCTTTCTAACGAGCATTTTCTCGTCCGTATCTACTCGGTAAGTTTGCATGTTTCGTGATCAAACGCTTTCGTCCACGCTGCTAGAAAGGAACTCATGAGCAACACGCCACCAGTCTCTCTTGAACATGCAGCACATGTTAGAGAATATAGACCATGTAGACCTCAATTAAGCGAGTAATAACTCACTTCACCAAGTACTTACCGAGCAAATTGTCGACAGAGTGAGGACAGTCACAGTTATCGCTTACTTCGTCACTGATCCGAGAATAGAAACACGCTATTCCCCAAAGAAAAACTTGGCGCATCCCATGTATGCGAAGAAGTCCAAATTCTTCACTTTCTTCTTCACTTTCTTCCTCGGCGAAGTCTTCGTATTTCCCGTCAACCTTCTGACGCAGGCATTGCCTCTGCTCTTTTCCTATTTCTTGTAAGATACTCATCCATTGGACCGTGTCGAAGACACTGCCTTCTTCGTAATCACGCTCGCTTGCGCCGTCTCAGCTTTGCAACTTGCCATCCGTGTCTTCACCGTCCATCATCATCATTGCATCCTGCCCCTTCGTACAAGAACGAGATTTCGGCCTCAGTCACTCGCTCAGCATCACCTAGAGGTTCGTCGCAACTGTACCTTCTGCTCAGGCCTTCGCGGCAGATGCTTTACTCCATTGATACTCCATTGATCGTGGCAGAGCTGGGAAGCTTATTTGTGTTCCGTCGTTGTACTGACTGACCTGCAGCGCATTCAGATCCTTTACCGTATTTACCATCCTAAATTCTCCCCCTCATTGATTGAGCCGAGAGCCACACCCTCTCATCATGCATTCCATACGCGACATTCTATCCATGTCCTTACTCCTTACCCTCTTCTCCTCCTTCGTGCACGCACACCGACTACACCAAAGCCCGCAAAACCAAGAGGAAGAGTCGGGCTTCGCAGGACTCCAAAAGCTGCTGGATCAAGTCGATGCGCCATCCCTACATGCCGCCCTGCACGATCTCTCGCCGAAGAAATTTAAGCACGGCATGTTCCAGGACGACCGCACGGCAGTGGAAGCCATACACAAAGATGAGCCATCCTTAGCCACCAGCGTTGTGAACATTGCCAAGCGTAACGTTATGGAGGACATCAAGAAGGACTTGGCCAAGCGCGCCCAAGAGATAAGCAACGGGACCACCACGACCACCACGCCTGCCGCCAGTGTTTCTGAGTCATCCCATACAGGCTTGGCTACACCCGTGCCTCAAGGTGGAGGCTTGTCGTCGAGCACAACTTCAAGTCCAAGCACGGATACAAGCACAACCATTGCAGGGGCAGGCCCCAGCATGCCTTCTACCGCAACGTCGACCAGCACTTCATCCAATGGAGCAATTGTTGCTGGCTCAGACTCAGGCTCAACCACTTCAGCTTCAACCTCTGCAGGCGAATCGCCTTCCACTACCGCCACCTCCTCAGCCTCCCTCACACATGGCGAGGTTGTCACGAGTACCAACAGCGTAGGCCTCACCATCGTCTCCACTGTCGGCGGCGGAGTACATACCATCTCACCCTCACCCGGAAGCTCAACCCCATCAAGCAGCATGACACAATCTTCCATAACCAGCACCGTCGTGCACACGAGTACGCTTCCTAATGGCAGTCAATCTGTCGTCACAGCAGTTACCATCGTCGGTGCAGGTGCAGCTGCGGCAGGTACACCCACAGGCACAGCGGGCGTCGCAACCGCAGGACCATCTTCTGGAAGCCCTAGACTACAGACTGGAGAAGCGCCTATGATGAGGGGATGGTGCAAGGAGATGCTGCTGGTGGTTGGAGGTGCAGTGGGAGTTGCGATGATGATGTGAGAGGCAGGTTCGAACGCACGCGTAGCCCGCGTTCCTTTTGTTTGCTATTACTGTTCGCAGACGTGAATCCGAGGACATAGGTGGTTGAAAGCTGGGAGGAGGGTTCCCAGCCGTTCGTCCAAAAGTCGTCATCTACCAGGAAAGGTTACATTCGGAGGAGAGATAGCCGTTGAGACGCTGGAAGAGACACCATGTAATTGCTCAGCTAGCTACTTGAACATACGGAGATGCAATTTATGCGCAGTACACATCTATGAAAACTTTCCTTGTCCCCTGTCTCCGCTCCTGGCTGGTCCCCCCCATGTATTCACGTATTGCCATGTACCGTCACTCACGGTCAATCCACAATGTGTCAGGACCGAGCCAACTCTCAGAGCGAGAGCTACGCACAACTTTTTTGTGGGTAAAGATACCGTGAGTCCCGACACCGTACCGTAAGATACCCTATGCCGGACCTCCCGTTCCTCGGCGCCGTCATTGACTTTCCCGTCCAGAGGATGGCAGCGCAACGCGAGGAATGTCGGCAGAGGATCACGTTCGCACAGGTACGCTTTACGTTTTGTATGTAGATGGCTAGGTGCCGTAATAGGAACGTGGCAAGCGCTCATTCTATACCCTGGTCCATGGATGGGCTACAATCAGATAAATGATTGCATTGGTTTGGGATCAGGAGAATGAGAGAGTGTGATGTTTCAAAGTTTTGTCTTTGCGGGATTCGATATTTACAACAGCAGCCAGCTTTATACAAATCGCGTCAAGGGTTTCGAAGCGAAACCTCTTGCGTTGGGGTATCTCGTACAGCGTTTCGCAAAATCTCCAAGCAGAGGGGAAGAGACACCACCCAAGGCAAAGCCCCCATCCCAGCGCCAACTCGAATCCACAATTGGCCTCCGTCGCACTCCACGACAGTCATACAATCTTCTTTCTCCTCGCTTGTCTCGGACGGTCACTTGTACCGCTCGCAAGAGACCATCCACAGGGCCATGGCGTTGGGCCATCTCGACGCTGCAGTGACAAAGTCTCTCTCTTGGTCGGTGCCGTCGAAGTCCTCTGCATCCACCGTCATCTCCATCACCAAACGGTTGTGGAGACCGACGATGCGCAGAAGCGCCTTCTTCTTGTCCATTCCGTCTCGGATAAGAAGCTGCACGGCGGAGAGTGGATTGCCTGAGGAGAAGTCCTTGTCGAATCCCAGGATATCATTTTGTAACCCTAGGATCAGCGGCAGGTTCTTCAGAGGCCCGATGACTAGGGGCCCTGAGGAGGCGGGGAGGCCGAACGACGCTTGCAACAGGACAAGCAGAGGTCGTGCTGTGGGAGGGATATATATGTATTAGCTTTGAATGAATGAATGCGAGGAAGAGTTGGGAAGAGGGGAATATATAGGCAATGCAAAGACGTTGCGATGAAAACGGCATCGACACCGACAAACAAGGAAAGCGAATCGGATCAAGAAAGGTGGCAAGCTACCAGAAATTGTAAGAACACGTAAGTCCAGCCACTCCTGCATGGTAAACTTTTGGTCATCCAGATCCTGTTCTGCCAGCAAGGCGCGCGCAACAGTGGCGACCTCTGACCAGAAGACTTCTTTCCATGGCTCACGGATTGGATCCACGGGATCAAGAGGGTTTTGATTCGTAATAGTAGCCGTCTGTACTGCACTATGGAAAGCCCCCATGAGACTCACGGCCAAGGGAGACGAAGGCAGGGGATCGTAGGGGGATCTTGATAGGATGGAGACGATATTCTCTAGCGCAATCCGGGTGTCTTTGTTCTCGGTCAGGTCTGTCATGTAATGAGCATCTATTTGACACGATATTTAGGTGGCACGGAGTAATAGCCACGCGTCGGAGACTAGTTTTATTTTGACAGGTGTCACACTGCGGCTTACCGTCGAGCACACAAAGCCATGACCAGAAGCAAGCAGCGACGTGGCGAGCTCCGCAAGAAGTAGCCCAGGGTGGGAACATCCTTTCAACGAGGTCTTCCGGATTTGTTTTCTTGATGGTAGGTGCAGCAATACCTGGTAGACCGGCCAGAAAGCTGGTAAGGTCGATAGTGGACTTCGCATGCCGAATATCTCCGGCCAGCGAAGCCCTGCCTGAGGGAAGAGGCAAAGTCAGAGTATACTCTTGGCGAAGTCTCTCACTGCGAACGGCTTGGGCAAGAAATCGGCCACGAGGCGGCGTGGAAGGAGCACGAAGACGAGACGCTAAATATCCTTAGTGAAGCTATGTGGAAGTGGAGTAGCATGAAGCTTACAATAGATGTCTCGGATTTGTCTCGCCACATGGTTCTCTTCCTCGATCAAGGACACCGGCCGTGATTGTTTCTTCGATCGAGACGACGTGGGGCGTGCATGAATGGAGGATGTGCTCCGAGTTTGAGAGCAGAAGATTCGCTCCACGTATCGTTGAAAAACTTTCACTAGGCCTGCTCGGAAGCCGACGCGTGGTGAGTAAAGCCTGTCACGGCAGGCGGCCTTAGCCTCAGGATGGCCTCTACTCATTGCAACAGAAAGCGGAGGTGTCAAGAAGGAGGATGTCGGCCGAAATTCAACGAGAAGATTATAGAATACAAGATGACAGGACTGGATTCTCTTTATGTGGAAGGATCCGCTCTGAGGGGCCTCTGGTTTCGCTCCGCAACATTCTAAATTCAATATCAAATTGAGTGACAGAGGTCATGGGAACCAGGCTGTTGACCCGCCTGATCAAGGCCTACCACTGAAGATCGACATATTGCTGCCCATTGACTGTGCAGGGATTTGGGATTGGATGCAGCATGCATGCATGCACAGACTGATAATCTTTCTTCAACCTAAACCTTTGGAGAAGCTAGGCTGGTTGAAAAGGCTTATCGTTGATGATCGGAGACTGCCTGCCCAATGGCCTGTGTGATGATGTGCATACCAGCCGTTGCACATGCATACAGGTCATTGTAAAAGTTTGACATCGCCTTCAATCAAACGCTCCTGCGGAGATTTTCAGTCTCTTCGCAGATTAAATTCCCCGCAAATATCCCAGACCGCAGAGGAGACTTTCTGCATACTGCCCTGTGCAGGACGCTAGTGAAGGCTTGGCGCCAGCGACTGAACGAATTGGGACGTTGTATAAGAAAGAAGAAAAGGACAAGTTACAGACTTTTACTATTCTCCAAAGACCGGCTCAAGTCTGTTGTGACATTTCCGAGGATCTTAGATAAGATGAAACAAGTTGTGGACAACGGCGGTGACGATAAATTGTAGTAAAGTGCAACATTGAAGCGTATACACATGGGGCTGATTCTGCCAAGGCAAGTCTTCAAAAGAAGGTTCAGCCCGCGGATAGCAATGTACATGCAAATGTACATGCAAGTCATAATGCAGACCATGGTAGAGTAAGCTCCAAATGAGTATGGCACGTTGAGCTCTTTTCATAGCAGCAAAAGCAACCTTAGACAGACCTATCAATACAAAGAGATTAAGAAGACAAGCTGCACATTCAAAGGAGATTTGGGGAAGATTGGGGGCAGAGCCCAGACGTGAGGAGAATCAAGATGGAGAGGTGAGTATGCCATGCGTTTCCCCTGATCTTCTTGAGCCATCACCCGTGTCCTGCAAGCCACTGAAGAGAAGGGGCCCATGCGGCTGACCTGAGTGCAATCAATTCCTGGCAGCCTGCATGTGTTGTACACGAGTCCAAGACGAGTACGAAGATGTTTGCATAACCTTTGCAGCGATAAGATACTCAGACGGACATGAGGTACCGTAAGTTGGTCAATGGTGGTGGTGGGAGGAAGAGGGTGAAGGGGTTGATGTTGATCAGGATCCTGCTGGGTGCCGCTCCCGAGGTGCGTGCAACTAGATCGGGAACTAGTCCCGATTTAGAACTCGAGACCTCGTCTTCGTCCAGTACTTGGAATGACCGAGGACCACCGACCATCACCACCCAACTTTAAAATTGAACAATCCCATCATCAACGCTCATTGCTCATGCACAGTATGCCCCCTCGGAATACATCTTCCCATCACAAGCAAGCTTTCAAGCCACAAAAAGCCATGACCCCCACAAAGCCGTTAAAGACAGCGGGACCTTCCAGATCCAACAAGGTGCCAATTGAGCTGCAGCAGCTCCTGCTGGATATTTTTAGGACCAGTTTTGCACCCCGCTTTGATTCCGGGTTTCCTGCAATTGTGCAGCAGATCAAGGAGCATCTTTTCAACCGGGACTTCAAATCTGCCTTTGGGCGAAAGTCTTTCCTCGAGGCTTATGCCATGAGGTGGAGCCCAAGCAGAGCACTAGCCTACACCCACATATTCTCGCAAGTGTTATCAAAATACCACCTGGATGCTGAGAACCTCGACCAAGCTTCGGGAGAGCTGCCATTGGCCGCCTCTCAGGTGCCATCCGTCTCTACCAGACGAATCGTCTGTATCGGCGGAGGTGCAGGCGCTGAGCTCGTAGCGCTGGCCGCATATCTGCAGGTCATCGGCCATCCCTGTGCCAGTTTCAGTGACCTTGAGGGTAAATCCAAGTGCTTGCCACCATACTTCGCCATCAAATCTATAGACATTGCTGATTGGTCAACGGTACTGAAAGAGCTCCACTCATGCATGACTGCAGCGCCTCCAATATCGGAGTATTCTTCGTCTGCAGCTAAGGAGGCAAACGCTGCGTTAATCAGCCCTGCGGCTTGCACGTTGAGCTTCATGCAGGAAGACGTCCTCAGAATGAAAAACGAGGATTTAGCAACCAGCTTTACTGACACTGCTCTTGTAACTTTGATGTTCACCCTTAACGAGCTGTATAGCACTTCTATCAGCTCAACCACTAATCTGCTGTTGTCTCTCACGATGCTCTTAGCGCCAGGAGCTCTGCTACTGGTAGTAGATAGCCCTGGCAGCTACTCGACCGTGGACTTTGAGAAGGCGTCTGGTTCAGATGGCGGCGGTACGCGAAAAAGGTATCCCATGCAATGGCTTCTTGATCACACGCTTCTGGAATCTGCTGCGATCAGCGCTAGTAAGAATGCTTCAGCAGAACGGCAATGGGAGAAATTAGAATCCAAAGAATCAGAGTGGTTTAGATTAGCCAACGATTTACGCTATCCTGTCACTCTGGAAGACATGAGGTACCAACTCCATCTCTATCGGCGCCTGTGATAGAACTGCGTGAGCACGGACAGGCCTCACGGGTGGTCACTTCATCACCGAGGTCCTGAACAAGGCCTCACCGATTGCAACGGAAGGAGCCGAACAAGGCCCGACTCTCATGTTTATTTCCAGGCCTCAGAGCTGTGTTCCTACCCCTCGCGTCTCCCTGGTTTCTTCTGACTCGTCAAAACCTGCCACCGTCCTCCACACGGTCCGCTTAATGCGTTCTCACTGTAGAGGATCTTCGAGCTAGAGCACGGAGCTCGTATTCGTCATGGGCTTCGCAGAAGGTTACATTGTGTTCTCTTCTCACCTGCCAGGTTAGTCAGGATCGGGTCTCAAGCAAGTTTCGACTGCCGATCAGCAGCAAGAACAGTGAAGTACTCCAATAACACAGCCAGCCCAAGACGACTTCGTTCTCCCAACAGTTTCGTTCAAATGAAACCTCGTTTTTGTTGGGAACATAGGGACCTCTATGGGAGCTTTGTGCCGCAATGGATGTCCAAGGTCAAAAGCAGAACGCCGGGAGGTAAATTAGTGGATGGAAACATTGATCCACAGCATGGAGAAATCTCGATGACGTCTCATCATAGCTGCTCGATCTGTAGCCTGCGAAAATGGAAGAGTATCCCCTTGCTTTAGGACGACCGAGTTCCTGTGCAGGCTTACCTCAAGCCGAGCCGCCCATTTCACTTTCATGGGAGCTCTGCCTATCGAAAGATACTCTGTTGCAGTAAGCCAAAACAATTACCTAGGACAGTATTGCGTTAACGAGCACACTTCAATTGCTGTCATAGAAGAGCAGGATGGACATGCTTTTGAATGTGTCCTTCTGGTACTAGCTCTACGTTCGCTTGTACTGTGCGCTATCTGGCACTTCTGCTATCTTTGAAGCAATCCTTCACGACGGCAAGCATGCAACACCGACTATTGTCCCGATACTGACCATTACGGGCCCTCAAGCAGACTGATCAGTGTCCAATACATCGTACTGGCTGTTATCGCTCTCTCCAGGCGCTTGCCTCGGTCCTGTTCCTCCACTCGCACTCTGAGCCATTTTCTGCATATCGCCCTCGGCCTTTCTCCCTGGATCATTCTCGGACCCAATTTCAGAGGTGAAACTCGCATTATTGCTCGGATCGTCGTCAAATCCGCCCTCTGTGATATTCTTCCCCTTTGGCTTGCCAGACCTGTTGGCTTCGGACTCCACACTTGCCACATAACCAGGCGCAGCATCTACATCCGCACCACCCTCCCCCTTGAACGTATTCTCGGTTGGACCTGATTTGTTTTCGCTGCCAGCCATCTGGCCAGAAGTGCCCATTGAGCTGCTTGGGCCTGTCACTCCACGCAACCCCGATGCAGGCTTCCCGTCGAGGCTATGGCCCGGGATATCTGACTGTCCATCCGCACCCTCGGGATACTTCTTTCCATGTGATCCTTTCGCCTCGTCCGGGGTTTCCTCCAATGCTTCATGCTCTTCACGTTCTGCGGCGTTGGACGCAGGTGCGAGGACCTTGGCACCCGATGTGTCGGTGTTGTTCAAGGTGGAATGGTCCCCTTTCACTGAGGAAGGATTAGAGTCACGGTTCTCGCCAAACTTGCCGCCTGAGCTGGCTGATTCTGCGGCGAGGGAGTCTGAGGCAATAGCACCGGCGCCTTCACTCGTAGGGTTTGTGTAGCGTTCGGGATCAGATGTGTTCTGGATGAAGAGGTTAGCATGAGCGTTCACACAAATTCAGTCGGTGAGAGGTGAGCATTAGAAAGGCCTGGGACTCAAGACAAAGGGCGATGCCATACCTTCATGCCCTGGTCTGTCGACCCAATGGGTGTGCCTTGCATTTCCATGGCTGTCAGAGTGCTTTCTTGTTAGGACGATTGATTGTTTTCCAGCTTGATAGAACTTATAATGCTGTCGTAGAGTGCTTTCGTTGATGCTTGAACTAAAGAGAAGAAACAGTTGTGCTTGAGAGAATTGTTTGTGGTGACAAGGAAGCTTTCACGCGAGGCTACTTTACATCATGGCGGAGAGTGATGTAATAGCCCCACCACCCCACCAAAACCTTGCCCTGAAAATCACTCACCGCTCCGCTTTGGGTCATCAGTCACCTGACACCTGATCTATTACTGATAGCTGAGCAGTGCAAGTCCCATCAAATCGGATAGATAGTAGAGAGAAATAAGAATCTTGGTACTTAAAATTTGAAACACCGAGACAGACTGATCTCTGATTGAAAAGCCATAGAACATTCTGTACAGCTCATTCAGCTATCTATTCTAATAAGCCAAGCTCTGTAACTCTGACATCTATCAATCGAAACTTGAGATGCCTCATCATCTGCTCCCTTGCCCTTGCCCTTGTCCTTGCCCTTGCCTCAAATCCAAACCCATCAGTCCTCCCTACTTCTTCAACGCATCCTTCGGCAGCCCATCCAACCCATCATGTCCTTCCCTCCCCACACCTTGAGGCAGACTCGAATTCTTACCGAACGTCTCCCCGTCAGTCCTCGCGCTGCTGTCGCTCGTCGCCGGCTCTCGAATGTCCCCTCCGTACGAGACGTCACTCTCCACGCCACCGGACCCGACGTTCACTTTGCTGGCGTCGCTCGAGTTCCAGTCCGAGGCCACGGGAGGGTCGTCGGGGAGGGGCAGGTTGGACTGACGCTCGGCGATGATTTCGGATTTGGGTTTGGAGTTTTGGTCGACGATGGACTGGCGTGAGGTGCCGGTGGTTTTAGCGAGTGTGCGGTGAGGTGGTGGGATGGGATGGGAAGGGGAGGGGAGGGTGGGGAGGGTACCATTGTCTGAGCTACTTCAGAGTCTGCGGGAACACTGCCGTTGTTCTTTTTCGAGACTTGGGATTCAGCCTTGCGGAGATCTTCGCGGGTGGTGTGGAAGGTGGATTCGGACATGGTCGTAGTAGTGGGATTCTTGGTGGGCTGTTGAGCACAGGATTCAGATTGGTGATTATATGGGTGAATGGAATCGTGAACGGTTCACTGGGTGAGTTGTTGATCTTGGAAGGGTTGAAAAGCGTTTGGAGCTGTGACCGTTAGCGAGAGTGTGTGACGAAACCCGATGATGTAACATGCAATTCGTGAAACCCGCATCTTTTAGCGGCACAAATCAGCCGGCAGCTTTTCCCGAGCGCCTTCATCAATACATTTGCTTGGAGGAATTGTAGAGGACTCCTTCTCACCTTCTAGAATATGCCATTGCTCGGTCTGTGACAATTCAATTCTCTGTCCGAAACTCCGTGGGAGCTCCGTTCTTAGGCTGGAACGCAGGGCAAGGCAGAACTTCCAACAGCGCTAAAACAAGAAGCTGGAGCGTCGCCAAAATGACCTTCACGAACGGATTCTGGACCCGAAGAATTGAAGAAATGTACATAGGATGACGGTGTTCAGAACAACCAATGGCATGAGGTTTGGGGATATGAACCCTCGAGCTGTGCTTACTCGAAGATATGCAGCGATGTGGATCAATTCGTCACTTGAAGATGAGCCGAAGGCCTCAAAGGACTTATGGCATGAAGCCGAGAGTCTCTTACCGATGAATTCGTGTCCTTGAATATAGGCATTGGAGACACTATACATGAAGGGTATCAAAGCCCTATCTGCCCGTCAACGCGCGGCTGGTTGAGAGCCAGCTTCCCCAGCTCCAAAGCCAGCATAGACTCACGATGTAGCACTCCCATATGACAATCCTAGCAATTTTTCTTCCACCAACGCCTTGCGTATTCAAAATAGCCACACCGTCCACGAGCATCATATCCTAACATCCCTCGAAGCCTTCAACACAATCTTCACCAAGTCCCTATACACCTCCTTGAATTCCTCCTCGCCCCCCTTCTCCTCACCCCCCTTCTTCTTCCCCACTGCCTCCTGCGTAAGCATGACCACACTTGTCGGCCTGCTCGTACTAGCAGCCGCGCCCAGCTCCGCCCTCGACGTCACATAGATGTACGGCACGCCATGGTCTTCGCAAAGGACCGGGATATGCGATATGACATCCATGGGTGAAATGTCGGCTGCGAGTATAACAATGGCGGGAGGGTCACCGCTTCCTGCGGTGGCGGCGGCAGTACTGGATTTGCGGAGAGATTTGACGACTTCTTTGACGCCGCGCTTCAGAGATTTGTTCTTCGTTGCTGTGGCAGTAGTCCATTTAGTCACGGGTGCTCATGAGATTTTGCGAGTGAGGGCCTACCTTTTTTAACACTCTTCAGCACCTTTTTACCAGCTTTCTCATCCGCCAATGGATTTGCAAACGGCACCAATGCTCCGAGCAAGGGTTCCATTTTCACCTTGACCTTCACATCTCCATTTTCTTCCTTGACAGCCACACTGCCAGGCTTGGTCTCTTCGACGGTATTTAGGAGCTTGGTTGTAACTTCTGCATCTGACGTTGCAGCTGCCGTTTTCTTCTCTTTCTTCTCCTTTTTGTCTGATTTGGATTTGTGGACGCCGTTCGTTTCTGAGCGCTTGGCTTTTTTCTCTGCTTTGGCCAGCTTCTTAGCCTCCTTTTCGGGATCTGTGGGCTTTTCTTTGGCCATTGTTATGGAACTTAATGATACAAGAAGGACTGGTAGAATGATAATGTTTTAATTGTGGACCAAAAGCTCTGCGGGAGCTTCCAAATTCTGTGCTCGCGATCAGCCCTATCGCTCTAGGCTGGATTGGTACAGTATGGAAGTGCAGATGCAGCGCCCCTTTCGTTCACGACTACAGTCGTATGGGGGGAGTGTATCAGTAAAGGTGAAATTTGGAGGGTCTATTGTAATCAGATTGATGGTATTCCGATATCCAGTAGCACAATATTGGTCCGTGCAGCCCAGCATTTGTAACATCATATAGTCGGTGTAGTTTTAAGCTCCCTCTCCGCAGTCAGAGCTCCAAGCGGCTGCAGTTCCCAGCTTTGTTGCGATATAACTCTAGACCTCTTCGCCGGATTTCACGCGTGACCGGATCAAGGCATATGTCAAAATCGATTGAACCTCGTTGACCTATGTACACATCTTGTCGATCTTGCTCACTAAGACTCTCCACATCGTAGCTCTCATCCCTCCTCGGATCTAACCACGCACTGATCCTCCCTGAGTAGCTTCATCTGCGGCTTCTGCGTCGTGCATTCTTCCTGTCTTTGAGTTGTAGTACTCGTTCCTGTATTCCAAATGGTCAGGATACACTCCCTAGCAAATAGGCCCTCCGTTTTCATTCTGACCCGAATATTCGTAGCTCCGGGAAACTCACTTTTCGACAGCCCAATTCAAAGCCAGATATGCGACCGCAAAAGGCGGTACGACGTAAAGAGCCTGAGCTCTGCATCTCCGCCAGGTATTGAAGACTGCCGCATTGAGTGTGCCGGCAAGAGGACGTTGGCGGTTGGCGGAGATGGAGTAGGTTGTTATGCCCTTTTGTGTCTGAGACCCTGGTTACCATGGATGTTAGCCATCTGCGCAGGTTCATGTGCTATTGCCATTTGGCCAAGGAGGACAGGTTGTTGCCCTCGCGGTCACGAAAGCATTGCCGGAGAACGGGGATCTTGCAAAGCAGCGTACCTATATTGCCCCAGGTACCGAGGTATCTGTAATATAACATTAGTCAAAGATGACGTTCAGCTAATGAGAGAGATCGGTGAATTGAAACATGTTTTCGGATGATGTGAGAGAGTACATACTGGCCATGCTTCGTGTCCAACGGTGCGCTTCCTCCTGCCATGGTAGGCAATGGAGCAGAAGGTAAGACAGTAAAAGAAATGTAGCTCTTATGGTGGAAGTTGATGTATTAGGTGATCGGAAGTGACGGGTGAATAAAGAGTTGCTTTCATGCTGCCAAGTAACTTCGAGATGGCGCTAAACCGGATTGAACCTCGATATTTTCCGACCAAAGCTCATGCCATCCTCCGCAGAACTAGAAATATCTCCATCTTGAATCCTCCACTATGGCCAACGCCCTTAGCGCAGTCTACAGATGGGCCGTCCCTGTCGCCATCGGCGGTGCCTTCGTCCAAGCCTCCATGTACGATGTCAAAGGCGGCACTCGCGCAGTAATATTCGACCGTCTGTCAGGAGTCAAAGAGACCGTCGTCAACGAAGGCACACATTTCCTGATTCCTTGGCTGCAGAAATCCATCATTTACGATGTCCGCACCAAACCCAGGAATATCTCAACCACGACCGGGAGCAAGGATTTGCAGATGGTCAGCTTGACGTTGAGGGTCCTGCATAGACCAGAAGTCCCGAACTTGCCAAAGATATACCAGGTACGATCATATTTCCGCCTTCCAACACAAGCATTCCGTCTACATTTTGTACCGTACGCTGACATATCTCTGTACCTAGTCCCTCGGACTCGACTACGACGAGCGCGTCCTCCCCTCCATCGGCAACGAAGTCCTCAAATCCATCGTCGCCCAGTTCGACGCCGCCGAACTGATCACGCAACGAGAATCCGTCTCCGCCCGCATACGCACCGACCTTCTCAAACGCGCTTCCGAATTCAACATCGCCCTCGAAGACGTCTCCATCACGCACATGACCTTCGGCAAAGAATTCACCCGGGCCGTCGAGCAGAAGCAGATCGCGCAGCAAGATGCAGAGAGGAGTAGATTTATAGTGGAGAAGGCGGAGCAGGAGAGGCAGGCGAATGTGATTAGGGCGGAGGGGGAGGCCGAGAGCGCAGAGACGATTTCGAGGGCTGTGGCGAGGGCTGGGGATGGGTTGATCATGATTAGGAGGATCGAGGCGAGTAAGGAGATCGCGCAGACGTTGGCAGGAAATCCGAATGTGACGTATTTGCCTGGTGGAGGGGAGGGTGGGGACAAGGGAGGGAAGGGGGCTGGGTTGCTGTTGGGACTGAGGTCGTGAGGATATGGGAGCATGAGATATCGATGCCGAAAACACTCGCGACGGTGAAGGCTCTGATAGGGCAGCCAAAGGGCTTGGTATCATGGCGAAAATACTGTAGCATAGCATGGAACTCCCCCTCGGGCTCTACTCCTTACAGTACTTCATTACTTGAGTCCACTTTAAATGGCGCAAGCAGTTGTCGATTGGGGCACAACGATATAGGGAGCACAAAAGCAATTTCTGACCAAGTGACTAGCTAAGTATGCATGTTCCAATGTAAAGCCATACTTTAATGCAGCCCTAGTATATTAAGCTTGGCCACCGGGTATCGCTGCAAATATTCCACACTGTCAAGAACGGTTTCCCAACGCCTGTCACCCCGGTCTTGGCGTCGAACGGTCTTGGATGATGTTGTACATGCTGACGCCAGATATCGATGCCCCGAAGCTCATGCATAATATGATCGATCACCGCGTCATTGATGTTGTATTGTACTCGGGTCCAGCTCTGAGAACGGATCTAAAAACTCCGTTCCACCCCTCTGCATGCGTTCCCTTTCCGTGAATGGGAAAGCCCTGTACGCCTTTGGAAATGCTGTAACGTATGCAGGAAAAGATACCTTCCCCTTAGTCCTCCCAAATCGTCTCCAAATCTAAATCACCCCTCCTCTCCGCCCCGCAAACACTCCATCTCTTCCTCTTGTCCCCTCTGCCTGTCCCTCTCACTCCGACATCAGAGCCAGCCCGTCTCCTAATACTTTCCTCACTCTGATCTTCTTGGTCAGCAGCAGCTTTCAGTCTAGCAATATTCTCAGCTTCCCGCTCCGCATCAGGAGAGTCGGGGATGGTCTCAAGTGATGATATGCTCGGAGAGCGAGAGCGCAATGACGTGGGCGTTGACGGGACCGAGCCGGAGGAGAAAGAGTAATTGGACGGGTATGCTTCATTGTATTGGCTAGCCGCCAACGAAGGAGTGGAAGTGGATGCGCGAAGTGAATGCTTCGAAGTGTTTGAAGAGAAAGCGGACAGCGAAATCTGGTGAAGCGGTGACGCAGGCCGTCGGCGGCTGCGAGGGAAAGTCTGGTAATTATTGTGTGATGGTGAGGGGGAAGCAGGCACGGAGTCGAGATCCACTGTTGCTCGGGGCGTCAGGTCTAATTCCGAATTCTCGGAGATGGTCTGGTCTATGTCTAGTTGGTTGCTGAAGCTGGAAAATGATTCGTCTGACTGCCTCCTCATGGGGCTGCGGTGTCGAAGAGGAGGTCCGAGAGGGCTGGATGGGCGAGGTATTATAGGACGACCTGTGGTGTTGGGGACAGGGGATGAATGTGCCCGGGTCATTTGTGGGGCACTGAGAGAGCCGCTTCCGGAAGACTTGGACCTTAGATGGCCTCGTGCGAAGGGTGAACGAGTGCGCGGCCGTAGCGGTAGGGACGATACGGAGAGATTTGAGAAGGGAGATGGGGCTGTAGGTGTGTCTGGGGCTGTGGCTCGTCGAGGAGTATAGGGTCGAGAAAATTCGGAGGTAGGCAGAGCAGGCAAAGGTTTTGTGAGGTCTTCGACTTCTTCAATGACCTCCTCGACGGGTGGAGACATGACAATAGGTGGTTCTGAAAAGCGAGGAACCATGATGACTATAACCACCTAGCATGAAACGTGACTGCAGGGCGGTTAATAAGCCCATACCATCATGTTATGACCCTGCACCTGGATACCACATTGCGTTGGAATGTTTAGTTGGCGGGGTCGTGGTGGGGTGGAAGCATGGAAGCATGGAATGGCAAGAATATGATGTTTGAAAGATGCTACTCGTATGTCTTTGAAGGTATCGAGGAGTGAGTGTGTTATTTATTGAGTGTTGTGTTATTCATTTGGGAGAATCAGAGTCACCACTTGCAGCAGAACCATTGTTCTTCTTCTAGATCTCTTGGCCAAGTCTACTCTAGGGCTGCATTGGGGCGGCTTTCTCCCCTAAAATGCTGCCGCTGCCGCTCCAAGCACCCTGCTCTACTACTCAATTAAGAGTACATTTTTGCGTGGCTTACACCGTTAGCATAGGCTAGGAACTCCTCCATATTTGATTGGTGAGAAGATAGAGAATTCGAAGTGATCAAATACCACATGGTCCATTCATTGCCTACAATGTGGATGATATATCTGCCTAGCTAGGGTATATGCGTGCGCCTCTTTTGTGTACTAAAGACTTTTTCTGGACGAAAGCATACAAAAAGCACCGAGTCCGGCAGGCCGAGATGAGACATGCCACAAGACGCCTATAGTACAAACGCCAAATCCGGGTCTAAGGACCAAAAGATGGAAGCAAACGTGAGCTCCAAATTGTCTGTCTGTTAAAGGACCAAGGGATATCATAGGCCCGAGTAACATTACTAGCATCACTCGTCACCAACGGGCACACCATCAACGATTTCATCGATGGCCTCTTCAGTATTCTTAGCCTGTGCCTTGGAGGCTTTGCTCATCTCTCGCTTGATGCCATGATTCACGGCATCAAGGACGTTGTTGACCGTTATTCTTGGCGTGTACCGTGGCTTCGTTCCCTCTTTGAATACGCCCGTCCGCACAAGTATCGAGTACCAGTCATTCTCGGACAGCTTAGATTCGTTGAACTCGTTGGTACCGCGAATGTCCGATTCGGGTGTATCGCCAACAAAGTAGACAGTTTCTGGCGGCTTGTTGATACCGTGAGTGTCTTTGCGCCATTGTTGGAGTAACCGTGTGGCAAATTGGAATGTGCCAAGCTGGGGCTTGCCGAACGCTGTCGATACCAGGTCTTTGCCTGTGATGCTTTTGTAGATCGCTTCTAACGAGGAGCGGAGGGCGCCCATGCCAAGGCGTGTGTGTTCGTGGGCAGCAGACCATATCAGGTCATTATGGGAAAAGTAGATTGGCGGACCTTCATCGTAGTTCTCGGAGCTCGTGCCAAGCCGGCCATTCTTGGATGTAAGTAGATCAATGATGATTTGCTGATCGTCCCCCCAGTGACGACTATCCGCAAAGACAAAGATAGCCTCGATTTCGGTTTCGCCAAAGTTGCGGACTCGTGAGTTCTGTGTCTCCTGGTCGGTGAGCCGTCGGAATGGAGTCGTTCTGTCGTTGTCTTTCATGATATCGCCTGGAGTGACCACATCTCTGAAGCCATAGCCTTCTGCCACGAGGCGGCACTTCTCGCCTTCTCCTCCCACAACAAGGACTGTCTTGTACTTCTGTGCCATCTCTCTCATAGGTGTGTGACCACAGATGAATTGTCCGGGAGAGATCTCCAGTTCCAACTGTCTGCTCAGGTCTACACACCGTTCCTGCTCCGTCTTTCCACCGCCGTTCGTGAGGAAGATGTAGGGGCTACCGAGAGTCAGCAAAGACTGCTTGAGTGATACACGGCGTATAGACTTACACTTTGATGCCGTACTCGTTCTGACCGTTCAAGACTTTCATAGCTTCAACTGCCTCTGGTATTGGCTTTCCACCACGTATGAGGACTCCATCAATATCGAAGGCGAATGCGTAGCTATCTGTAGTCGTTGTCTCTGGAGGCGTGCTAGGTGTGACTACACCGTCGCCTGAATCGAGATTTTTGAGACGGTGTTTGGCCAGCTCAAGGGCAGCAGCTGTTTCGTGAGCATTGCTGGGAGAATCCATATGCTTAGGTGGTACAACAACATGTGGTCCAATGTTCAAGCCCTTGAAATCGGCAGTCGCCGAAGAGAGGCGACGCACTGTTGGTCGTGGTTGCGGTGTGAGGAGATCTTTCCCGTCTGTCATTCTTGATGCCTCTCGTTGGGAAGAAGACTCCCAAAGCTGGGCTTTTGAGGCACCCAAGGGCTTAGTGCCCTGCTCGTTCCACAGCTCCATGGCTCAGTAGATGGGTATACAATCAAAGAGCGAAGACGGCTGGGTGCGTGGGTCGATGTCGAGACCTGGGAATTATAAGACGAGAGATGGGTCAAGATAGTGGATTGGGGGTCAGCCACGTTCCTGGGTATCGTATCAAAGAGTGTTGGTGTGAAAAGTGGTAGGGTCAACGGTATATGGTTTTATGGCTTTAAAGTATCTGAGTGTTGCTAATATTTTCTATCAGGTGGATATGAGCAATTTATAAATCGCCAACGACCATTGCGCGACAATCGCCTCGGTCCTTCAGCATGTGACGCGCCAGTACAAGCTCGGTGTTTTCTGCAAGAGCGATGATAGTGCTTAGGCACTTCGGACCTATACCAGCACAGTTGGAGAGAGTCATGGTCGTAATCGACCAATGAAAGCATGTTGGACGGTGGCTAGACGATGGCGAAATCGGCAACATGGATGCTAGGAAGTCTGGTTGGTTGAGTAAAAGAGAGCGAATTTCCAGTGCTCCGGCAAAGCTTGTCGTTGAGTTGATGGTTGAGTTGAAAATTACAAAATTCTAGGACTCTAGAGTAAGCTCTAGGTAGATAAGCTTGCGGGCTTTTCATTTTCAAGCCGAGGGGGGCTGGTTGGGGTGGGGCGGGGCAAAATTTTATTCTCCGGAACCAGACCAAGACGAGTTTAGTTCATCTACTCTCTCTACGTCGTCGTGCATATGTTCATATGTCATGTCATGAGCCGTCATGAGGCATACCGTATATGAATTTCTCATTCACATCTTCCATGTTACATAGTCCATATTTCAGGAATGGGGAGGCCCGAGCGACAATGAGGGAAAGTCATTGATCAGATGCTCACCTACACTAGCTGTGGTACTCTAGAGAAATTTCTGCCTACCTTCCTGTTCGACCAATAATAATCTAAGCCATGCCACCTTCTCTGGCGACCGTAGGCGTTGCCTCTATCGGCGAGATGGGCGTAGGCATTGCGAGGCTCTTGAGCGCCCAGAATTATAGAGTATTGACAAATATCTCAGGTAGAAGGTCAGCAGACATTATTCCCATACTGGTGGTTTCAACCTTCTAAGATGCCACCAGCGAGTCAACCCGTCAGCGTGTCAAATCCGCTTCAATCGAGCTGGTAGACACGGATCAGGAGCTCGTTGCTCAAGCAGACTACATCCTGTCGATTGTTCCCCCCCGGGACGCTATCAGCACAGCCAAGAGGTTCACCGAAGCAGCAGCTGGACATGTCAGAGACCCGGAGCAAGAACCGCTCTTCTACATTGACCTTAATGCCATCAGTCCCAATGGAGCACGAACGCTGGAACTCCTCTTGAAGGACTACCCGATGATGAGATTCCTTGACGGTGGGGTATGTGAGTAGCACGTCATATAGTGATGTTTCATGTCCTAAAGCAGTTGAAAGATCATCGGAGGCGCCCCAAAATACAAACCAGATGGTAGTTGGACCAAACCCAGCATCGTCGTCTCCGGTCCTCACAGTCTCAATGACGCTCCTATCAGCGGCGCGCATCTTGCAAAAGTTCTCAATATCAAGCACATAGCCGACAAGATTGGTCCCGCCAGCGGATTGAAAATGTGTTTTGCATCCACCACCAAGGGCTTGACAGCAATCGCAATCCAATCATTCACCACAGCACACACCCTCGGGGTGCTCGACGACCTGCAAGCACATCTCAAAGACTACAGCCCCAAAACAGGAGAGCTTGCGGCCCAAGGATTGGTGGGTATGCCGCCCAAAGCGTACAGATGGGTTGATGAAATGAAGGAGATTGCAGAGACTTTTCGTACCGAAGGAGGATTTGAGAAAAACTTGTTCGATGGGGTTAGTGAAGTCTTTAGATTTGTAGCAGATGAAACAAACCTAGGAAAGGAGAAGACGGAAGACAGGAGGGTGGGTAAGACACCGGAAGATGTTGCAAGGCTGGTGGGCCAGGGGTTGGAGAGGAAGAAGGAGAAAGTAGAGTAGATTGGCTACACTCCAAGCCAAACAAAGAACTGTCTGTTGCAGTGTTGCTGCTTGTGGGAGAGTTTGGCGAGTACAAAACGTAGTAGCAACAGGCCTTTATGTATTGCTCACAAAAAGGTATTTAGCCAATTGGAATGTCAGACATAATGGTATTTTTCGGTGTTGTTGCCCGTTTCGTAAGCCTAGTCTAGGAGAAAGCCACTCAGATCTTCAAAATCCAACTTCGGGGCAAGCATGTAAATTCCGGCAAATTTGGCCGCGTCGACGCTGGTAGTCCCAGAGCCGGTGTTCTTACAGCCCTCGAGCTTCTTGTCTGCCTCATCTTGCGTGATTGCGCGTGGCTTGAAAGGCATGAAATAGGGCATGTTAGCCGCTCCGAAATCCATCTCATCGTCGTTGGGCATCAGACGTGACAAACCTGCCAGAAGCCTTTCCACCTTCTGCTGTAGGATGGATCCTTCACGGGAGATCTCACGAATGATGGCCTTATACCCTTGGTCACAGTGAGACAGATGTGGTGGGCTAGGTGGGAAAGGATTTGGTGGCTGTCTTCTCCGCTCGTGGGGCGGGATGTATGACGAGCGTCGATGGGTGCCATGAAAAATGATGGCCAAGACCACGAATGCTGGCATTTGCTCTAATTGTAGTACCGGGTTCACTGGATGGTTGTGCTCTGCGGTGGTCGTTGGTATAACCGAGATCCATACCTGCACGATCTCGCTGGTAGTATCTGCCACCGCTTCGTGGGTCGTTACATCTAGAATTTCTGCCTCTAGCCATGGTTTGTTGCTGAACGATGCGATGCCATAGGATGGCTGAAGTTCCAGCATACACCTAAGAGCAGGCAATCCAATATCAATGCTAGAGAACTCAACGGGTTGGTATAAGCAACTTGGCGCGTCATGAGCTCTACAGAGCAATTCCAGAAAGTCAATGAACCTCTCAGAAGCCCTTTGGCCATGGTCAACGAGACAGAGAGCCAAGTAATGCACGGTGAGCACTCCCCAAATCCCTCATGGCACGATGCGAACGGCTTTCAAAGGCCAACAAGCAGTATCTCAATCTCCATCACAGTCTTCTAACAGCTGCTGCACCCGGTTTTCCGTAGCCCATCCGAGATCTATTTCTACACCACGCAGTAGTTTTAGGACCACGTGTCTCTGGGCAGGACATTGACCAGCCACGAATAATGGTTGTGTCTGATGGACCCGCACCGAAGATGGTTGACGAGACAAGGCAATACCACTAGCATATTGTTAGTCAAGGGCATTAGCAGCCATAACGACACATGCCACGTACCACATCTCGTAGCAATGGGAGACAATTTACTCTTCAATCAAGCGATATGAATTTAGGCGACTAGCAATTGTACTTTGGCGCATGGTTGTCTCGTGTGGTTTATGGACGAGTAGAAGGATCTGAGCCATGTGATAGTGCTGCATCGTTGCTCCGCACTGACAATTATACAGAGTCACCATGTCCTACACACGGCAATATTGCAAGTCCTGAGACAGATCTAGGAAGCAGAGTGAGAAGGAGGCCCTTTCATGTCACTTTGGAAGTTGAGTCGAAAGATCAGTCAGAAGGCTAAATCAAGTCTCCCTATCCAGATTAGAGTCCCGGCTAAGAGGGAAATATTACGAAATAATGTACCATTCCGTTGGTATCCCAAGTTTCGTAGAAGATTCGATGGTTGGTTTGGTCAAGTCCTTTAGGATCTACAGTCATGTTTCGAGATGACCTGATTCACGTCGCTGGCTGGAACGTTGCCGGAAGACCCTCGAACCACACTTCAAATTCACGTGCAAAGCCCTTCCACTTTTCAAGCAGTGATTTCTGCGACTTCTCATACTCTCCCACCTCGTCTTTCTGAAGTTGTTCGGACCGATCTCCGGCTGGAATTGGGGCGAATCCCTCTCTTGGGGCGATAAAGTTACAAAGTTGGAACGAGAGCCAAACCAGGGCGTTGGATATCATGTCTTCTTTTATAGTGCTTTTCGCTTCAGGCATGCCGCTTTCCACTCTGCTGCTAGTAATTGTCCCATGCCCTGGCGACCCTCGGGCTCGTTCGCTCGGCAAAGGGCCCAAAACGAGCCAGATGCCAGGAGATAGGATAAGATTATTCTCGTCAATGGACAGGCCAGCTTCTCTCCAAAGGTCGAGATCACCGGTGTCAAGGCGGGTCCGGCGCTCATGTATGACTGCGGATCATTAGAATCATCATTTCTGTAAGACTATGATCAATACAGACTTACACGCTGCGAGATAATCTTGACGGGCAAAATTCCAGAAAGTCGCTAGGGGCATCATGCCCCCTTCGGCAATGTCCAGCAATTATTTCGTACCATCAAGGGGATGCGACCAGGTAGCACCAGTCGCACTGACAAACTCCGTAAACGCATAGTATTGCTGTCTAGCATCTTACATGAGCCCTTGCCGAGAACAAGTCTGGACGTCTGAGTAACATACCGCAGCAACAACTACATCAGATCTTAGTCGAGCTGTTCCTACATGACTTGAATGGTGCCGCCCAGTGATCATTGAATTGATCCAGCATATCTTGGAGACCCCTAGGTAGGCGCCGTCTCATCCGGACTATTTGGCGAAGACTCGTTTTGATCTTGCTGCATTGCTTCCATTAGCAGAGCTATGCTCTTATCGTAATGATACGCTCCCTCTCATCCCCAGTCTATTGACGGGTCATCAAATACTTCCATCCTCGCCTCTTGTGAGCAATCGCCGCGGATGATGGCCTTCGCACCTCTTGCTCGACCTGGTTGCTTTGCTGCGCACGCACATGCTGCATGCTTTAGAAGAGGATGAGAGCTCGCCTGCACTGGAACATAGGACCCGAAATAAGCGCCATGGTCAAAGAGGTCCATCCTTCCTAGCTCTTTAGTTTCCATGATCACTGAGAGCTGGTTAGTTTACACACCATTTACCCGGTGACTCGGAGAAATGCCTGAGTAGGTAGGCGACCTTATGCTCCGATTCAGCCTCGCCTTCTGCTCGTGGTTTCTGTGCGTTCTCCGTAGCTGTTCCGTTTGAAGGTGGAGGACCTGTAATGGCTGGAGTCGCCATCAAACTAGGATCTATTGGCGAATCCAGGGCATCTGGAGGATTCAAAAGGAAGTTGAGTTTGTTGCTTGAGGAAACAGTGTTTGGGGAAGGGATAGCGGGAGGGCCGTGTTCGTCATTAGGAGAGTTCGACCCGAAAGGACTGTCGAAATTGCGTCTGTTCATCGATATCGGATAAGGTATCATATTTGCTTCGGGAGGAGCATACAACGCAGCGGCGGACAGGGCCTCAAGACCGTGGGGATGGAGTTGGGCAGCCTGATCTTGTAATCGATGGTCAATGTTCCATTGATCCTGTTGTTGCTGAGCATATGGCGGTTGAATTTGTGTAGACATCATTGCTTCCAGGTCCGGCGTCCCAGGGTCTGTGTAAGGGTTGGATGTATTGTAGAAAGTGACTGCGAAAGACGATGAGCATGGCGTAACCAAGATTCAGACTGCGCAATATACTTACGTTGCTTCGGAATATCCACCCACACGGTTTTGTCATTGAAGGTGTTTTTGTAGGCATAGAATCCACTGAGGGGAGGGTTGCGCTCTGACCAGGACCCGTCCTCGTTTGCATTCATGGAAGCATTGTGTTGGTGACGAAAGGTAAGACCGGAACTTGGTTGGCATTGGCGGTTTGCTTTGGTACATTGACCGCAGATGGGTTTTTGCTCATCACACTTGAGCTTCCTTTGACGGCAAGTCAAGCTGTTTGGGCATCAGTTGACAGTCGAGGTGCACCGGTGAACTAGGGCGAACGCACCAGCCAGTCCGAGACCTCATCCTTGTGGAACGATGGCTACGAAGCCTCTTTGAAGTTGAATGGCAATATCATGTCGAGTGCATAATGGTGAACGAGAAGTGAAACAGGAAGGATGTGAAGGGGAGGTGATTTTATTATTGGGTTGACCTCCAAGGCTCTAAAATCGAGTTGTAGTTGAGTTTGAATTTTGTGTTCCATAGTATGTGGCAAAGAATTAAGGAGGAGGGTCCGAGATCGCCAGACCCTCCTGCTTTTAAGAGTACTAGAAGATCTTTTTTTGAGCGTCGCATTTCATTTCTTACAGCGCTTGGACTGTGCCTTCCATTGACAAAACTTCAACACTGGGTGCTGGCAAATTATACAGGTATGATCACAACTCTATGTCCAAGAACTGTATGCAGTAAATACCAGCCTGCCAAACCCCACCCCAATCATGTGCCCTCAAGCACCTATATAAAGTAAACAAGAGTCCATTACTTGATGTCTCTCTTCTCCGACAAAACAGTCGTAATCATACATACAAGGCTTGCGCCAGTGGTCTTTCGTAAATGCATGGGATGAATGCACCGCTCAAATCGCAGGAAATCGCTCGACAATTCGCTCCGATGTTGCCAATGGGAAATGCATCGTCAAGCCATAACCAATGAAATCGTTTCTCATGTCGTGATTAAGGTCGGACTCTTACACCTCTGGTTGTCTTTGACGTAGATCCGGGCTGGCTTTTAGGGTCTACCGGCTTTTGAGCGTAGCACAGCAACAGCTTGAACCCAGTTCCTCTTTTCTCACACTCCTGCAGGAGTGCCTCGTCATTCCACATGCTTCTCTCCAAACCTCCGTAAGGTAATGTAATCATCTCATAACACCTTGTGAACCACCATCTTCCCACTATAGCAAGACTCTTCGCGAGACCTCCGTCTCCCTGGCCAGAAGGCTCCTTACGCAAGTCTTTCAGCGTGCCGCTGTTCTCGTCTAACGACCCAGGTCGAGACCGAGACCTCGATACGTGGCCAGCGACAGGTACGTTCAGCACGCAACGATTAAGGTTTTCGAAACCGCTCTGTTTCACCATTTTCTGTAGACTGTCTGACAACGGCCTCAGGTCCAACTCTGGTTGAGAAACTGCCATTCTGTACTTGAGCTCATCAAGGGTTCTTCTGGCTCGGTTGCCCATATTTACCATATCTATGTCTAGAATACTCATTTCGAGATAACCTCCGGGACGGAGCACTCGCATGCACTCTGAAATTGAATTGAGGTACGCATCCTCCGACGTTGCAGCTGGGAAGCGGAAGACAGCAGCTGTGAAGGATCCTGTTTCAAATGGAAATGGTGTTTTGATATCAACATGCTGGACTTGATGATAATTCTTGGGGAGCTGAAGTGCTCCAATTTGCGGCGAGCTGGCAGGTTTAGGACTCAGGTTGAAAATGTCAACGTCCACGTAAGTCTCGGCGCAGTAGAAGGACCAATCGTCGTTACCAAGTCCATCAAGCACTAGGACTCGACCTTTGTGATTGCGCTTTGCCTCGACAAGAGCTGGGCTGAACAAGACCCTATCAAAAGAAAGCCAGCGACTGGTCATAAGCGCATCGAATCTCAAGCTACTCTGGACGATAGGTCCCGTGTGAGTCTTTGCAGATACAGGAGGGGTACTTGTCTTCTTCTGCCTGTTCTCACGGCCGCCAAGCGAATTGGGGTCAGACTCAATCGAGCTCGTGCTATACCGACTGCCACTGGACAAGCTCCGTCGCCTGTTGATCGCACTGGATCTATTCTGATCGCCATACCCTGCCAACAGATCGGAGATAGTCACCGGAGTTGCGGGTCGTCCAGAACCACTGAGCTTTGACCTATCTGGAGGACTAGGTAAAGGTCTTGTTGGTGCCGATATACCTGGATATGTTGCTGGCACTCTCTTCTCAATGCTGCTCGATGAACCCGTTCCCGAGGATACCTTCCGAATATGAAGAGGCTCAGGTGCCCACCCACCTTTTCGTAGGATTGTTTCAAGGGGGTTTTTAGATTCTTCGGCCAATGGGGCGGGAGACTCAACGGTGTCAAGGAATTCGTTGTATTCGTTCCAGACCTCATCTTCATCAGGAGCAGTACCCGGCTCGGGAACAATAGCGGTCGTCCCAACGAGGCTTAAAATTCCGGAGCTGCTTGAGCCCGACACTTCGGATCCAATCCTTGGCGGAAAGGCTAAGAACTCGTCTTTATCAATTCCATAGAAGCCTTCGCTGGGTTTCACAGGGGCACTAGCTGGTTTGGCAGAGTCTTGGTCACCCCAAGTATTGGAGGGGATGACTTCGGTCAGTATTCCTAGACGCGGTCGCTCAACGTGGTTTTGTGCTCCTATTTCTGGAACCGTTGTGGGGGCTTCGTTGACAATAGAGGGACGTCGTGCAAAAGGGCGAGAGAAAGACTGAGGAGGCGGCTTGTGTGGACGATCACGCTTTGAGACGACTCTGGGAATGCGGCCAACTTGCTGCAATCGAGGTTTCTTAGGCTCTTGGAGTGGAACAGGTCGGACTTCCCTCGCAGCTGCAGTTGTGGCCTCAGGTGGGCGGAGAATGGCACTGGGCGTGAGTGGAACTCGAAGGTTGGGGGATTCTGCGGTCAACCTCGGAGGTGAAGGCAAAAGCGTGGAAAGCCTGTGGTCTCGCTGCGGAGAAATGTCTTGGGCGCTCAGAGAAGCCGGTACCCCACTATGGATAGTGTTAAGCCGATTCCTCTCTGCTGATTGTATAACACCCATCTCGTTTGAGACTTCTTGCTCGCTGCCGTCAAGCAGCGCGTAGAACGCGACAGATCGAGATTCCGGAAGGCTCGATACCGTTGCTGGGAGCTCTCTGAAACTGGTCTGATCGTTACTTGATTGCGGCGCGATGGCTTCTACTCGCGTTCTTGGGGAAGCTTGTGCTCTCTGGAAAAAGGCCCATTTTCTTGGAGATCTTGATCTTGCACGACCCTCAGGATTCTGTGATTTGAGCCAGTTGCCCTCACGCCTTTCGATTATGTTATCGTTAAATTGAAGCGTACCATCTGTCCGAATAAGAATGGACTGAAGGTCATCGTGGCTCTCCATGCTAGGAGAGGCCGCAACAGCCCGTGTGTCGATTGGTGCGGGAATCTTCATTACTTCGACCGCTTTTCCAAACAATTGTGATCGATGCGCCGAGCGCCGCGCCGCCAATGTTGGCTCCCCGTATGACGAACCCACGTACCCTTCCTCCTGCTGCTTAATTCGGTATTCTGGGTTATCCTTCCTGTCAGGTAGCCTTCGATGGTCTCTGCGGAGGTAGTGCATATTGGCGAGCTCTCTACCTGGGGTTTCGCTGCGCATAAGCATCTGGCGTGAAAGCGGCTCACCTGTTCCATCAAGACTTTCACTCGACGTCATGGCCGCTGCACTTTCTCCACTGCTCGTAGGGTGATGTACTGAAGCCAAAGTACGACCGTCGATCGCTTGACCGCCTCCAGTCATGACTACAGGTGCGAGTCTTTCCCGTAGGAATTCGTCCATCTCATGGTCATCCCGGCTCGTAAAACTGCTTTTTCGACTGATGGACGTACGTCCAGCACTGTTGGTACTTGTTGACCGACCTCTGCTGGCGCTGGTACTGATACTGCCACTTCGGCCTCGTCGCGCATATTTTCCGTAGCCTTCGTGGCCAGTCCCCGCAGCTGGACCCTTCTTTGCAGCCTTTTCGGGATTTTCGAAAGCTGCGGTGTCCAACGGCGACCTTGTGCGCTTCATAAAAAACCCAAATCGAGAAGAGGACTTGCTGGAGCTGGCACTCAGCGGACTAGGATCTTTCGTGGATCGGACACCACCAACATTAGTCTCCACCAACGGTAGAGCTTGCGGTTTTGAGGGTTCGCTACGAATCGGTCGAAGAGGATTTGTAACGACCGGATTTGGTGATGGCATTCGGGATGGTCTCGCGGACATCGAGGACGCGTTAGATGGAAAGCGGCCCAACGCAGTACGACTCGTATTTGTACCAACCGCCCTTTCGCTGCTTGGGACGTCTCTATCCAAAATAATACGGGTTTTGGTACCCTGCAAGAGGTCGAGCGTGTCGTTAAGATCAAGACTTGGAGTCCCTTCTCGACTCGGCCTGGGAGGTGGCGTTCGAGACCAATTGTGTCGGTATGAGTCGTTTTGTGCGACAAAAGATTCACCGTGGGGCCTTTGCAGTCCCACAGCATCATATGAACGTAGATCTGGCGCACCTTTAATAACCTCCCGCCTTCTACCGTGGTCTTTAAGAGGTGATGGTCCTAACCTCATGGACGACTGCCGTACAGGAGGACTGGGAGGGATAGGAGTTGACCGGTTTGAGGTTGAATGTACTTGAGAGCCGTCACGCCTATCAGTGCCTTTGACAGTAGATGAAGACGACGAAGAGGTCAAGGATTCTCGCACCGCTGTGAGGCCTCGACTCCGCGAAATATTGGAGTCCTCTTGCAGCGGAACGCCTGGAAATTTCCGTCTTGTCACAGGTGGGCGGCTCCGGGTTGGACTAAGCTGCTTTCTGCCTATGGGAGCCTTGATTGGGGTCGAGACCCCCGGCGACTGCGATGACATGGATGTAGGTGTGGAAGTCCTACTGAAGGCGCCAGGCGATTCGGAGCGGCGAGTAGACGAGCCGCTATCAGCGAAGGTAGGAGTCGGAGGAGGCAAATTTTGTGTGGACAAAGCTTCTGGGGTGTTGCGAGTGTTGTAGCTGGCCATTCGAGAGCTCGAAGTAGCCAACTCCGAGCTTTGGCCCAGAGCTGGTGTGCTGGACACAGCGGGCACGGCGATTCCAA